CCCTAAGAGCTCATCCGGTTGGTCGATTTTTTTAAGCCTGATGCAAACTGCTGCTTGCTGCAGTCTCGCCACAGCGCCAGCTGCAACCATGGCGCTCGCTGCTGTGTCTGGACCAAAAAAAAAAAAAATGACCAGGGTTGTGACAGAATGCTGAAACCATGAGAAGTTGCTAAACCAACCTGTAATGTTCTGATCATGTCATATATGTCGAGAAAAGAAGTGGAAAGCGTTAGCCAAATGTAGAGTATTGAGAATAAGGATGCAGCAGAGTGAATGCGTCAGACTCTCAAGAGGGGGATATGAAAAGAGCTGCAACAGATAGAGAGAGAGAAAGAGCAAGCACGTTAAAATGCTTGCGAAGAAGCAGCTCCTATCTACGTTAAGAAAGGAAAGCTCACCTGGACGAGCCAGGTGAGTGTGGACACAGACACCTGTGTGGCTACCTCAAAAGCACCTGAGCTCACCTGACCGAGCCAGGAGAGTGAGGCAGGTGAGTGCTTCTTCGACCGTGTGCCTCTTCCCCAAGGAGAGAGAGGAGCAGGGGCGAGAGGAAGAAGCAGCGCCTGTTGAGATTGAGGCGAAGAGCTCACCTGACCGAGCCAGATTGGTGAGGCAGGTGAGCGCTTCCTTGACTGTGCGCCTCTCCGACGGTGAGAGAGGAACGGGGGCGAGAGGAGGAGGGTTAAGAGGAGGAGGGTTTACAGGAGGAGAGGCGGACGAATGAGGGGTAGCTTCAGTGTGGTGAAAAGGGGATTCAAGGAGGAGCAAGAGGTGCGGTAGGGCTCCGGCTTCCACGATTTTCATGCGAGTCTCATCTGGTGGAAGGGAAGGAAGGATAGAAGAGGAATAGAGAGACAGCAGCAAGGTCAGTAACACGCTGCTGGTGCCTTGGGGCCTGGATGCATGAGGCTAGGGGAAGATTCACAGGGCTAACTCACGCTGTGTTGGTATTCCGAAAGATCATTACAGGCAGACAGGGGAGTTTGGGGCAGCCATATACAGTTGGCTTCTGGGTCAAAACTTGGCTTCTGGGTCAAAAGTTGGCTTTGAATAAAAACATACTTGGCGTTGGGCCAGAACGTGCCTCTCAGGTAAGAACTTAGCCCTAGGGTCAAAGCTTGGCTTTTAGGTCAAAACTTGGTTCTTGGCTAGAACCTTGGCTTTTGGTCAGCACTTGCCTTTCTGGCCAGAACTTGGCTTCTGGGTCGAAACTTGGCTGATGGGTCAAAACTCGCGTTTTGGTTGAAAACTTGGGCTTCGTGTCGAAGCTTGGCTTCTAGGTCAGAACGGGGCCTTGATAAAAAGAACTATACAATTTTATTGGTAAATGGCCTTTGGGTCAAAACTTGGGTTTGGGGTGAAAACTCAGCTTTCTGGTCAAAACTTGGTTTCTGGGTAAGAGTTTATCATTTGCATAAGAAATTGGAAGTTTAAACACCGCTTTAAGTGAAATCTTGATTTTTAAGTCAAAACTTTGACTTTTGGGTCAAAGCTAGAGCTCACCATTGGAAGCAACAAAGGCAAGGCGGTGCGCTCCTGATTGCCGAAGGAAAAAGTCCTCGGCCTTTAGGAGGGCGACTGAGTGGCAGATGAGCGAGTCTGCTTTTGAGTCGCCTCGAAACCAAGCTGGAGCTCACCATTGGAAGCAATGAAGGCGAGGCGGTACGCTTCCTGACGCCTGAGGAACGGGTCTTTGGCCCTGAGGAGAGCAAATTGAGTGGCGGATGAGCGAGTCTGCTTTTGAGTCGCCTCGAAACCAAGCTGGAGCTCACCATTGGAAGCAATGAAGGCGAGGCGGTACGCTTCCTGACGCCTGAGGAACGGGTCTTTGGCCCTGAGGAGAGCAAATTGAGTGGCGGATGAGCGAGTCTGCTTTTGAGTCGCCTCGAAACCAAGCTGGAGCTCACCATTGGAAGCAATGAAGGCGAGGCCGTACGCTTCCTGACGCCTGAGGAACGGGTCTTTGGCCCTGAGGAGAGCAAATTGAGTGGCGGATGAGCGAGTCTGCTTTTGAGTCGCCTCGAAACCAAGCTGGAGCTCACCATTGGAAGCAATGAAGGCGAGGCGGTAAGCCCCTGATCGCCTAAGAAAAGGGTCCTTGGCCCTGAGGAGAGCGACTGAATGGCGGATGAGCGAGTCTCCTGGGGGAAAGAGGGGTGGGGAGGCATGGGGCAGAAAAGGTGAGACTCAATAATGAGCTGACTGAAGCGACTGACATGCCACTCCTGATCTGAGATGACACTCCCCAATGACCTAAGATGATACTGACCCATGAGCTGATACTGACCCATGACCTGAGATGATACTGACCCATGAGCTGAGATGATACTGACCCATGAGCTGAGATGATACCGACCCAGGAGCTGAGATGATACTGACCCATGAGCTGAGATGATACTGAACCATGAGCTGAGATGATACTGAACCATGAGCTGAGATGATACTGACCCATGAGCTGAGATGATACTGACCCATGAGCTGAGATGATACTGACCCAGGAGCTGAGATGATACTGACCCATGAGCTGAGATGATACTAACCCATGAGCTGAGTTGATACTGACCCATGAGCTGAGATGATACTGAACCATGAGCTGAGATGATATTGACCCATGAGCTGAGATGATACTGACCCAGGAGCTGAGATGATACTGACCCATGAGCTGAGATGATACTGACCCATGAGCTGAGATGATACTGAACCATGAGCTGAGATGATACTGACCCATGAGCTGAGATGATACTGACCCATGAGCTGAGATGATACTGACCCATGAGCTGAGATGACACTGAACCATGAGCTGAGATGATACTGACCCATGAGCTGAGATGATACTGACCCAGGAGCTGAGATGATACTGACCCATGAGCTGAGATGATACTGAACCATGAGCTGAGATGATACTGACCCATGAGCTGAGATGATACTGACCCATGAGCTGAGATGATACTGACCCATGAGCTGAGATGATACTGACCCATGAGCTGAGATGATACTGAACCATGAGCTGAGATGATACTGACCCATGAGCTGAGATGATACTGACCCATGAGCTGAGATGATACTGACCCATGAGCTGAGATGACACTGAACCATGAGCTGAGATGATACTGACCCATGAGCTGAGATGATACTGACCCAGGAGCTGAGATGATACTGACCCATGAGCTGAGATGATACTGAACCATGAGCTGAGATGATACTGACCCATGAGCTGAGATGATACTGACCCATGAGCTGAGATGATACTGAACCATGAGCTGAGATGCTACTGACCCATGAGCTGAGATGATACTGACCCATGAGTGGAAACGCGTTGATGGCGACCCCAATGATGGTGGCAGCAACGATGAGCTTAAAGCCCCAGTGCGACCGCCACCCCAGATTCTCCTCGTCTAATGACTCGTATTCTTCCCTCTCCCCTCCTTCCCCCCTCTCTCCTCCCCTGCTATCCTCCTCCGCTCTCTGCTCCCCCCTCTTCTTGCACGCTTGTTTGTTACTTGTGCCCCCCTCTCCCTGCTCCCATTTTTTGCCCCCCTCTTTCACTCCAACTGATTGTGCATTTTCTGCGTCCAGCGAGCTGGTGCTCACGAGGCTGGTTACCAGACGCTTCTGCTGGCCAATGAGCAGACTCTCGCTACCTGCTTCGCCAGTCGCGACTCTGGTTACTGAGCTCTGTCGTGACAGGGTGTCAACAGCGGATGTCGCAACAGCACTGGATCTTCTTTCTACATGTTGTCGCACGAGAAAACCATTTTTGAGAATTCTCAAAACCGAGGGTGTCGCAGCAACGCTGGGTCTTCTTTCTAGGCGTTGACGCGCGATCCGAGGGCCGACTCGAGTCCAGATGACAGCCTCGTTGGCCTCGAGGCGCCACTGTGCGTGCGGCGAGCGGCGGTAGCGGCGAAAACCAGACGCTGGGCGGCGGAGATCATCATCATGATGATGAACATCCCAATGGCGCCCAGAGAGGCCTCGATGGTCCGTTGCTCCTCCTGCTCGCGTTATTGTGTCGCATGATCGAGCAACAGCGGCCAAAAGAGACCGTGCTCCTGCTCCCTCCCTTGCCCCCTCTCTTGCTTCCTCGGCCTCGTGATCAGAGCTCCCAAACCGCACACACACAGCAGGAAGATCGACGGATGTCTGAGGCCGAGAAGCGCAGAGACGATCCGATCCGTCAACGGAAATCCCAGTGACCCTTCGCAGCGACGCAGCGACGGATTCGGAAAAACGACATTTTATTACAGACTCTGAGGATAAGTTCACGAAAGATCGTTCTACGAGATCGACCGCCTGCCTGCTCTGGGTGCATGTTCTGCGAGAGATTCTCGCAGCAGCCATGGATGCAAAGGCGAAAGCAACCAGAAACCATTTCAGAAACCAGGAAACCAGCTGATAGAAAACATTGCAGACCGTGGTAGAAGATGTGTACGTACGGGAATCACTTCAGAGGTTCAGTTTGATTCTGTCTCAGTTGCTCTGTAACTGCGCAGTAACAAGTCTAGAGGGAACTTGATCTCCGGTCAAAATTTGTGCGCGCAAATGAACCTGAAGTGAACACAGCGGCGTTCCGAAAGCTTTCGATTCTTCCGTGCGAATTCGCAAATATCTCTCAAACTCGCATCTGGTAACCCTTTGAACTTGTTTCGCGTCGGCGAGCGACAAGAATTCGTGTTACTTCCGATTGCAGTCGGCAAGGTGGGGTCAGTTCTGGCGGGAAAGGCAATCCGAGCGACCTCTGCAGCAGAACCTAGGGACCTCCAAATGTTTGTAGTCAAACGCCCTAGGGAACTCCGACGGTGCAGAACGTCAGAACCGGTGTAACACCCACAAGCCATGAAACGCACCAAAAAGCAGCTAGGCCCAGTTCGGCATCTTCCCTAAAATTGCTGGGGGTGCCGTCGTGAAGCCATAGCTCATAGCGACCCATCATATCCTAGCTTTTGGTGCAATAGGCATTGTTCGGTTACGCGCCGGGTGCACGCGGCGACTAACGCGGCATGGAGGACGAGATGGAGGAGATGAACTGGGGGGTGAGCAACCATGGGCCATGGCTTAGGGAGTGGTAGTCGTTCTCGTCATTGTGGCTGGCTTGCTCTCCTTTTCATTTAAATGGCTCTCTTTTGTCCTCCACGATTTCGATACGTCGCTTTGTACCGATCAGAAGCTGTTTTTGTCTGCATAATATATACGCAACAAGCCATGGCCAACCTTGGTTCACCTTGTTTAGAAGAAAATCAAAAGGCTTCGTCGCTTCTAATCGTTAGAGGCTGTCGGGCCTTTCGGTTGACATTTCGTGCACGAGTCGTTTCGTCGTCAAGTCTCATTCGCCCTCGTCGAGTCGAGTCGTCGTGCATCGAGCGTGGTGCATCGCTGCGCGTACCCCAGTCGCGTGCTAACACGCTTCTCTTTATTCACAGCAAAGCGGTCGTAATCGACAAAGCGTATTCCGCTCATGCGCGTCGCCAAGTGCTCCGCTAATTTAGGAATACCTAAATGACATCGGCAGCGTGCCTTCGGGAAAAAAAAAAAAATCCTGGCATTGCTTCAATCATGGCTACTCTGGCTACACTTTATTCCTCTTTAACAGTGCCAAATGGAAGCTTTTCTCCGCGTCGGGCCTCCCAGCTTTTTTCGCGCTTCGGCTCCCGTTCCTGCTTCAGTCTCTTCTGCGTTTTCGTCCCCCCCTTTTACACTCGCATGCGTTCCGTTATCCTCGCCGCTCCCTTCGACCCGCGCTTTGGAGCTTCAGTTGGGCGGCACTCACGTCACAATGTCCTCTTCTCGTCTCTCATGTGCTCTTGTTCGCATCGCATCTATCCCCTCTTTCCCAACCCCGTTTCCCCATTCTCTACCGTTTCCCACCGTTTCCCCCTTCCTCGCCCCTCTTCTCTCCATCCCGCCGCCTCCCCTCAACCACACGCTTCCCCCTCTCCCCTCCGCTCGCCCCCCTTCGTCTCCCGCGTTCAGGCCGTATATCATCTGTCCGAAATCAGGACGTGTAGAAGGAGCCGCGAATGCGCCTTTTTTTTTCCCATGTCGTTTCGACTGGCCTTGAGTTCCCGTTGAAGCCCCACGCTCTTCCCACCACCCGCACCCCCACTTTCCCCGTCCACGCAACACAACCTCCCTCTCGCTTTCATCTCCATCCCCCACCTACGTCATGGAGGATCCGCTATCGGGCATCCAGGACGTGTGGAAGGAGCTGCGATTCAACACGCCTTGGTACACTCTTATGCCAATTTCAATAATGTACCCCTCTCCCCCCCTTCCCCCCACTCCCCCCCCCCCCCCCCCCCGTTCAGGCCGTGGAGGACCAGCTGTCGGGCATCCAGGACGTGTGGAAGGAGCTGCGATTCAACACGCCTCGATACACTCTTATGCCAATTTGAATATTTCCCCCCTCCCCTTTCCCCCCGTCTTTCCCCCACCCCCGCGCCCCCACCTCCCCCCTCCTCTTCAGGCTGTGGAGGACCAACTGTCGGGCATTCAGGACGTGTGGAAGGAGCCGCGGTTCGACACGCTGCCGCACGTGGTGGCGGTGCTGACGTCAGGGTACCCGCAGGACGACATGGCGAGCCTGGCGAAGCTGCGCGACACCATAGAGGTGCTCGTGGATGACGTCGTGCAGGCGTACCATCAAGGGTTCAACAAGGCCATTCACAACTACTCGCAGGTGGGTTGCTGTTGTTGAGTCGACTCAAAGAGCGTTAGGGTACCTGCAAGATGACATGGCGAGCCTGGCGAAGCTGCGAGACACCATCGAGGTGCTCGTGGATGACGTCGTGCAGGCGTACCACCAGGGCTTTAACAAAGCGATTCACAACTACTCGCAGGTCTGTTGGTGTTTGTTATTGTATGTGCATGTAAGTATATCTGTTGTTACTGTTTAGAGGTGCTGGTGGACGATGTCGTGCAGGCGTACCACCAGGGCTTTAACAAGGCGATCCACAACTACTCGCAGGTCTGTTGGTGTTTGTTATTGTATGTGCATGTAAGTATATCTGTTGTTACTGTTTAAGAGGTGCTGGTGGACGATGTCGTGCAGGCGTACCACCAGGGCTTTAACAAGGCGATCCACAACTATTCGCAGGTCTGTTGGTGTTTGTTATTGTATGTGCATGTAAGTATATCTGTTGTTACTGTTTAGAGGTGCTGGTGGACGATGTCGTGCAGGCGTACCACCAGGGCTTTAACAAGGCGATCCACAACTACTCGCAGGTCTGTTGGTGTTTGTTATTGTATGTGCATGTAAGTATATCTGTTGTTACTGTTTAGAGGTGCTGGTGGACGATGTCGTGCAGGCGTACCACCAGGGGTTCAACAAGGCCATCCACAACTACTCGCAGGTCGGTTATGGTTGTATGTGTGCGTGTGTATGTATGTACGTGCCACAGTAGAGGTGCTCGTGGACGATGTCATGCAGGCGTACCACCAGGGCTTTAACAAGGCCATCCACAAGTACTCACTCGCAGGTGTGATACTGTTAGCCCGTTACACGGTATTGGCATTTTTTTCTTCCACTCATGATATGATCATGCGCCATTCACCATGTCTCCTTCACCCCTCTGCCCCTTTCCCCCGCCCCTAGAGTCCGAACCGAAAATCTTCAGCGGGGCAGATGAACGAGCCGAAGACGAGTGTGGCGCCATGGATGCACGTCATCTTCCCCTAGCTCTCTGACTCATGTGACTTTTGAGAATTCTCAAAAGTCACACGAATATTTCCCCTAGCTCTCTGTACTCATGTCCCCATGATGACCCCATGCACACCATCTGCCATGCACCTTTTCCCCATGCCTTCCCGTCTCCTCCCTCCCCCCTTTTCCCCCCTTTCCCCTCCCCTCTCTCCCTCCCTGCAGATTCTGAAGCTGTTCAGCGAGTCAGCGGAGCAGATGAGCGAGCTCAAGGCGAGTCTGGCGGAGGCGAGGCGGCTGCTGAGCAACCGACACAAGCAGCTGCAGCAGCTGTGGTGCCGATCAATCACGCATTCAAACATGCATGCGCCACGCACCATACGTGTCTCTCTCCTCCAACCCCCCCCCCTTCCCCCTCCCCCACACCCCCCCCCCCACCCCCCCCCCCCCCCCCCCCCCCCCCCCCGCCCTTTTCCCTTCCAGATTCTGAAGCTGTTCAGCGAGTCAGCGGAGCAGATGAGCGAGCTCAAGGCGAGTCTTCTTTTGAGTCGACTCAAAAGCAGACTCACAAGCGTTCCCCCATGCCGCCCCACCGCCTTCCCCTCCCTGCAGATTCTGAAGCTGTTCAGCGAGTCAGCGGAGCAGATGAGCGAGCTCAAGGCGAGTCTGGCGGAGGCGAGGCGGCTGCTGAGCAACCGACACAAGCAGCTGCAGCAGCTGTGGTGCCGATCAATCACGCTGCGCCACGTCATCTCCCTCATCGACCAGATCGACAGCGTCTCCAAGGCACGCTCACAATGCATTTAGTTAGTTCCAACGATGCATGCGCTTATGGCTCTGCAATGCAGTGCATCGTGTATCGTGTCATATCGTATGATCAGGTTCAAAAAAACGACCGTATTATTGAAAATTTACCGTAAAAAACGACCATAAAAAACGGTTTAAAACGGTTCCAGGAGGTGTTTTTTGTTTGAAGAAAAGAAAGGCTGATGTGCGCTTGCAGGTACCCCTCTTTGCATCCGTGCGCTTGTGGGCATGATTGAAACGGCATACGACCTTGTTTTTCCCTTTTTTTTTCTTGGTGACAACACTTCTCTAACAAAAAAACGCCGGTTTTTTTGGAAAATTGCCGTAAAATACGGACCGTATAAAACAGTCCGTAAAATACGAAAACCGTAATTTTGAACCTTGATCGTATCAGGGTCAGGATATCCAATTCAGTCACCACATCATGCCATCCATGGACCAGGACCACAACCACCGGGCCACCGGGTTTTGGATCAGCTGGCTGGTGTTGGAGGGGCAGCTGCACGTTGCCGTGCAGACTTGACTACTCACTCTACTCTTCCCCCATCCCCCAACCCTGCATCCATTCGCTCCCTCCCACTCCTGTGCAGGTGCCCGCGCGCATAGAACAGCTGGTGGCGAAGGGGCAGCTGTATGCTGCCGTGCAGGCAGAGACAGTGAGGAACAAAGGCAGGCGCCAGTCATTCCCCATTCTCACCTGTCTCCGCCCTACCAAACACCCTTCTTCCCTTCCCGCACCCCCCTTCCCGTCCACTCCTGTGCAGGTGCCAGCGCGCATAGAGCAGCTGGTGGCGGAGGGGCAGCTGTATGCTGCCGTGCAGATTCACCTGCAGTCCATCTCCACGCTCGACAGAGAGGGCATCTCCCAGGTGAAAACAACAGACGGCATGCTTGCCAGGTGTTCGACATTTGCCAGGTAAGGCTCTCTGGCAAGTACCTGCCTTCATTCATTCCCGCACCGCACCCGCTGTCCCATCCATGGCATGTGGTCCCATCCATGGCATGTGGTTCCATTTGATGGCATGTGGTTCCATGGCATGTGGTTCCATGGCATGTGGTTCCATGGCATGTGGTTCCATGGCATGTGGCTCCATGGCATGTGGCTCCATGGGTGGGGGGGAACATGCGCGCAGGGACTTTCTACCCCTTTGTTTGCTTCTGATGGCGTACAGGGATCATCTTCAGTCTATCCTCAGAGCCCCTCCCTCCCTCCACCCCGCATTCCACTCCATGCAACGAGCTGGCGAACACGAAGCTGCTACTGTTCATTCAGTTCCTCTTTCCATAGGCGTTCTTCCCATGCCCTGCCTGTGCCCGTGCCTGCGCCCGTGCCTGTGCCCGTGCTCGCTCTCCCCATCCCTCCACTCGCCCTCCGACCCTGTCCGCACAGATCGGAGCGCTGAGGGACATTCGCAACGAGCTGGCGAACACGAAGCTGCTGCTGTTCGATTCCTCTCATGCACATTCGTCCCATCCACTGCCTGATCCTGTGCCTGCGTCCTTGCTCGTTCTCCCCATCCCATCCATGCGCCCCCCCGCCCTGATGGCCCAGATCGGAGCGCTGAGGGACATTCGCAATGAGCTGGCGAACACGAAGCTGCTGCTGTTCAACCGCGTGATAGAGGAGCTGCATGCGCACCTGTACAACAAGGGCGAGCATAGGTGGGTGTTCATACATGCATACACGCATGTGCATGTATGTGTGGGTAAGCATGCATCATGCACGTGTGCATCTGTGCCAAGCTGCTGCTGTTCAACCGCGTGATAGAGGAGCTGCATGCACACCTGTACAACAAGGGCGAGCACAGGTGGGTGAACCAGATTGTGTGTGTGCATGGGTGTGCATGGGTGTGCATGGGTGTGCATGGGTGTGCGTGAGTGCATCGCATAGGTCCGTGTGCATACACGTGCGTGTATGCATGGATGCACATGCATGCATGTGCGCGTTTGTGTCAAGCTGCTGGTGCTGTTCAAATGTGTGATAGAGGAGCTGCATGCACACCTGTACAACAAGGTTAAGCACAGGTGGGTGTGGTGGGGCATGGATGTTTGGTTTGGGTACACACGCACGCATGCACAGCACACGTCGATGCTGCTGCTGTTCATTCAGTCGTGTGATAGAGGAGCTGCATGCACATCTGTTCAACAAGAGGAAGCACAGGTGGGTCGTGGGGCTTTAGAGTACGCATGCGATAGCATTCCTTCTCCTTCTCACCCCATCTCTTGGGCTAAGTGGAGAAAGACGCGTCCTGCGTCTAGGACGCTTGCGTCCAGACGCAGCGTCTTAGACGCAGGACGCTAGAGGAGGGCCTTTATGACGCATGAAAATACGCATGCCCGGGCAGGGCAAAAAAAACCCCGGGCAGCCGGAAAATGATGTTATAGGGTATGGGAAGGGGGGGGGGGACGACGATGCACACATTTGAAGCAAAATCGTCCCCTTCAATTTTTCAGGGTTTAGGGTTTACGAAGGAGAATTGTCTTGGTAAACCCTCTAGGGTGTTTTTGATGGTCGAAATGGGTTAGGGGGGGTCGACATGACGCGAAATTGACAGTCGCGTCGAAATTGTTATAGTCCATTTCGCGCTGAGGCAAAAAAACAGCCCGAAAAAAAAAAACGGGGTGCGACCTGCGTCTGGACGCGCGTCCTGCGTCTCTGCGTCTGGACGCTGCATCCAGAGGCAGGACGCAGCAGGACGCGTGCGTCTTTCTCCACTTAGCTCTTGGGTCCCTTCTCCCCCCGCCCCTCCTGTCCTATTGACCGCACACACAGCCTAAAGAAGGAAGCTGCAACGGATGACGATGCGATGATGACATCAGTAACCTCGTTCCCCTTTTCTCCCCTCTTTCCCCCCCGCAATCCACTCACTCAATCTGCGGTCCTTTTTCCTCCCCCACCCTAATCCACTCGACCATGCAGTTTAAAGAAGGAAGCCGCTACGGACGATGATGATGACATCAGCAACCTTGTGCCAGTGGCTGTGCCGGCCGCTGCCCCGCTACATCCGTCGCTTGCCGCCCAGGGCATCTCCCTGCCCGCCCCCTCCAAGCCCTCCCGCACGCGTGGCCGCAGCGCCCGGGCCCGCGGAGGTCTGAACGTGGAGACTGGGTAAGGCTTTTGACTTGAGAAATCTGGGAAGCAGAAGATATTTGCGAGCAATTTGAATGCGAACATTCCCTTGGAGATGGAAAATTGCCGTTTGTGTGTGTGTGTGTGTGTGTGCACGCGCGCGTGTGCGTGTGCGTGGGTGCGGGTCCGTGCGTGCATGCGTGCGTGTGTGCGTGTGTGCGTGCGTGCGTGTGTGTTTGTGTTTTTTTTTAACCCGTGCCCACCACGATGGTGTGAGGGGGCGTGAGCGTGGGGACTGGGTAAGGCTAGAGACAGGTGTGGGAGATGGGTGGGAGAAGGGACCACAAGCAAACCACGTGCATTTAGGCATATTCGTGTTCGCCTTTTGGCTGTAATTCACTCCTGTCGCACGCACGAGTGAGCTTGCCCACACGCAGTGAGGCCTTGGGCATGTCAACTCGCTTCCCGTTCCTCTTTCCCCCCCTCCTCCCGCCCCCTTCTCTTCATTCCAGGAGCGCGGTGAGTGAGGGCGATGACGGCACAGTGAGCTGGCCCATGCGCAGTGAGGCATCGGGGACACCATCTTGCTTCCCTTCCCCATTCCCGTCCTCCCTCTCCACACCTGTTCCCCCTTCGTCCCTTTCCATCCCCCCCTCCTCCAGGAGCGCGGTGAGTGAGGACGATGACGGCACAGTGAGCTCGCCCACGCGCAGTGAGGCGTCGGGCACGTCCGCCCCGGGGGGAGGGGAGGTGGTGGTGAGGCGCGCCCACGTGCCGCCTCCCAAGTGGCTCACTGAAGCCACCTCCAACGAGTTCGTGGTAAGTAGTGGATGGGGAGACGGGGGGATGGGATGAGTGCTGGTGGAGGGAGGGTGTTGAGGTGACCTTTGTGTTGAGGTGAGCTTTAAGTCAACGCAAGCTGAACTCTGAGGAGGTGGTGGTGAGGCGCACCCACGTGCCGCTGGCCAAGTGGCTCACTGAAGCCACCTCGAACGAGTTCGTGGTGCGTGGTGGGTGGAAGCGGATGTGGGGGGGGATGAGTGTTGGTGGTGGGTGGGTGTTGAGGAGGTGATCTTTTAGTCAGCTCAAGCTGAACTCTGAGGAGGTGGCGGTGAGGTGAGGTGTGCCCACGTGCCGCCGCCCAAGTGGCTCAGGGGAGCCACTTCCAACGAGTTCGTGGTGAGGTGAGTGAATGCTCAGGTGGTTCTAGACCTTTGAGGCGCCTCAAAGATTCAAAATAGTGCTGAGGCCGCACCCTGCTGGATCCGAATCCTAAAATGATTCTCAACAGGCTGCACCGCACCATCTCCCTCAGGGGAGGTGGTGGTGAGGCGCACCCACGAGCCCCTGCCCAAGTGGCTCACTGCAGCCACTTCCAATGAGTTCTTGGTGGGTGCTGGGTGGGGGGTGGGAAACGGATGAGTGTCTGTGGGGGTGGATTGCATCGCTCTTCCCTTGCTCTTCATGCATGCACGCGACTACCCCCGTTTTATCCCTCTCTTCGTTGACCCACCCATTCCACACAGGAGTCACAGGAGTCACCAAGAGGGAGGCCCCAGAGCACGACAAGTAAATGCAGACGCTGGTGGAGTGCATTGCTCTGCATTCATTTCATTCACCCGTGCACCCACTAATGTTCACCCCGTGGCTCCTCTCACAGGAGTCGTTGACCAAGAGGGAGGTGCCGGAGCATGACAAGTACATGCAGACGCTGGTGGAGTGCATTGCTCTGCATTCATTTCATTCACCCGTGCACCCACTAATGTTCACCCCGTGGCTCCTCTCACAGGAGTCGTTGACCAAGAGGGAGGTGCCGGAGCATGACAAGTACATGCAGACGCTGGTGGAGTGCATTGCTCTGCATTCATTTCATTCACCCGTGCACCCACTAATGTTCACCCCGTGGCTCCTCTCACAGGAGTCGTTGACCAAGAGGGAGGTGCCGGAGCACGACAAGTACATGCAGACGCTGGTGGAGTGCATTGCCCTGCTCGGCAAGGTGGCTGCTGCTGGCGCCGTGCTCAGGTGGGTCATTGCGCCTCCTAGCTGGGCTTTTCGCCCTCCCCAATGGCCTTGCTCGCCCCCCTATAGATTCCTCCCCCCTTCCAGGTAAAAATTCCTTCCTTCCCAAGTAGGTTCCTCCCCACCCCACTCCCCGCTCGCTCTCCTTCCTTCACATCTGGTGGTCTGCCTCGCCTTGTGCTTGCTGTGCCGTGCCGTTGATTGCCTCGTGTACTGTTTACCGTAGTCGACACAAAAGTCACCCCTGTGCTGTGCTGTGCTGTGCTGTGCTGTGCTGTGCTGTGCTGTGCGGTGCTGTGCTGTGCTGTGCTGTGCTGTGCTGTGCTGTGCTGTGCTGTGCTGTGCTGTGCTGTGCTGTGCTGTGCTGTGCTGTGCTGTGCTGTGCTGTGCTGTGCTGTGCTGTGCTGTGCTGTGCTGTGCTGTGCTTTTTAGATTAGGTCGCTCTGTGCTTGTGCTGTGGTGGTCTTGAGTTGGCCGCACTCAACAGCAGGCATCTGGTGGTCTGCCATATGCCGTTCCGCTATGTGGATGCTACTTTTGAGATTTCTCAAAAGTAGAATCCTTATGTCTGCCATATGCCGTTCTGTCTTTCATGCTTTTTTTTCCACCCCGTGGTACTCTCCTGTGCAAGTGAGTGTGCGCATCTGTGCATGTGCGTGTGCATGTGCATGTGCGTGTGTCATGTGCGCATGAATGTGTGCCTGCATGTATGTGTTCATGTGTGTATGAATGTGTGGATGTGTTTGTGCATGCGTGTCTGCATGTGGATGTGTTTGTGTGTTTTTATGTGCGCATGTATATGTGCATGTGTGCATACATGTATGCATGCATGTGTGTGTGCATATGTATGCATACATGTACGTGTGCATGTATGCATGCATGTCATGTGTCCACATGAGCAGTCAGCGTGTGCGGGGGTCGGTGAGGGAGATCATTCTCAACGAGATCAAGGACTTTGCAGCAGCAGCAGATGCAGCACGGTGAGTCGTGTTTTGAGTCGACTCAAAACAGGTTCAGCACGGTGAGTTGGAGGGTCAGTCAGTTTACATGTGCCATTCAATCTAAATGTGCCTTGCTTTCAAATTTAATAAAACATCGAGAATGACAGGCATTCTGCATCCACTCTGAGGCTCCTATCCTAATGCCGATATCTGCTGTTTCATGCTTCGAATACAAGTATGACGGTACGTGATGCAGCTTGGTTTGGTGCGGTTAAACTCGGTTGAAAAGTGGCCTCAGCAGCAGATCCAGTTTCACTGCAAAGCCTCCCTTGTGCTGCAGAGCAAGCAAGCATGAACAACGACGGCACATTCATTCCGATGTCTCTTCCTATTGGCTGATTCTTGTGTCATTCTTTTGTTGAACTATGTCAGTCCTGCACTCCACTCATCGACCACTTCTAACCACTCTCTCTTCTCTGCTCTGTTTCCTCATCAGCCCAACCTTCCCAACTCCGACCCTTCCCCGCCCCACATCCCCATCCGCCCTTTCCCCCAGTCCGCGAGTGGAGCAGGTGAGCAAACGCTCACAGGCGGTGGCCTCCACTCCCCACTCGGCCGCCTCCACACCCTCCTCCCACTCCACCTTCTCCTCTTCCCCGGCCTCCTGTGACACATTCACTCAGTCCTCTCTTCCTCTTAGTCACTTTTGTTGTGACTCATCGTCCTCACCTCCCTCTCTCTCCCCACCCTCACTCCTCTTCCCCCTCCCCCATTCCCCCCAACCCCCCCATCCCCCCCCCCCCCATTCTCCCCCAGTCCGCGAGTGGAGCAGGTGAGCAAGCGCTCTCAAGCTGCTACCTCCACTCCCCACTCGGCGGCCTCCACGCCCTCCTCCCACTCCACCTTCTCCTCCTCCTCCGCTGCCTCCCGCTCCTCCTACTCATCCTACCCCCTCCGCTCCTCCAACCCGCGCGGTATCACGGACCGAGCAGTGGTGGCGGGAGGGGGAGGGGCGGGCGGAGGGGCGGGGGGAGGGGCAGGGGCAGGGCTGCATGCGCCAAACGGGGTGGCGCAGGTGGTGGCTCAGGAGCTGCTGGAATCTATTATGAAGAAACTGACCGTCATTCTAGGTGCGCATGCATGTGCCAAACTGAGGGTGTCTGTTTGTGTGAGGTGTTGATTGCTTGGTTTGTTTGAAAACCCTCAGTTTGTGAACACAGACCAAGCAAACAGACAGACACCCTCAGTTTGTGAACACAGACCAAGCAAACTGCTCGGCTGTCATGCACCACGTGCCAGCCAGTTAGGGACGAAGTGGTCGGCAATAGGAACAAGCACAGCGCCCCCCTTGTCGTCCCATCCCGTTTCATTCCGTCATGCTGCAGAGAACCCATCGTGGTGGGAGGGAGATTTCATGGAGGCCAAGGCATGAGACCGCTGGTTGCCATAATCTGACGCCTGAGTCCCTGCTCCCTCTCCACCCGTCCTTCACTACTGCAGAGAACCACATAGTGGTGGGGGATCTTATGGAGGCCAAGGCATCAAACCACTCAGGGATGTGAGGCGCACTTGCTCTCTTCTCCCACTCCACTCCAATGTACCGCACCCCACCTGACTGTCACTGCAGAGAACCACATAGTGGTGGGAGACCTCATGGAGGCCAAGGCGTCGGACCGCGCAGGGGACGTGAGGCGCACGCCGGATGGGGACGAGACGGTCAGCAAGTTCTGCGCCTTCTCCCCGCCTGACTGTCCCTCCCATCCCATCCAACCTCACCTCACCGCAGAGAACCACATAGTGGTGGGCGACCTCATGGAGGCCAAGGCGTCAGACCGCGCGGGGGATGTGCGGCGCACGCCGGATGGGGACGAGGCGGTTAGCAAGTTCAGCGCCAGCACGGGCGGCTACAGCGTCGCTTTCGTCTGGTCCTGCATGCAGGTGGGCGGAAAGGTTTGGCATGCGCTGCTTTCGCGTGGGGAGCATTTTAGCTAAACCTTGCTGACTGTGTGTGTGCCACTCGTTCTCTTGTATTCTTCCTCCCTATCCCTTTCCTCCCTCCCTTCTCCCCTCTTCCTTCACTCCACACAGTGCGATTGCCAGCGGTTGCTGTGTGACATTCTCAGGGCCAGCCCTTTTTGAATTCTTCCCCCTTTTCCGCCTTTCCCCCATTTCCTGCCCCTTCGCCCCACTCCCCCTCCCCCTCCCCCCTCCCCCCTCCCTCCTCCCCCCTCCCTCCTCCACTCCTTCCCAGAGCGAGTGCCAGCAGTTGCTGTGCGACATTCTCAGGGCCAACCCTTGTTCAATGGCCCATCCCCCCCCTTCCCCCCCCCACTCCTGGCCCTCCCCCACTCTTTCGTCCCCTGCCTTCACTCCACACCAGAGCGAGTGCCAGCAGTTGCTGTGCGACATCCTGAGGGCCAACCCGGACGGCGGCTCCTCTGAGACCTCAGGCCGCACCGCCCAGCTCAAACTCGACTCCGGCGGGTATGATCCGATCCACATTTGATTTTTTATTGATTTGATCTGATCTGATCTGATCTGATCTGATCCGATCTGTTTTGATCAAATCTAATCTTATCCGATTAGTCTGATCTAATCTGTTCTGATTCGATCTTATGACCTGATGGGATCCGTAGTGTTGTGAGCTGATCGTATCTGATCTGATTCTTGTTGCTGGTGTCATTGGTTGAGCAAAGTGTGATGGGGATTTTCTTATTATGTCCGTTTGTTGGTTTTTGCACCCCACCCCACCCCACCCCACCCCACCCCTCCCCACCCAACCCCCACACCCCCAAACCCCCAAGTCCCCCCGACCCCTCAACCCCCACTCTACCTGCTGCTTTCCAGCTCTTTTTTCTGCTCTTTCCTGCTCTGCTTAGATCCGCTCCTGACTCTTCTGTCTCTGCTGCCAGCTTTTCTCCTGACTCTTCCTGCTCTGTTTCCACCTCTGCTCCCAACTCTCCTCTCTGTGTTGCAACTCCTAGTGCCCATTTCTCTGTCTGCCTGTGCTCATGCACAACTGCGGCCTGTGCCCCGATGCTCCAACTGTCGCATCCATGCATGGGCGTGTAACTGAGTGTGGGCGAATGGATGCATGGGTCCATGGCTTTATGGGTGCATGGGTCATGGGCGCATGGGCGCATGGCGGATGTATGGGTGCATGGGTCATGGGCGCATGGGCGCATGGCGGATGTATGGGTGCATGGGTCATGGGCGCATGGGCGCATGGCGGATGTATGGGTGCATGGGTGGTCTCGCATGCATGGCTGCATGGATTTATTCTCTGCCATGTGTGCGGCAGCAGCACCAAGGGAGCCATGCTCACCTTCAGCTTCCGTTTCACCGACTCCAACACCGCCTCCGCTCCTGCTGCAGGTGTGTTGCTCCTGCTCTTGCTCTTGCTCCAGGTATGATGCTCTGTTCTGGGTGCATGGATGCATGGGTGCACTTGTCTCTCTCTGCCATGCATGCATGCATGTGTGCGGCAGCAGTGCCAAGGGAGCCATGGTCACCTTAAGCTTCCATTTCACCCGGAATGACTGTGACGTGTAGGAAAGCCTTTACAGTTCTCTTCACCTGCACTGCGCCTCCCTGTAGTCCCCTTCCCTAATTCTTTGCAGGTTGCTTTTGAGAAGTTCCCACCCGTCTGTAGCTCCCCTCCTTTCTTCTATCTTCACTGGAGGTGTCTCTACACTTGCAAAAACGACCCACCACCCTCCTCACTGCTCCCTACCACCCCTTCCCCTGCTTCCCCTCTCTCACTACAATCACATCACAGCGGAGTCGCTGCCGAAGAGGCGGGTGGGGGGCATGGCGGGGGGAGCGGGCGCACTGGAGGGGTATGGCACGGCACAGCTGCTGCCAGAGCGAGGCATCTACCTCACCTCCGCCTGCTACCGCCCCACGCTGCAGGTGGGTTGAGCGTCAGGCTAGTTGACTGTTTAAGTCCTTTTCTGGCTTGTTAATCTGCCACCTATGTTCTGCTACTCTTCTGGGAGAATGTCTCGGCTCTCGAGGCGTCTACTTCATCATGTTCACCTGCTACTGATCTCCACTCTGCTGGTGGTTCCAGACCAGCAGAATGCGTTTAAGTCGACAAGTTTGGTTCTGGGTGGAGTGCCCCACTGAAACCCATCTGCACCATTCCAAACCATCCCTCCGTCACCTTTTCTGCCTTTTCCTCCGTCCTTCCCCTCCTCCCTCTCTCTCTCCCGCCCTCCCCTCCTCCCCCTTCCCAGTTCACTGAAAAAGTTACGCAGATGCTGCCACGCAAATACTCCGACCTGGGGTGAGTTGTAAACCTGTAAAATATAGTACGGCATATTTTGCTCCTAAAGGATAGCTTTAAAATCGTCAAACCTGTAAATAATACTGTACAGAACAGTACCGAGTATGGATCTGAGTCCTATGCACAATCCACTTGTCCTGCAATCGCATTCTCCCGTCGATTCAACCGCATCCCATTCGCCACTCTTGCTGTCCCACTTTGCTGCCCCCCTCTGTCTTCCCCTTTGCAGCAGAGATTACTTTCCAGTTGGCTAAAAAACCACCGAATTCGCCACTCTTTCTCTCCCGCTTTTGCTACCCCTCTCCCCCCTCTCCTTTGCCCCCTCCTCCTGCCCTTGCTGATTCAGCCGGTCTGGCCTGCGTCCCTTTATGGACAGCTTCGTTAAGGACCAGTTCCTGCCCTGCGTTCGCGACGACTACCGCAACCGCGTTGCCGAGGCCCTCTCCAGTGAGTGCTCTGATGCCATGCTATGCTAGTTATCCACTGAGCTTTCATATATTGGTAACCCCCCCTCCCCCATCCATCCCTCCCCCGTCACCTGTGAACCTGACATATGGCTGCTGTTTGTCTCTTCATGCTCCCGCCCACTCTCCTCCCACCCCCCACCCCCCTCCTTTCCTCACCCACCCCACGTCTGCATTTTGCCATCGAGCCAAGGCCATCGGCATGGACTAGCTGCCATGTAAAAGCCACTATGCTGCTGCACACGAGAGCAACCTGCATGACACCCGCTGCTCTCCCGTCTGTCTCCATCCCTTTCTCCCCCATCCCCCCCCCCCCCCTCCTCCCCTCTCCCACCGCCCCTGCAGGCCCGTCTGCCTTCCGCCCTCGAGCCAAGACCATTGGCATGTACGAGCCAGCAGCTGAGAAAGGCCGCCCGCTGCTGCACACAAGAGTAACCTGAGTGATACTGCTGCTCGTCTCCCTCCGTCTCCGTCCCTTCCAACCCAACCCCCTTGCTCTTCCCCCCTCACTGCAGGCCCCTCGGCCTTCCGCCCTCGAGCCAAGACCATTGGCATGTACGAGCCAGCAGCTGAGAAAGGCCGCCCGCTGCTGCAGGGGCCAGTGGCGGTGGAGGGGGTGGTGGAGGAGGTGGTGGAGTGGGCCAAGGCCATGCCCGTGTATGCGGGGGAGTTTGTGGCACTTGTTCACACACTCCTTGACAGGACTCTGGAGCGCTGCCGGGGTGTTTATACCGAGGTAGGTGTGTGCGGGGGTGACTGCTGTGGGAGGTGGTGGAGTGGGCCAAGGCCATGCCTGTGTATGCGGGGGAGTTTGTGGCGCTTGTCCATACCCTGCTTGACCGCACACTCGAGCGCTGTCGGGGTGTTTATACCGAGGTGAGCGCTAGTGAGCTGCCTGAAAGGCGCAGTGTGGAGGTGAGGCAAGGTGGTGAAGTTAGTTTTTAGGAACTTCTGCTGGGGCTGCTGCAGGGGCCGGTGGCAGTGGAGGGGGTGGTGGAGGAGGTGGTGGAGTGGGCCAAGGCCATGCCCGTGTATGCGGAGGAGTTCGTTGCACTTGTGCACACCCTGCTTGATAGGACTCTGGAGCGCTGCCGGGGTGTTTATACTGAGGTGAGCTCTTGTTGTGAGTTGCCTGAAATCGGGTATCGAGGGGCTGCTGCAGGGGCTGCTGCAGGGGTTGCTGCAGGGGTTGCTGCAGGGGTTGCTGCAGGGGTTGCTGCAGGGGTTGGTGGCGGTGGTGGGGTTGGTGGAGTGGGCCAAGGCGTGGGAGGAGGTGTGCTGTGTAGGGGATAGTGGTGGTGGAGTGGGCCAAGGCCATGCCCGTGTATGCGGGGGAGTTCGTTGCTCTCGTGCACACCCTGCTTGACCGCACACTCGAGCGCTGCCGCGGTGTCTACACTGAGGTGGGCTGCTTGGGCTGGGGGAGGGGGAGAGAGAGGGGGAGGGGAGAAGGTGGGGTGGTTGCTGGGGATGGCATGGTGGTTGCACATTCTTCTTCCTCCTGTTCCCTTCCCGACCTTTCCTTCCCTTTCTCCCTGCCTGCCTCCCACAAGTTATTCTCTGCTCCATCAACCTGGTCGGTTGCCCGGATATCAACAACATGCCGCCTGCCAAGAACAAACTCATGCAGGCGCCATGTTCCTCCTCTCCCCTTCCGACCCCCCATTATCCTCAATCTTCCTGTTCTCCCAAACCCAACTTCCCTACTGTCACCCCTCTCCCTCCCCCCTTCCCCTGCCAGGCTGTGCTCGGCTCTCTCAGCAGCAACCTAGTGGGCCGCCCGGACATCGACAACCTGATGCAGCAGCAGGCGGCAGCCAATCTGCTAACGGACGGCGATCTGCCGCCCGCTGAGCTGGAAGCCGCCCGGGAGGACCCGCCTCTGGACAGCGAGGCGTACGAGCTGGACCTCGAGATCTACGGGAAGCTGCTGGCCTTAAGGCCCATCAAGGAGGTGCGTGTGACAGCTGGTGCTGGTGCATGTGTGTGTGTGAGGGCGTTGGTTTGTTGGGGTGTTCTGCTTTATGGCATGTCAAGGCAACGGAGGCAAGGGTAGTGTTGAGTGGGGCAAAGACTGCAAGCTGCAGCTTGTCACTCAGAGAGCGGCCCTTCGTTACTTGCCTCCCATGCCTCCCATGCCTCCTCTCTCCATGCCTCCCATCCCCCCGCTCACCTTGCCTCTCATCCCCTCTCACACCTGCAGGAGCAACTGATTCTGGACACCGGCAAGCTGGTGCTGCTGGCGGCTGTCAGTGCCTTCCACCATCCTCGCACCTCACCTCTCATCCTCCCGTGTGCATGCCTGCCTCTCATCCCGTTCCGCCCTGGCAGGAGCAACTGATTCTGGATACCGGCAAGCTGGTGCTGCTGGCAGCTTTGAGTGACACGCTCGAGTACTTTGCCGATGCCATCCTGCGGTGAGTGCTGCACTGCATTGATTTTATTTTGCGGTGAGAAACTTCTCGTGAGCACGCATGCTCGCAGAAGCATGTGGCGGAGTAGTTTCTCCTGGTCCACAATGGAAGCATGCATCGACAGATGAGTGGAAGTGTGCTTATCTTCCTGTTCACGCACAAAACGACGAGCACGGAAAAAAACATATTAGAACGAGTGCACGCATCCTCACAGCTGCCCCCGCTTGCTGTCCATCCTCCCGTATTATGCGAATTCCAAGTTACGTGTGCACAGGCTTCTTTCTGTTCATCTTCCCCCGACCCCCTCTGCTCCCTCCCCTGCCCAGTCTCAGCCGGCCCAAGACAGCGGGCAGTGCGAGGAAGAAGACAGCAGCAGCGTCAGCGAGGCAGCAGAGGGCGCCAGCACTGCTAGTGATCTCGCTTACCCTCCCTCTACCCATTCCATCCCTCCTATTTGCAGGCTTGGCCGGCCCAAGACAGCGGGCAGTGCGAGGAAGAAGACAGCAGCAGCGTCAGCGAGGCAGCAGAGGGCGCCAGCACTGCTAGTGATCTCGCTTACCCTCCCTCTACCCATTCCATCCCTCCTATTTGCAGGCTTGGCCGGCCCAAGACAGCAGGCAGTGCGAGGAAGAAGTCGGCAGCAGCATCAGCGAGGCAGCAGAGGGCGCCAGCACTGCCACTAGTCTCACTTACCCTCCCTCTATCCTTCATCCCCTCCTTTTGCCAGGCTCGGCCGGCCCAAGACAGCAGGCAGTGCGAGGAAGAAGTCGGCAGCAGCAGCGAGGCAGCAGAGGGCGCCAGCACTGCCACTAGTCTCACTTACCCTCCCTCTTCCCCCACCTCCCTGCTTCATGCCATGCCCAGTCTCGGGCGGCCGAAAACAGCAGGCAGTGCGAGGAAGAAGTCGGCAGCAGCAGCGAGGCAGCAGAGGGCGCCGGCGCTGACAGCTTCACTGCAGCAGCTGGCGGAGCGCTACCGGCTGCTGGCGAGAGAGGCGCTCAGGACACTACGTGTGGAGATGCAGCTGCACTGCATCTTCCACCTGCAGGTATGCTAGAGTCGAGTATGTGTACTCTTGTGGCTGCAGCAGCTGGCGGGGCGCTACCGGCTGCTGGCCAGGGAGGCCCTTAGGTAGGACGCTGCGAGTTGAGATGCAGCTCCATTGTATCTTCCACCTGCAGGTAACGCATATCTTCTATATGCGAGTGAATGCTGCACTGCAGCAGCTGGCGGAGCGCTACCGGCTGCTGGCCCGGGAGGCGCTGCGAGTTGAGATGCAGCTGCACTGCATCTTCCACCTGCAGGTACAGTTGTTTTGTGTATGCGTGTGGACGCTGCTGCGCTGACGGCTTCACTGCAGCAGCTGGCAGAGCGGAGCGCTACTGCCTGCTGGCACGAGAGGCACTGAGTGCATGCTGCTGCCCTCCCCTGAGGGTGCAGCAGCTGGCGGAACCGGCTGCTGGTGCTGGCGTGAGAGGCGCTCAGGACACTGCGCGTGGAGATGCAGCTGTATTGTATCTTCCACCTGCAGGTGCGCTAGTGTCTTATGCATGTCTGTCTACGTAGGGAAGGAGATGCTGCAGCAGCTGGCGGAGCGCTACCGACTGCTGGCCAGAGAGGCCCTGCGAACGCTGCGAGTGGAGATGCAGCTCCATTGTATCTTCCACCTGCAGGTAACGCTTATGTTCTTTATGCTAGTGAGTGCTGCCGGCTCTCTAGAAGCTGCACTGCAGCAGCTGGCGGAGCGCTACCGGCTGCTGGCGAGAGAGGCGCTGAGTGCATGCTGCTGCCCTCCCCTGAGGGTGCAGCAGCTGGCGGAGCGCTACCGACTGCTGGCCAGGGAGGCTCTCAGGACGCTCTGTTCCGCCCCCCTTTGTCCCCCCGCCTTTCTGTTCCGTGCCCTGATCTGTCACCGCTCCCTCTATCCCCCTGTGCTGCAGTTCATGCCGACCCAGGGGGTACGTGAACGAGATTGATGCGGAGGAGCCTGAGTTTTGAGATGCCTCAGAAGTTGTTGTGTCCCTCCCTTGCCCCCCACCCCCATTGTCACCCCCCCTCTCCATTTGATGCCCCTTTGCTGCAGTTCATGCCGACTCGCGGCTACGTGAACGAGATTGATGCGGAGGAGCCTGAGTTTTGAGATGCCTCAGAAGTTGTTGTGTCCCTCCCTTGCCCCCCACCCCCATTGTCACCCCCCCTCTCCATTTGATGCCCCTTTGCTGCAGTTCATGCCGACTCGCGGCTACGTGAACGAGATTGATGCGGAGGAGCCTGAGTTTTGAGATGCCTCAGAAGTTGTTGTGTCCCTCCCTTGCCCCCCACCCCCATTGTCACCCCCCCTCTCCATTTGATGCCCCTTTGCTGCAGTTCATGCCGACTCGCGGCTACGTGAACGAGATTGATGCGGAGGAGCCTGAGTTTTGAGATGCCTCAGAAGTTGTTGTGTCCCTCCCTTGCCCCTTACCCTCATTGTCAACCACATCTGCCTCGTACCCTTGTGCTGCAGTTCATGCCGACTCGTGGCTACGTGAACGAGATTGATGCAGAGGAGCCAGAGGACTTCATTGTCGCTCTCACTGCTCAGGTACGACTTGCATTGCGTTCTTCAATTAGATTCGTCCTATTTTAGAGCAGACAGTTCGTGTGTACGCTATGGTGTTGTGTCATTTGCGATGCATAAGGACTCCTTCAATGGCTCGCTCGCTTCCAGTGAGAGCCGTGCAATGCAGTGCATTCAATTTAATGAACGAGTGCTGGTGCTTCTCCTCTGCACCGTCTTTGCAAGCAACTTTTTCCTTCCTCTCCACAAGCCCCTCTCCCACTCCCATCCGACATATATCATCACCACTCCCATTGGTGTGGTGTCTGTTTGTATTAAAACACAAACGTCAAACCTGGAACCTTTAGCTTGCGCTGAAATTCGGACCCTAAACCCCTCCTTCCAGCACACGTGGGTGGACGGGGAAATGACGGTTTCAATCACGCCTACCCTGCACTCGGGGATTCAACATTTGTCATCTGCCCGGCACCCTGCAAGGCAATTGTCATCTGCCCGGCACCCTGCAAGGCAATTGTCATCTGCCCTACCTGCCCCTGCCCACCCTCTTCCCCTCTCCCCCTCCAACCAGCTCACCCGAGTGGACGAGGAAATGACGGTATTTATCGCGCCTGCCCGCCGCTACTACGTCATAGGGGGGGTCTGCAGCCTTACCGCCACCCATCAACCCCCACTCCCCTCCACGTTCCCCCATCTCTCCTGCCCCCCCTCGCCCCTCCTCCCCCCCCCCCCCCCTCTCCCCCTCTCCTCCACCTCTCCCCGCCCCCTCTCTCCAACCAGCTCACGCGAGTGGACGAGGAAATGACAGTTTTTATCGCGCCTGCCCGTCGCTACTACGTCTTCGGGGGCGTCTGCAGCCTCGCTGCAACGGGCCTTATCCGGGTATGATTGCTGCTTGTGTTACGGTATGTGTGCTGGTTAGTGGTATGCTCATGCCACAAACCATAATGCTCGTGCCAGTCGCTTGTCTTTGGGGGCGTCTGCAGCCTTGCTGCAACGGGCCTTATCCGGGTATGATTGCTGCTGGTGTTACGGTATGTGTGCTGGTTAGTGGTATGCTCATGCCACAAACCATAATGCTCGTGCCAGTCGCTTGTCTTTGGGGGCGTCTGCAGCCTTGCTGCAACGGGCCTTATCCGGGTATGATTGCTGCTGGTGTTACGGTATGTGTGCTGGTTAGTGGTATGCTCATGCTACAAACCATAATGCTCGTGCCAGTCGCTTGTCTTTGGGGGCGTCTGCAGCCTTGCTGCAACGGGCCTTATCCGGGTATGATTGCTGCTGGTGTTACGGTATGTGTGCTGGTTAGTGGTATGCTCATGCCACAAACCATAACGCTTGTGCCAGTCGCTTGTCTTCTTCGGGGGCGTCTGTAGCCTCGCTGCAACGGGCCTTATCCGGGTATGATTGCTGCTGGTGAGCTCTTTGGTTGTGTGTTCCTACGCTCGTTGCTTGTTGCTCGTTACTTGTGTGCGCAGCTTTTGTTGGTCTCGAATCGACTCAAGTCTAGGCGTGATCTGATGAGCTGAGGGGATGAATGAAGCACGCAGCCTCCAGTTTTGTCCTCCTCTCGTTCCGTCCTTTGAGAGCCCTCACGTCATTGCAGGCCGTCAATCAGCGTGTGATGAGTCGACTTTTGAGTCGACTCAAAAATTCGACTTTCCGTCCTTAGAAACCCCGCACATCATTGCGGGGCATCAATCAACTAACTCCTTCTCAACTGTCCCGACCGCTGTCCTGCCCTCTTTCTCTCTTGCTCCCTCAATCCTCCTCTTCTCTCCTCCTCTCAACCATTCCCCCTCCACCCCCCATTCCTCCCCCGCTTCCCCACCACCATGCTCTGGCGAAACTGCCAGGGATCAACTCGCTGGGAGTGCGGCAGGTTTTTGAAGCGCCATTCCATATAAAAACCATCTCCCCTCCCGCCCCCCCCACCTGCCTCCCCTTCCCTCCTTTCCCCACCACCAGGCTCTGGCGGAGCTTCCAGGGATCAACTCGCTGGGAGTGCGGCAGGTTTTTTGAAGTGCCTATAAAAAACAAATTCATATAGAAAAACATCTTCCCTCTCCCGCCTCCCCACCTGCCTCCCCTTCCCCCCTTTCCCCACCACCAGGCTTTGGCGGAGCTGCCGGGGATCAACTCGTTGGGAGTGCGGCAGGTTCAGCGTAACTGCATCGCCCTGCAGCAGGTGAAGTGATTTTTGCACATGAATTTCATGCTTTCCTTTATGTATTCTCCCTGTTCTCACAACTCCCATTCGTGCCTTGTGTGCTTATGAACGCTAGCTCCTTCCCCCCCAGCTGCTTTCCCCCTTGCCCCATCCCCCCTTGCCTTATTCCTCTTTTTCACCCCTCTCCCTTCCCACTGTCCGTCAGACCCTGGCGACGCTGAATGCGAACGGCAGTCAGAGCGTTCAGCTGAGCCTGGACCATGTAGGGGAGTATTAGTAGCTGCTCAATCCCCCCCTGTCCGTCATTCCCTCTTGCCCCATCCATCCTTTTTCCCACCAGACCCTGGCGACGCTGAACGCGAATGGCAGTCAGAGCGTGCAGCTGAGTCTGGACCGCGTGGGCGAGTATTATGAGCTGCTCAACCGCCCCTATGAGGTGCGTGCTGCACTTTAGGACGACTCAGTATAATGCATGTTTAGAGGTGAGTGCTGAGTCTGGACCGTGTGGGCGAGTATTATGAGCTGCTCAACCGCCCCTATGAGGTGCGTGCTTCATTTTTAGGTGTGTGCGGCACTCAAGGACGACTCTAGGAGTGCTGCCACTGTGAGGTGTGCAGCTGTGAGGTGTGCAGCTGTGAGGTGTGCAGCTGTGAGGTGTGCAGCTGTGAGGTGTGCAGCTGTGAGGTGTGCAGCTGTGAGGTGTGCAGCTGTGAGGTGTGCAGCTGTGAGGTGTGCAGCTGTGAGGCGTGCAGCCGAGTCTGGACTGCGTGGGGCGAGTATTATGAGCTGCTCAACCAGCCATACGAGGTGCGTGCTTCACTTTAGGCTTTGGGCCGAGTGCTGAGTCTGGACCGTGTGCGTGAGTACTGTGAGTTGCTCAACCGCCCCTATGAGGTGCGTGCTGCTGTGAGGTGCGTGCTGCTGTGAGGTGCGTGCTGCAGTTGAAAGGTGAGTGCTGCTGCAGTTGTGAGGTGGGTGCTGCTGCAGTTGTGAGGTGAGTGCTGCTGCAGTTGTGAGGTGAGTGCTGCTGCAGTTGTGAGGTTAGTGCTGCTGTAGTTGTGAGGTGAGTGCTGCTGCAGTTGTGAGGTGAGTGGTGCTGTCGTTGTGAGGTGTGTGCTGCTGCAGTTGTGAGGTGAGTGCTATGAGTTACTCAACCGCCCCTATGAGGTGCGCATTTCAATTCAGGGTGAATCAGCAGACATCCGCTCATCCCTTTCCTGCTCCTACTCCCTCTCCATCCCCCACATGAGTGGCTCCGTTGCTGCAAAATTCCACTTTTTCGTTTATTCTGCACTGTCTGTTTATTTGTTCCTTCTCTTGCTCTCAGGCACTGCTGGCGTACATCAAGGACCACAACCGCTACTTCCCCCCTTTGTGCAGTCCCTTCTCATTTTACAAATGCTGCTTCCCTTTCCAATCCCCAACTCTTTGCTGTTCACTCTCAGGCGCTGCTGGCATACATCAAGGATCACAACCGCTACTTCTCCGTCGATGAGTAAGTCAAATCTTCGCCTGGTTACCGCATGACACACCGATCATCTCCTGTCTGTATCCCCGTGCCCGCGTGTCAGTTGTACGCCCTAGACTAGCCGTTTTCTAGAGCGGCCACTCGTGTATGCTTAGTCTGCCTTTTGCCTCTCGGTATGTGTGTGACACTGTTTGAACGTTCACAAGCACAGCATCTGCAGGTTGAGAGAACTGAGGGATGATCAGCTTGCATCATTCTCACATCCCGCTCCTCTCTCTGCCATCCCGCTTGAGCTTGCTGCCACTGGGAACGTTTCCGCTCTCAACTGTACAACCGTTTGTCTCTGCTTGTGTCGCTGCCAGGTACCTTACCCTGATCAAGGTGCGAGTGCCTGGAAGGCACGTGCCAAAGGATGCAACGGAAACGATTAAGGAGCTTTTGCAAGAGGGCTGAGGTTATCATTATGTGATTGGTCTTCAAGGTTCGGTTTGGACTGTCTAACTAGTGTATCCTAGTCAAGGACTGCATAGGTTAAAGTGGTTATATGTGTTTCAGACAGATTGTCCTCTCTATCTTACACTGCTTAGCCCCTTGGGTTCTTGAAGTATTATTGTATGAGCTGTTATGTATAACTTCTGTCGTATGCTTTGATCTATGAATATGATTGTCCTTTGTAGGCAGCCTGTAAATTCAAAACAGCCCTCGCGCTTATTGAGAACGCGTTCCCTGGGATGACATGCCAGCTGGACAAGCGCCGTGGTCTCCTTACGATACACCCCTGACATTGGGTTAAATTTGTTTTTCTGGTCGTAACCAGTTTATAAGGGGTATCCACTCCTAGATGAGCACGTGCTAACCCCTACTTGGGGCTGGCAGAACACGCCTGCACGGGGGTGGGTTCGATCCCAGGACCTCATCTATCGGAAGTGCCTCTTTCTACTGACTAGGCCACTTCGGGATGCACCCCTGACATTGGGAGTTCCCACGCGATGCTTTCCGTTCCAACATAATGCCGTGTTTGGCTCGAGTCGGAGCAACACGATCGCTTCCCCTAATGCTGCCCGTCTAAGTGTCACCGTGTTCATCCATCCTCCTAAACTGTTAAAACATGTATTTTTCACTCCTCAAGGCAACCCGCACGAGTAACTTCAGCGCTAAACTGTTGCTGTGCAACCCGTTACAGCTTTGTAAATCTTATGAAGCTTTTGGGGAAACTCGTTTCAAAATACACTGGAGGCAAGGAGAGCTGGATTCGTGTAGTTCGTGCATCTTCGAAATGCTGGTCGTTCCACCAACAAACCAAGATGTGTGCTTGCTTTGGTGAGTTTGCAAGGAAGGTATTCCAAATTGGTGCTTCCACCTCACCATGACTTGACTCATTGTCATCGATTTCATCGCAACCGCGTGTAAGAGTGTTTTTTTCTGGGGCCGTCACGGCTCGCGGCCATACGAGTCTTGTGTTGTGTTGTTTCTTGCGTGCCTGAGCGTCCCGGTGTTTTGCATTTGCGCAGGGGAAAGTCTTGTGGGCATATTGCTTTTCTCCACTGTCGCACAGAGCTCGTGAGGCTTGCACGATTGAGATCTTGCGAAAATGGGAAAGACATAAATGGAATCCGAGCGAGAGGCTCGAATTTAGAAGACATCGCAAGTAAGCGACTGCCTGATTGGTTGACTCGCGTCGGGGGTATGTTCGTGACGACAGTGTATGCATTTGCGTCGCGATGAATGCAAGACAAGACACTCAAACATCCACCTTTATTCCCGTCAGATAGAGACGTTCTGTCAGCTTGACGCGATTATTGCGGTTCCAGCTCGCAACCTGTGAAGGTTCATCCGGTCCCGCCGCCGTAGACGTCTTCGTCTCGCACAGTCTAGTTGTTGCGCTGCGCATACATGTTACAGTTTCTTGATTCCATTCGCCGCTAACGGCTCGTCGCCTAAGCCAATCACCACAGCACCTGCCTCGTTTTGTACCGTCTACCTTGAGACTTGTTCCGTACGGCGGTCTGCGGTTGATTCGAAATTGATTCCACGTACCACCACGTACTCATTTATGATTTAGTACTCCGAAGCTACTGTCTTTACTCGACTTCTACGACCCGGTTTTTATCCTTTGGAAACGCCCTTGTACTATTTGAACCCTTCACACTAGCCTCCCTCCTCCCGCATCCTCCCCTTTTCTCTCTCCCCACCCCCGCCATCACGGGCGCGCATCTCCTCCCCCGTTTCCTCCTCCGCAAAACCCCCAGCCCGCTCTGCAACCCGCTGCTTCCGCCCGCCCACGGTTCCCCTTCCCCCCCGACTTCCGCCTCCCCGCCCCGCCTTTCCTCTTTTCCCGCATCTGCGGAAGCTGCCACGCTGGAGGCGGAGAGGTTGATTCGGGGGGAGGGGGAAGCGGGGGACGGGTTAATTGGGAGAAGGGAAGGGGAACCGGGGGAAGGAGGGGGAATTTGTGCGGATGTGGTTGGCGGCGAGGAAAGGGGGATGGGGGAAGGCGGAGGGGGAAGGTCGGGGAACGTTATGGACGGGGAGCGGGAGCCATTGACTGGAAAGGGGGGCGGAGAAGATGGGGGAATTGGGGAAGGGGGAGGGACGCAGGAAACGGTGCTGGATATTGGGGTTTCCAAGGAAAGCGTTTGCGTGAGTGAGAGCGGTGGGATGGGGCGAGAAGGGAGGGATGAGACGGACGAGACGGAGAGAGGGGAGGGACAAGCAGGAGCAGAAGCAGCAGCTGCTGCTGCTTCTGCTCAAGGACCAGGAGAAGGGGCAGCAGACGGGGCAGGTAAAGGAGTGAGTGTGGGAGAAGCACCAGGGACGACTGGATCAGAGCAGTCAAAAGCTTCACCGCAACCAGACCCCTCGCAAACAGCCCCAACAGCAGCAGCGGGAGCAGCAGCAGCAGGATCAGCACCAGTTGGAGCAAGAGCAGGAGCGAGAGGAACAACAGCGGATGCAGGGCGCACGTGGGGCGGGGGAATCCGCGCCAACACCACCCCCTACTGGCGCTTCGTGCAAATCCTCTCCGCGGTGGGCGCGGGGGTGATATTCATCCCCGCGCTCGTCTTCACAGTCATTATATTCGTCCGCAGCCTCTGCCTGCAGGCCTGGTACCGCCTCTGCTACTCGGGGGCTGTTCGGAGGCGAAATCGGCGAGTGGTAACCCCATCGTGCCTGTCCGTGCTGCCTTCGCCGTGCATGCGAGGGACGCTGGATCTGGAGCAGCGGCTGGAGGTGGTTTCGTGGGAGGGCGGGCGGGTGGTGACGTGGCGCAAGGCTGACGAGGCGGCGAGGGTGAGTGGTGGCTGCTGCTGCTGCTGCTGATGCTGCTGGTGATGGTGGTTCTGCCGGTGCTGGTAATGCTGGCAGTTCGAGCAGCGAACCGCCGCGAGGAGGGAAGGCGAGCGAGGGCGGGGAAGGGGAGGTCCGGATCGACGTGGGGGGGAGCACGGGAGCGGAAACCGCGGGGGCACGTGCGGGGGGGGGAGCAGGCGGAGGGGAGGGCGGGGGGGACAACTCAGTAGCGGGGATAGAGATCCGGCCCGCGTCCCCCATGGCGAGCGTGGCGGAGAACAGCTACCAGCGCGGCATCCCCAGGCGCCTGTCCCTGAGCTTCGTGCACGCGTGGACGTTCACTTACACGCACGTGGTGAACCGCACGGCTGTTATGAACGAGGACACGCTGCTGGAGCTCGTGAGGAGGAGGCCGAAAGGGACGCCGTTGATTACTGTCAGCAACCACATGTCCACGTGCGTGCGGTGGTGGGGTGGGGTTGTATGGGGCTGTATGGGGATGTGTGGGTTTGCTATAAGCACGTGGTGAACCGCACGGCTGTTATGAACGAAGACACGCTGCTGGAGCTCGTGAGACGCAGGCCCAAGGGGACGCCGTTCATTACAGTCAGCAACCACATGTCCACGTGCGTGGGGTGCTTCATGGACGGTGTTGCATGGCCATGTGTGTGTGCAACGTGGGGTTTGCATGTCTTGTGAGAGGGCTTGTTCTAGCACCCACAACTTCTCCTGTGGAACCAAGGCGCCTGCACTTTTCCATCCCTCAACTCTCTTATGGCCCCACTTCTCTGTCCCCTGTCTCTCTCCCCCGTCTCCCCTCACCTCCCATTCTCTGCCCATCTTCCCTCTTCTTCTCCTCCCCCGTCCCCTTCTCCTTCGCCGCCTCTCCAGTATCGACGACCCTTACCTTTGGCGCCTGTGCGTGTGGCACCCTTGACTCTCTTCAAGTCTAATATACCCCATCGTTTTTAGCTCCTTCCTCCCATCTCTCCTCTCCTCTCCTCCCTATTCCCGCCCACCAGTTTTGACGACCCCCTCCTGTGGAACCAGTGGCGACTGCGCTTCTCTGATTCCTCAACTCTCGCCCCCATCTCCCTATTCCCATCTTCTCCATCTCCCCTCTCCGCATGTCTTCCATCTTCTCTTCTCTTTCCCCCCACCAGGCTCGACGACCCCCTCCTGTGGAACCAGTGGCGCCTGCGCTTCTCCGACCCGCATGTGTGCCGATGGACCCTACAGCACTCCTAGGCCCCATCCCCTCGCTTCTCCCTCTCTTCCCCACCCTTCCCCGCACACCCCCCCTTCAACAAGCTCGACGACCCCCTCCTGTGGAACCAGTGGCGCCTGCGCTTCTCCGACCCTCAACTTTCCACTCGTCACATAGACCCATATGCAACCCCCCTCACCCTCTCGTCCCTCCCCCCCACCAGGCTCGACGACCCCCTCCTGTGGAACCAGTGGCGCCTGCGCTTCTCCGATCCGCATCTGTGCCGCTGGACGCTCACAGCGCGGGACATCTGCTTCACACACCCCTTCACCGCCTACCTCTTCCGCCTGGGTCAGTGCAATGGATTCCCAGATAGGAGTCTTGTCATGGTGGGGTTATGGAGAGCAGGTAACAGTGCCAGTCTCTCTCACTGCCACTGGACCCTCGTAGCGCGCAACATCTGCTTCACACACCCCTTCACCGCCTACCTCTTCCGCCTGGGTGAGCTCTAGCAGCGTCAACACTATGTCTCCGTGTCAAGGGCCTTCTCACGCTAACTCGTCCCCTCTCGGCCAACTCGTCCCCTCTCGGCCCTCCCAGTGCCGGGGCCCTCTCACTACCGATGGTCCCTCACAGCGCATGACATCTTCTTCACGCACCCCTTCCCCACCTTCCACAACCCCCATAAATCCCCCCTCTCTCCCTCCCTCCCTCCCTCCCTCCCTCCCTTCCGCCACCAGCCAAGTGCATCCCCATCGATCGCTATGGGGGCATCTACCAGCCCGGCATGACGGAGGCAGTTCAGCGGCTCAGTGCGGGCGGATGGGTGAGTGGGAGGGCGGATGGGTGAGTGGGGTAGGCATGGGTGAGTGCAATGCAATGGGCACACGGCCTACCCCACGCCATGGCGGGTCTGTTTGGAGTTGAGTCGCAAGACAAAGGCCTCGCATCGCAAGTCAGGGTATGGGAGGCGGTTCAGCCTCTCAGAGTAGGATCCTGGGTGAGTGCGTTTTTTGAGGCGTCTCAAGATCGTTTGGAGTTGAGTCCGAAGGCAAAGACCAGGTTATGGGAGGCAGTTCCGCCTCGTGCGGGCAGACATAGAACAAATATAAAACGGGGCTGTTGGAAATTCCCCAAAGCATTTTTGGATCAGCAAGCAGGTGCTGTCAAGTCAACGCACACACCACGCACCCTCCTCTTCTCATCCGCCCTCTGTCCTCTACTCCTCCTCCCCTCCCCTCAAAACACCACCCACAGCCCGTAAGGGTTTCAATTGCAAACCAAACCCCCCGCCTCTCTCCCACCCTCTATGCTCACCGCAGCTGCACATTTTCCCAGAGAGGCGCATCACTCAGGAGCACATGGCATTGGCGCGCCTCAACTGTTTCCCACCCCATTCCACTCCATTCCACCACCCCCCCAGCTGCACATCTTCCCAGAGGGGCGCATCACCCAGGAGCACGTAGCTCTCGCACGCCTCAAGTGGGGCCTGGCATCGGTGATCGACCGCTGCACCTCCCCTGTGCCGCCCATCATCCTCTGTGTGGCCCACAGTGGCTTTGAGAATGTAAGTGCTGACGGGGGTGTGTATGTGCCTGCATGTGCCTGCATGTCTTGTGGCCTTGGCGCGCCTCAATTGGGGCCTTGGCATCGGTCATCGACCGCTGCACCTCCCCCGTGCAGCCCATCATCCTCTGCGTGGCACACAGCGGGTTCGAAAGTGTGAGTGCTGAGGTGGTGCATGTGCCTGCATGTGCCTGCATGTGCCGGCATGTGCCTGCATGCCTGCTTGTCTTGCTGCTTGTCTTCCTGCATTGGCGCGCCTCGAGTGGGGGCTGGCATCAGTCATCGATCGCTGCACCTCGCCTGTTCCCCCAATCATTCCCTGTGTGGCACACAGCGGGTTCGAGAATGTGAGTGCCTTGTGGGTTTGTGCCAGCATGTCACCCGCATGTGCCTTCACTCACTCGCCTCAAGTGGGGGCTGGCGTCAGTCATTGACCGCTGCACCTCGCCCGTCCCCCCGATCATCCTCTGCGTGGCACACAGCGGCTTTGAGAATGTGAGTGCTGAGGTGGTGCATGTGCCTGCATGTGCCGGCATGTGCCGGCATGTGCCTGCTTGTTTTGCGGCATGTCTTGCGGCGTTGGCGCGCCTCAAGTGGGGGCTGGCATCTGTCATCGACCGCTGCACCTCCCCCGTTACCCTCTGCGTCGCACACACCAGGTTTGAGTGCTGCCCATCATTCTCATGAGTTTGCAGTGGGTTGGAGAGTGTGAGTAGTGTGTGCCTGCATCCGCGCTCCATGTCCATCCAAACGCTCCCATTTTTAATTACACTTACTTGCACACCCTCGCTCACTCTCTCGCACACCCGCTCACTCTCTCCCTCCCTCTCTTCCTCCCACTCCATCCATCCCCAGGTCATGCCTGAGCCGCGTGCGTTTGGCCACAGGGCCATAGCGCCGCTGTGGGGGCAGCGCATAGCAGTGGTGGTGGGGGAGCCGTTCCGCTTCCACACACTTATACACCCTCTCTCATCCCCTTACTCACTCCCTCCCCTCCCTCCCATCCTCAGGTCATGCCTGAGCCGCGTGCGTTTGGCCACAGGGCCATAGCGCCGCTGTGGGGGCAGCGCATAGCAGTGGTGGTGGGGTAGCCGTTTCAGTTCAACATGCCGGCGCTCCGAGCAGCAGCGGCCCACGCTGCTGACCACCCAGACGAATCAGCCTTCAGGGTCGAGCCCTCGCCTCCTGCTGCTGTTCCTCACTCATTCCTGCCACTCCCTCCCTCCCTCCCCCTCTTCCCCTCTCCCCTCTTCCCTCTCCCCCACTTCCCCAGGTCATGCCTGAGCCACGTGCGTTTGGGCACAGGGCTATAGCCCCCTTGTGGGGGCAGCGCATAGCAGTGGTGGTGGGGGAGCCGTTTCAGTTCAACATGCCGGCCTTGAGAGCAGCAGCGGCCCACGCTGCTGACCACCCACACGACTCAACCTTCGGGGTCGAGCCCACCCCGCCTGCTGCTGTCCCCCCCACTGCTGCTGCTGCTAATGCTACTGTGGCTTCTGATTCTTCTGCCACTGCCGCTGCTGCCGCTGCTGCTCCTGCTGGTTCTGCTGATGCTGCTGCTGCCCCAAGTGCTCCTGCTGCGGCAACGACGGTGGAGGTGGGAGGAGGGGGCAGCAGTGCAGTGAAGGACGAGGCAACGAGGAGGCTGTATGCGTTCATCACAGGGGAGGTGCGACAGCGGCTGCAGGCTGCAGTGGATGAGGCCCACAGGCGCCAGGCTGATGGGTGCTGCTGATTGCTGCTGCTGAGTGCAAGAAGAGGTGCAACAGCGGCTGCAAGGTGCAGTGGATGAGGCACACAGAAGGCAGGCGGATGGGTGCGGATGGGTGCTGATGAGTGCTGCTGCTCCTAACTGTCGCATGTGAAGCTCTTGCGTGCATGCTTGCTGCTCTGCATCCACGACTGTTCACAGACAGATGGGTGCTTGCTTGCTACTGCTCAGCTTCTCTGGTTCATCACTGGCGAGGTGCGGCACAGGCTGCAGCGTGCTGCGGATGAAGCACACCCAGTGGTAGGCAGATGGGTGCTGCTGATGAGTGCTTCTCATGGGTGTACACTTGCTGATATTTTCATGGAGCAATCGCTTCTGCTTTTTGCAGGAGAGGAGCACCACAGGCTGCAAGCAGCAGTTAATGAAGCACACCCAGCGGTATGCAGATGGGTGCTGCTGACGCTGTTGCTGCTGCTGCTGACTGCTGCTCGTGAGTGCAAGGGGAGGAGCAGCACAGGCTGCACACAGCAGTAAATGAAAGCACACCCAGTGGTGTGCAGATGGGTGCTGCTGACTGGTCGATTGCATACATGTTCAAGAATTCACTGCTGCACTGCATTACTTCCCTAACGGCACCACACCATCCAACGCACATGTGAACACGTCTCCCCTCGTAGTGGTTTTCTCGTTCGTAGAAATCAGTACAAGTGCATGCTATATGTCGTTATTTTGCCGTATGTACCACATGTACTGTACGTAGTGGCTTGACACCAAGATAACCCATATATACCGTAAACATAATATATATAGCGTGTATATAAAGTGACATCTGTTCTGACACCCATACCACACTTGAAATGTGAGAACAAACAGGTAAATTAGAGATCAAGCCTTAATGATATACACAGAACACAAGTTGCACACACTATACCTAACATACCGGTACCACATACTGTAGACATAACCACAAATGCGGGATGCACTTTCTCTACACCTCTGTTGCTACGGTATATTATTCTTCCATGCGTCAAGTACGGTATTTGCGCCAATGTGAGTCGGACTTCCCATCCCACTCGGTCAGAATGGCCCCCCTCGCACCATCTCCACCAGGAACCTCGCCTGCTGCTCTGTCCTCGAAGGTATCTTCTCTTCACCTTCTGCCCCTATATCACTCCTCCCTGCCTCCAGCTGCCTTCAAATTCCTGAAAGGACTTACTAACCCATCCAACGAAACACACAAGGTGAAAGTCTCACTCTTTACCCTTCCGTGCCCAGATTGTTCCTCCACGCATCAAGTATTTGCGCCAGGGTGAGTCGGTCTTCCCACTCGGTCAGAATGGCCCCGCGCACCACCCCCACCAGGAACCTTGCCTGCTCCTCCGTCCACTGCCCCTCCAAGCTCTTATCCACCACCTCGCTGTAATCTGCAAAGTCGGGGTCGCTCAGCCTCTCCCTGGGCTCTTGAAACCCATCGTCCAACACCGGGTATCCCGTTAGGAGCTCGAGAAGGAAAATGCCGAACGCGTACGTGTCACAGTGCGCGGATAGGTATCCTGATGGGAGAGAAAGGGGAGCAGAAACAGTAGGATGATGAAATAAAAGGACTTGTCTAGCGCGGTGTATCAGGTGTGACGAGCTCGAGCAGGAAGATTCCGAACGCAAACGTGTCACAGTGCGCAGATAGGTATCCTGATGAGGGGAGAAAGGGGAACAGAGCAGCAGAAAGGATTCGTGTAATGCATGGTTACCCAGTAACAATGTCCAGCAGGAAGCGTCTGTAAGCGTATGCGTGGCAGTGAGCGGATAGGTATCCGGAGAGGGAGGAATAATAGGGCAGCGGGATGATGAAAAGAGCCGTATAATAGCGAGTATCCAGTTCAGGGGTCTATTGAAGTTATTTGTGTGGTTCCAATAAGCGTTCAGATGCTTAGTTAGCTTCCGAGTCAATTCAAAAGTCGTACGGTAGCTCACCGCTCTCAAAATATGACTTTTGGGTTGACTCATAAAGGTCCATATTGTCAGAGGTCCACTGGAAATCCTCGATTGGTCCTAGAGAAGGGTTACAAGGACGTTGGCCTGAGAGGTTATGGGCGCACTCACCCGCTACACAAACAAGCCCTTCTATCCCAGTGGTTAGTGGCTGGGATTCTGACACATATGGCCCATCGACTCAGCCATTCTCTAAACCAACTACCAAGTTAACTCACCACAGAAGGGACGGCCAGCCAACCCCAAAGCTCACCTCGCTCAAAGTAAGCAGGGTCCATATAGCCGAATGACCCAGCCACTCGCGTCGTGACATGTGTCTTGTCCCCGGACGACTTGGCCAATCCGAAATCCGCTACCTTGGGCATGAGCGTCTGGAGACATGCAGATACCAGGAACAGAGAGTCAGAAGGGAAAAATTAGCTCATGCCGCTTTACAGAAGACGCGACAAGGCAAGGTACTGAAAACAACGGCATGCGTTATTAGCCTTCGTTAGAATCACATTGGTGTGACACCCACATTCGTTAGAATCACACCGGTGTGACCCACCTTGGTGAGAAGCACGTTAGCACTCTTAAAGTCGCGATGAATGAAGCCTGCCCTTTGAATCGCAGCAAGCCCCTCAAGACTCCCCTCTGCTACACGCAGCCGCTCCTTCCAAGGGAAGGGCTTTTCCCCATCCCTTGCTGCTTGGAATAAGAGGGGTGACAAAACTGCATATCAATGTTCGGCCTTCCCAGAGAAGGGTCGTTCACCAGTCCTTGCTGCTTGGAAAGGATTGGATGAGAGAGAACTATGAGCACCCCAGCACATGCAAGGAAGGAAATATGAGCCGGTCAAGCCGGTGCTGCATTCCACAGGAAATGCTGTCCATTCCACCACATAACACCCCATTCCATTGCATTCCACCGCATCACACACCCCTGTACCTTTTTCTAACCGCTGCGAAACGTCCCCACCGGGGACGAATTCAGAGACCATGGAGAAGGATCGGCCCATCACGGACATTCCCAGCAGCCGCAGCACGTTGGGATGGCGTAGAGCCGTCATCACCATGATCTCCGTCTAAAGGGGTAGGCGAAGGAGGGGGGGTAGGCGGAGGAGAGGGGGTGAGGGAGGAACAGGTGTGAGGGGGAGGGGAGGAGGTCACAGGGAGAGGGGAACAGAAGGGACAAAGAATAGTGAGTGCGGGCTGTCATCACCACGATCTCCGTCTGAGGGAGAAGAGGGATATTGAGAGAAGATACTGAGTTAACTAATGCAGGGCTGTCTTACTATGATCTCCGTCTGACAAAGGGGAGGGAGGCGAGGGTGCGGAGGGTTGATTGGCTGTTCGGTTCATTGGTGCTCATACGTCGTGACAGGGGGGAGTAGGGTGTGGAAACGGGAGGTCTAAAGCGGCAAGTTAATCTCGAGATTGACCCTGTCGGCAGGAAGAGGGAGGAACGTGAGAAGCTACAAGTTTTTTGAAGCGTCTAAAGACTCTGGTGGTGAAATGGCAGCCACTAACCATCAGCTGCTCCCTTCCCCCAGTGTCTTCCTCCTCCTCAATATGACACATCTTCACCGCTACCGGAACAAACCGCTTCCCATCCACTTCCGCCACTTCCAACCCCTCCAATGTCGCCTCGAGTCCCTCCTCCACCTCCCCCTCCTCCCCGCCCCCTCCCCCCCCCGGCAGCAGCAGCATGCCCTTGTAGACGGCGCCGAAGCCGCCTTCCCCCAGCTTGGTGCGCCAGTCGCTCGTCGCCCGCCGCAGCTCCTCCTCCGAGTACCGCGGCAGCGCGCCGTCCGCGCCCACGGCGCGCATCACCACGGGCTCCAGCGGACCGTCCTCTGGGGGAAGGGGGGAGGAAGGGAGAGAATATGGTCCTGCCGATACTGCCCCCACCGCGCGCATCACCACAGTGTCCAGCGCACCGTCCTCCGGGGAAGGGGGGAGGGAGGGGGAAAAGGGGGACGGTTGGGAGATATGGTCCTGGCGGTACTAACCGCCACCGCCGCGCCGCCACGAGCTTCATTCTAGAAGGGGAATTGCTGGGGGAAGTGGGATGTGCGTGCGTGTGTGCGTTCGTGCATGTGTGCGCATGTGTGCTGCGCGTGCGCGCGGTAGCGTGCGTCCTTTTTGAAGATTGACCAATAAGAGAAGGCGGGGGATGTAGTCGACCCAATCCGAACCCACCAGCAACCCGTCATACTACATTATCAAGCCGAGCATGGCGCGTTCGAGCCGTTGCGCGTGACTCACTCGTTCCTTTGCTTTTGAGTCGACTCAAAAGACTACTACATTATCAAGCCGAGCATGGCGCGTTCGAGCCGCCACTCGTAACTCACTTGATTTCGAGCCTTTGCTTTCAAGGCCGCGTGGCGACGACGGCCCTCCTCCGAAACAGCAGAAGACCATTCTCGGGGCTCGGTGTGCGATAAAGAGAAACTTGGATTTTTAAGCTTGACCTCGGAAAGCGACGACCGCGGTGGCAGGTGGTGGTGATACGGTATGTTACGAGAGTGGTCAAGTTTTGAGTCGACTCAAAAATCAATATAACTACCGTGTGGTGCTAGGGTGTTTCTTCCTCGTTTGGTTGGCGTGTTTTGTTCAAGTAAAGAAAGCACGGCGTCTTGAAGCCGCACTATATGCTAACTATGAGACGATCGAACCGTTTTAAATATTACCGACGAACTAAGAGACGTACGCGTTGATAAGCACTTTGGGTGTTCCTAAAGTAGTTCTCTGGCTGACAAGAAGCTGTTTTGGTGTGGCTGGCATTGAGACGACAGCCACCCTGATCTTGGGAATGGAAGTTGGAAAGTACAGAAGTGTACATGAAGACGAAATGCGATTGGCGGACGAACTGTAGCGAAGTTGAATCATTGGATGAGAACGACACGCCACGATGGGAGGCTTGAAACGTGCGACAATGGAGGTCGCGCCACTGTCGCTAGCGCTTCTGAACCCATCAAGGTAGAGTACGGTACCCCCAAGCACGGTGCGGCGGCGACATAGCACGCGGTTCAGGCTGAGCTGGAAACCGACAACCAAGGTGCGAAAATGAAACTCCCGCTTTCAAGAAAATGCTGCAAGGGATGCAACGGGTATGCGCCCTTGCCAGTCAGGGGGAGTTTGGGAGGAGTACGCATCAACTGCGTTGGCACGAAACGTTCGCACCAGAAGTGACTTGCCTCCCTCCCAGACCGGACCCCACCGATTGACGTACCTCTCACAAGAGAGCGGTTGGGTACGATATTGTGCACTCAGGAGTTCTCGTTTACCACTCTGAACCGCTCTACTCACCAGCCTGAACACTCCTCGACCACGAATTGCATCACAAACGAGCGTGCGCGTTGGTGTTTGGTTCCTCGCCCATTTGCGAACGTCAGGAAGTGATTTTCGAATTTCGGTTGTGTAACCGAATCGCGTGGAGAAACTGATCGCGTCGTGCATTCAACGGATACTTTGAGACTTGCCGTCCTCACACATCCGTCCGAACTAACCTATAGCCAGGACAAACGCATCAGAAGTACTAGAGCATCTAATAATCGACTGAAAAACGACGCCGAAGTGCATCAACACCTCGAGTACGAAGAAATGGTTCTGTTCGTCTCGTACGCAATTGGTCGATCCTCAGCATGACCTTTATTTTTTTAAATGGCTAGATGTCTCGTTATCCGCTTAAGACAACGAGAGCGCGGGGGTGAGTATGTCGTGTCGTTTATGAACTTGAGCTAGGCTCGGCAACCTTTCGAGCGACAGCCGTAGCATACCGCATCTCCACAGCTTACCAGGGCGATCATCTTTTCTAGAGCCACAATTGTACTAAATTCGCGGAATTCTCCTAAACGCAACGCGCCTCGCTATGCGGACCTTCTTCTCCTGCTTCGGCGGCCCAATCCCGACTGAAGAGACGGCAGAACGGCCGACCCACGGGACGGCAGAAAGGCCGTTCGTCTCATCCTGCTTTGGGGGAATGCAGACCCATGAGACGGCACAAAGGCCGTCCTTCTCGTCCTTTTTCGGGGGCTTTCCGTCGTCTTCCCGCGGAACCACGGGTGAGTCGCGGTGACGAGAGCATGTGTGCTACTGCCCTCCATAGCCACGGGCGAGTCGCGGTGGCGATGCGGGTGGTGGTGTCCGATGGCACGCTCCCCCAATCACTCTTTCCCTCTCTCCCCGCCACCTTCCTTCCCCGAGGGGATCGTGCGTTGATGGAGCTGTGGCCGGTGTGGGGAGGGGGGAGGAGAGGAGGGGGGGAGAGGGAGGGGGGGTATTCGCAGGACCTGATTCCCGCTCTTTTTCTTTTCGGACATCCCATCCCACGAACGCGATCGAAACTCAAGATGGGCGCGAAACGTGCCAAGGTGGCCCGTGCGATGTTATCCAGCCGTACGCTACTGTCTTGACGTTTTCTGTTACCGTCAAGTCCGCCAACGCAAGGGCAGCGTAACAGAACGTCAGCGTTGTGCCTGGGCTGAAGAATGGAAACTAGCGAATGAGAAATCTTCCCGGCCTGGGCCAATCTCTTCGACTTTGCCCCTGAGAAACCCGCAGAATCCCGCGGCAAACAGAGCGCGGAAGCGAAGTGATAGGCTGTTTGGCTGGAACGGTACTCTAGCTGGATCAGTTTCTGCACATAGAGCCGCGTGGAAAATAGATGTTCTGATTGCGCGGGAAAACTTCGATGTGTACAGTAGTCAAAGCATTGGGAAAGAGGTGTGACCAGTTCACCACTTTGAACCGCTATGCACCAGCCTGAACATCCATGCGAGAAAGTGAACAAATTTTCTGGACCTCCTTGCATCTGACAAATGCGTTTTAGGTTACAGAGCAGCTGCGGCAATAATTTTCTTGGAATCCGACACATAAGTACAGTACGCTTATAGTGGGTTGTTTAGATCGTCGCGACGCTAACGTAAACGCGTTACAGAACGTCATGACGATTTTAACTTGAGCTAGGCTCGGCAGAGAAACGCGCAACAACACCCAGCATAGCATACCGCATCCACACCGGTTATCACCGCGAAATTTCGTTTCCGAACCTGAGCCCCAATATGCCGAACTTCTGTTCCTGCTTCGGGGGAACCCCGACCCACGAGACGGCCGAACGGCCGACCCGCGAGACGGCACAACAAGCGCCGTCTGTGTCCTCCTGGTTCGGAGGCATTGCGTCGACTTTCGGTGGAGCAGCGGGTGAGCTCGAGAGGTCTGTGCTATTGATGTCCATAGTCTATAGCTCGTGATTTTAGAGAATTCTCAAAAATCGTCCCTAGTTCGTGATTTTAAAAAGCCTCGTTGCTAGTCGATTTTCCACCCGTCACCCCACACCCCGTCCCCCTTCCCCCTACCCCGCTTCCGCACCTTCCCGCTTCCCCTTTTTCCCCTTTTCTTTCCCCCGTTGTTCCGCCCTCGTTGCTAGTCAATTTTCCCCCTTTTACCCTACCCCTCTTCCCGCTTCCCCCCTCCCCGCTTCCGCACCTTCCCGCTTCCCCTTTTTCCCCTTTTCTTTCTTCCGTTCCCCTCCCCCGTTTCCCCGTTGTTCCCAGCAGAGCATGAATTAAAGCCCGTGGAAATGAAGGCGGTGGGGGCGGACGGCGCGCTGCCGCGGTACTCGCAGGAGGAGCTGCGGCGGGCGACAGGCGACTGGCGCACCAAGCTGGGGGAAGGCGATTCCCCACACACCCCACCACAACCCCCCTTGCTCCTCCCTTCCTGCTTCCCTTGATCTCATCCCCTTCCCCTCCCCACCCCCATCCCCTCCCTCCCCGCTTCCCCCTCCACCGCCATGAGCAGAGCATGAATCAAAGCCCGTGGCAATGAAGGCGGTGGGCGCGGAGGGCGCGCTTCCGCGGTACTCGCAGGAGGAGCTGCGGCGGGCGACGGGCGACTGGCGCACCAAGCTGGGGGAAGGCGATTCCCCCTCACACCCCACTTCCCCTCGCAACCCCCCTTCCTCATCCCTCCCTGCTTCCCTTGATCTCATCCCCTTCCCCTCCCCACTCCCATCCACTCCTTACCCCCTTCCCCTTCCACCCCCCCAGCAGAGCATGAATTAAAGCCCGTGGAAATGAAGGCGGTGGGCGCGGAGGGCGCGCTGCCGCGGTACTCGGAGGAGGAGCTGCGGCGGGCGACGGGCGACTGGCGCACCAAGCTGGGGGAAGGCGGCTTCGGCGCCGTCTACAAGGGCATGCTGCTGCTGCCGGGGGGGGGAGCGCGTGGGGAAGGGGGAGAAGACGGGGGAGACGGCGAGGGAGGGGGTAGGGAAGGGGACGGGGAGGATGGGGAGGACGAGGAGGAGGGAGGGGAGGGGGGGCCTGAGGAGGGATTGGAGGGGTTGGAAGTGGTGGAGATGGATGGGAAGCGGTTTGTTCCGGTGGCGGTGAAGATGTGCTTGACAGAGGGCGATGTGCACGGGGGGAGAGAGCAGCTGCTGGTGAGCGATTGTTATTGAGGACTCTTGAGACGTCTCAAAACTGAGCGATTATCATTGAGGGATGGGTTTGTCATTCTCATGAGGGATGATTCTGGGAGCTCTGGCAGCTTTGTAAGTGAGTGAGTGTTGTTTTCACGGGAGCACTGGTAGGCATCGTGGGAATGGGGATCGGAGGGGTTCGGGGGTTGTGATGTTACAGGGTTGTGATTTTACAGGGTTGTGATGTTACAGGGTTGTGATTTTACAGTTTCTGCCAGGGGAAGGCAGGCAGCGTCAGTCGTCTTTTCTTTGCTCTTGTCAGATGGAGGGCATGGTCAACACAGATGGAGGGCATGGTCAACACAGATGGAGGGCATGGTCAACACAGATGGAGGGCATGGTCAACACAGATGGAGGGCATGGTCAACACAGATGGAGGGCATGGTCAACACAGATGGAGGGCATGGTCAACACAGATGGAGGGCATGGTCAACACAGATGGAGGGCATGGTCAACACAGATGGAGGGCATGGTCAACACAGATGGAGGGCATGGTCAACACAGATGGAGGGCATGGTCAACACAGATGGAGGGCATGGTCAACACAGATGGAAGGCATGGTCGACACAGATGGAGGGCATGGTCAACACAGATGGAGGGCATGGTCGACACAGATGGAGGGCATGGTCAACACAGATGGAGGGCATGGTCAACACAGATGGAGGGCATGGTCAACACAGATGGAGGGCATGGTCAACACAGATGGAGGGCATGGTCAACACAGACGGAGGGCATGGTCAACACAGATGGAGGGCATGGTCGACACAGATGGAGGGCATGGTCGACACAGATGGAGGGCATGGTCGACACAGATGGAGGGCATGGTCGACACAGATGGAGGGCATGGTCGACACAGATGGAGGGCATGGTCGACACAGATGGAGGGCATGGTCAACACAGATGGAGGGCATGGTCGACACAGATGGAGGGCATGGTCGACACAGATGGAGGGCATGGTCAACACAGATGGAGGGCATGGTCAACACAGATGGAGGGCATGGTCAACACAGATGGAGGGCATGGTCAACACAGATGGAGGGCATGGTCAACACAGATGGAGGGCATGGTCAACACAGATGGAGGGCATGGTCAACACAGATGGAGGGCATGGTCAACACAGATGGAGGGCATGGTCAACACCGATCAGCATCTGTGAGCTTACACTTGTTCTCACCCCCCCCTCACCCTCTCCTCTTTTCCCCCACCTTCAGACGGAGATCATGGTGATGACAGCTCTGCGCCATCCCAACGTGCTGCGGCTGCTGGGGATTGGCATGTGGGGGCATACCATCTCCATGGTTTCTGAATTCGTCCCGGGTGGAGATGTTTCTCAACGGCTAGGAAAAGGTACGGAGGGGTGGAAAGCGGTGGGATGGGGTGTAATGTGGTGGAATGGAGTGAGCATGTGCATGAGCACACAGGATGGGGCGAGCCATCTCAATCGTGAGTTCTCACTGGGCGGTGAAGCTGTTACAAAAAGGTACGGTGCAATGCGGTGGAATGGGGTGGGGTGTTTTTCACATGCGGGGAAAAGCGATCTCATTGGTCTCTGCCTCTCTTGGCTGTGAGGTGGAAAATTGAGAAGGAGCGCCAGGTGTGATGCGGTCAGGTGTGGTGTGGCATGGTGTGATGTTGTGCGCATACTCTCTCTCCCCCCCCTCCCTTGCTGTTTCTTCCTCCTCCTCCTCCCCCCCCTCTTTGTATGTTGCGTGTACAAGCAGCAGCCAAAGGCATAGAGCCCTTCCCCTGGAAGGAGCGGCTGAGCATAGCGGTGGGGAGTGTGGCAGGACTGGCAGCAATTCACAAGGAGGGATTTATCCACCGTGATTTCAAAGCTGCCAACGTGCTTCTAACGAAGGTGAGTGGGCCCCTGTCCCTGTCATTCGTTGCTAGTCGAGGTAGGCTCGTGTAGTGGCAGTGTGTGGCGGGGCTAGCAGCAATCCACAAGGAGGGCTTTATCCACCATGTTTTTAAAGCCATCAAGTGCTTTTCACCAAGGCGATCCCCCTCTACTGTCCTTCTCACGAAGGGAGTCCTGGTAATATGGTTTTAATCAAGGTGAATCATGGCCATGTTCTACTAACGAAGTTGAGTCTTTCAATGAGCTTCTACGGAAGTGGAGTCCTTGTAATGTGCATGTAACCAAGGTGAGTCATGCCAACGTGCTTCTCACCAAGCTCTGAATCCCTCCCAGATGGCAAAAGATCCTCGTGTTTTTTTCTTTTTCTTCTTCTTTTTCTACATTTTGTGTCATTCTATTGCCCTTGCCCTCGCAGGACCTCGTGCCAAAGGTGGCGGATTTCGGGCTCGCCAAGACATGCCAGGACAGGACACATGTCACGACACGAGTGGCCGGCTCACAGGGCTACATCGACCCCTCTTATTATGAGACAGGTGAGGCGCTTTTCGGCCCACCGATGCATCTGTGTTTCTTGAGACGTCTCAAATCCCGACTTTATGGAAGCGTCGTCTCAAATCCTGACGTTTACCACGTCGCCGGCTCGCAGGGCTACCACGACCCCTCGTTTTTTTAAACTGGTGGTGTGCTTTTTGGCCCACCGATGCATCTGTGTTTCGTCTTCTGGTGCCTTTACTTCTGCTGTCGCTGGTGCTGGCACTGGTTCTGTCACGAGTGCGGCCGCTGATGCTGCCACTGGTGCCCCACCCAACAGGCCTACTAACAGAGCACTGTGACACCTTCGCGTGGGGCATCTTCCTGCTATAGATCCTCTTCCTGAAAGAGCACTGTGCAACCTATGAACCTCCCCTTCTAATCCTCTACTTCCAACCGTCCTCCATGCCTTTCCCCACCAATCAGGCCTACAAACAGAGCACTGTGTCACCTTCGCGTGGGCCATCTTCCTGCCAGAGCTCCTCTTTCAGGCAGAGCATTGTGGCACCTGTGAACCTTCCTTAGGTAATCCTCTACTTCCAACCGTCCCCCCCCACCTCTCCCCGCCCACCAGGCCTCCTGACAGAGCACTGTGACACCTTCGCATGGGGCATCTTCCTGTTAGAGCTCCTCTCAGGCTGCTGCGTGAACGACCGGCCATTTTCACGCCTGCAATCCCTAGCTACCGACCCCAATCTCTCGGACTACTCCCAAGTGGTGGATAGGACTTTGGAGGGGCAGTGGAGTGAGGAGGAGGTGAGTGTCGTGCTGTCTGCGATACGTGATGCAATTCAGCCTGATTGGGGAAGCCGACCCACCACAAAGGGATTGCTAGATAGATTAAGAAAGCTTGTGCGAGATAGTAGTAACAGCAAGTAGGAAGTGTAGATGTAAATAATGATTTGTAGCACTCTTAATGCTGGTATTGCATGTAGCACACAAAATGTGTAAAGATTTATTTCAAGATTTACAGGGGCTGGTAACTCTCATTGACAAACCAACCAACCATAGTGACAAAGCAACCAATCAGAGAGCCTGATTTTGCCTCACAGCTCCGCAAGCGCCGCCCACCGATTTCTCCAGCGCGCCCCGCCACAAGCCGCTTCCAAGCTGAGGAAGGTGGCTACGGCCCACGTCTGCCTAGCCGGAGTTCTAGAGGTTTGCTTTTTCCGAACCACGTGCTGTGTGGACTCACTTCACCAAAGCTACACATACCTCATCCACAACATCCCGAACCTGTAGTCCCGCCGCCAAAGAATCTCGACTGGTAAGGGAACAGGCTCGTGTTTTACGTTCGGTGTGGTGGAGCCCAGGCGACAAAGCTAGACAACTCGGTTCGGACGTGATTGGTTCCATCAGCGACACGTCAATCTCTAGAAATCGGGGGACCAGGATTCGGAAGATCAAGACCAAAATGGGTGCGCCTGTGAGTGAACGAAACGAACGAAAGCGGGCGTATGAGCAAAAGCAGCAGGCGTGTAGGAAGGGAAGGTTTGCCTGATCCTCCAGCCAAGGAATACTCGAGGTTCTCGTGCGTGCCATTGCTCCCATATTTCCAGCTCAAAATCCTTATGTTCAGCTGATTCAGGATCGCGCCTTGCTCTCAGGTTACATATCGAGCTGCACAAGTTCTGAGCACTTAGTATTGCTTGTTTCTCCCTGCACCTGCGGAACCATGACCGGCGCCGTGCCTCGCGGCATTCTGTCGTTCGCCATCCCGTTACTCCTACTCGCAGTCGTTGCGTCCGCGCAGCAGATCTGTCCGTTCACAGGCAAACCCCCAACGAAGCCCGCGAAGCCGCTGTACCGATGCGTGGCGGAGAGCGAGCTCGCGTGCTGCTCCGCGTGCGCCGACTGGGTCACCGCGGCGACGGTGCTCGGACAGAACGGCACGAGAATCCTGTCGACGCTCTTCTCTCCAGGCACCACATTTGACGCGCTCGACAAGTTCAAGGCCACGCCGGTAAGCTTGAACCAGCGTACGCCTTTTTTCCTCTGACGTGTTTGACTTGGTCACCGCGGCGACATAATGATTAATTATTGCCTTTTTTATTAAAATTTGTTGAAATTTACATATTAAATCATTTATCGGAAACATTTGAGGTTCTCGACAAATTTAAGGCCACGCCAGTAGGCTTGAACGAGCGAACGCCCTCGGCGTGCCTTTTTCTTTTTCAAACGCGTCTTCTGATCCATGGTACCAGCGTTACATTTCCCAGCATTCTGGCCAATAAATGGCGTCTTGCTATGATAGTACCGAGGCGAACCAAACCGAGTATTATGATGAATTATGCGCCCTCTTCCTTCCCCCACTCCCCCCATCCTCCCCCTTCCCCCCTCTACTCGAGTTTAAAGGGCTTCATTGCTCAATGATGTTCGACGGCACGAACATGTACCTCATGTCCCCACCAACCTCTCGGAACCACCCCCTCTCGCTTCCCCCTCCGCTCCCCTCGTCCTGGCGGGCGGAAGCGACACGTGTCTGCAGCTCATCGAAGGGCTGTACTGCGCCACCATGCGCGACGCGGGCGCGAAAAAGTACCTCTCGATTGGACTCTCAGGAACTCTTCTTTTCCCCACCACTTTCCCTTTCCCCGACCAGTTCTGCGGGTTCTTGGCGGGCGGAAGCGACACGTGTCTGCAGCTGATTGAAGGGCTATACTGCGCCATCATGTGCGACCCGGGCTCGAGCAAGTACCTCTCGGTGCAGCTCGCGCCGTCGGGGAAGCTCGCGGACAGCAACGGCACGATCCGCATCTGCAACGCTTCTCCAACCGCGTGTACAACGCGTGCCAGTCGCTCAGCTCCCTCCCCCCCCCCACCCCCTCCTTCCCCCGCCCACCCTTGCGCCCACGGCCCCTTCCCTCCCTCTTTTCCCCCAGTTCTGCGGGTTTCTCGCAGGCGGAAGCGACACGTGTCTGCAGCTGATCGAGGGGCTCTACTGCGCCATCATGTGCGACCCTGGCTCGAGCAAGTACCTCTCCGTACAGCTCGCGCCGTCGGGGAAGCTTGCGGACAGCAACGGCACGATCCGCATCTGCAACGACTTCTCCAACCGCGTGTACAACGCGTGCCAGTCGCTCGCGTTCCCTGGTGTCGCGCTCACCATCGCGAGCCTGATTAAGAACCCTGCGGTATGTGCCACAGTTGCTGATATGACTGACACCCCATCACTTGTTCCGCAGCTGCCGATAGTAATTTCACTACACTAAACACCACCTCCCGTCCCACCATAATCTGTTCCTGGTTGCCAGCCTTTTGCTTCCTACTTTCAAGCTGATCGCTGCAGTTCCATCTTATCCTTTTTTTTTTTTCGGCATCCCCCTCGCATTCCCACCACTTCCGAATATGATTTTCTTACACCTTCCCCCCCTCCCATCCCCCCGTTTCTCCCCAAACCTTACATCATATAACCACCCATAAAGCCGCGAAAGGCATTATGTCCCCCCGCCCCTTCCCCATCTTCTCTCTCTTCTCCCTTCCCTCTCCCTCGATCCAAACACACATGCTGTCCTCTTAGAAATTCCTGTCACTTGTTGTGACTCTGCTAGCTGGCACTGCATTCCCTTGACGTTCCCCACCACCTCCCAGTCATAATCTTCTGGTACCCCCCTTTCCCCTTCCCCCTACTCCCCTACGCTTCCCCTCCCAAATTCTTTCACGCTCTTTCGTCCCAGAAATTCCTTTCATTGGTTGTGACTCCGCTTGCTAGCACGGCAACACCCGTCAAATACTTGAACACCGAATTGGTCCCCTCTGAAAACGGCACAGACAGTTGCTTCCTGACAACACCCGGGGATAAATACGCACAAACCCCCCTCTGCTGCGATAAACTAACGGGTTTCCCCATGGAATGCCCGAAAGATCCGCAATTTTCCAATGTGTCAGAAGTGCTTCCGTGGGTTGTGGATCGGCCCGTGCCTGCTACGTGTGCTGCGACTTCCGAGCCTACAGCCACTGATTCGGCGGCACCCAGCGCGTCCAACCCCACTGGTTCGGCACCCTCGGGATCATCGAACAGTACTGGCTCTGGGGGAAAGAGTGCAGGGTTGAGTATGATGCTGAGGGGTGGAGCGTGGTGGGGATGGTGGCCTGCTGTGCTTGCTGCGCTGGTGCTCCATACAGTTCTGTTGCATTGAGATTTTGGAGTTGTTTAGAGGGGGGTTTTGTCAGGTGGAGTGGATTTAAATTGATCCTTGCCTCAAGCACTGAATGAGTTGCTAATCTTTGACTTCAAATGTAGAGTAGTAGAATCAATTTGTTATACGGGCTTGAAATCCACACCAGTACGATCTTCAAGCCAGCTGGTTCACAGGGAGCAGTTTAGAGCCAGCTGTTCACAGGGAGCAGTTTAGAGCCAGTTGTTCAAGAGCCACAAACATGTAACTGCATGGTGCACGAGGCAGAAATCAACATGAGGTCAGGGTGGTATGATGCCCCCATATTCCCCCCGATATACTGTATGATGCCCCCTATTTTTGCCCCGCGGTTTAACCAAAGCGAAAGGGGCAATTAAGTTTTTTCCTTAACTAGCCCCTATTCAAATCGTGGAGATTATGGCTATTGAAAAACATGATAAAAGTGTGATGTTTTCATGATCGAGAAAATCATAATTAAGTAAATCAATATGGCTAGGGGCAATAACAAAAGAATCAGAAAATTCCAGGGGCGTATGGTAGTATTGTCCGGTATTAGTTAGTAGTGTTCAAAGAATTTGCACTCACCACCATGCACACACAACGAATGTGGAAGCTGAGTTGCAACAAGCGTAGTCCAAATACATCGATTCGGAAGGAGAGCAGTTAAGAGCTGTGGACCTGGGTTTTTGTCCCTACAGCACGGACATACAGAAAAGCTTCGAATAGGGACAAGCATTGGGCGGATAAAAGGCTCTCTGCTATTCCTCCTCTATAAACTGCGTTGCCAGACATTTCTACTCCTGTCAGTAGCTGAAAGAAACTGACCGTCATGGTATCCGCATTGGTGGTTCATTTGAGCCATACGCATTGGTAAGTGCATGTTTATGCGAGAGCCATAGCCATTGCTTCTTGGCGAGGGGTATGAACGAGAACCTGGCTACTAGTTTCAGTAACAGATGCTTACAAATGTAGGGCACCTATACACCAAAGCTAGAAACACGCTTAAGCGCCGGGGGTGAAGTTGGTGGCGTAGGCCCAGGCGTTGTTGACGGTGGGGTCAGCCAGGTGGTCGGACAGGTTCTCCAGAGGGCCCTTGCCGGTGACGATGGCCTGCACGAAGAAGCCGAACATCGACACCATGGCGAGGCGGCCGTTCTTGAGCTCCTTCACCTTGAGCTCAGCGAGGGCCTCGGGGTCGTCAGCCAGACCCAGGGGGTCGAAGGCACCGCCGGGGTACAGGGGGTCCTCAACCTCTTGGAAGCCCTCAAGGCCACCCACGCGGTAGCTCTCGACGGCACCCATGAGGATGACCTGGGTGGCCCAGATGGCCAGGATGGACTGGGCGTGGATCAGGCTGGGGTTGCCGAGGTAGTCAAGGCCACCCTCGGAGAAGATCTGGGCACCGGCCTTGAACCACACAGCCTCACCGAACTCGACGCCGTTGTTGGCGAGGAGCTCGGGGGTCAGGCAGCCGAGGGCACCGAGAAGAGCCCAGCGAGCGTGGATCACCTGATGACAAACAAAGCAGCAAAGGAGTACGAGTCAGGTGAGGAACATATTTCGAAACGGTGATACATGCATAGATCGAAGACAAAATCATTGCATGCGTTCAAATCGCAACAAGCAACGCACCTCGAGCTCGCGGTTCTTGGCGAAGGTCTCGGGGTCAGCGGACAGACCCGCGGTGTCCCAACCGTAGTCACCGGGGTACTCGCCGGTCAGGTACGACGGGGGGGAGGAGAACGGGCCCAGGAACAGGTTGCGGTCGGGGCCGTAGAAGGCGCTGCTGGAAGCCGCCTTGGCGGTCTTCCTCATCGTCACGCGGGCCTCGACATTGTTCACCTTGGCGGCGAGCTCAGCGCTCTGACCGACGAAGGTGGACGGGAGCACAGCGGCGTTGGCGAGAGCGGCCATTGTCGACTGTGTAAAGGTGTACAACTAAAAGTTGTGTAGGAACCTGGGATGTTTCTGTCGCTGACTTGGTAATCGTCAGAAGACCATCAACATTTGAAGATTTGCGAATTTGGAACGGACCAAGGGGGTGACTGACTGAGGTGTGCGGTTGGATGCGGTGAGGTGGGGTGTGCAATGGGAGGAGGAGAGCAGGTGGATGAGGTTGGTGCTTGGCTGGGCGCTGAAAGGTTGGGGACTGCGTGTAGTCCCGAATCCTGATTGGCCGACAATCGCCAGAGGGAACCGCTGGTTGCTTCAGGGTTGGATGGCTTCGATCCGAATCACGAGCGCTTGATTGATTGTGCGTGCACGACTCGCCAGACTCATCCTGTCGCCTTATCGCGCATCTGGGTAATCAAATTCCACCAATGGCGGAGGTTGACGTGGCCCCATCCCAATAAGGTTGGGCATGTACACCCTCATCTGATCGCGCATGTGGCCACCCCATCCCAACGAGGCTGAAGACACTGCCCTTCCTAATACATGCGCCGTTTATACTCGAAATAAACTCTATCACTAAATTCGAACACTTTCATAGTTGGTTATAATTGCCATGAAACATCGGTTGTGTATAGTCCTCTCCTGGAACTACGTTTTTTAAAACAATACGCATGATCAAGACTCGGTGCAGCCTTGAGAGTGTAGCTCGCATAGAAACGCCTAGGGAGTGTAGCTCGCAGAGCGTAGCCCCTTTGAGAGTGTAGCATTACAGGTGTAGCCCCTCCAATAATGCAGCTCCTCAAGTGTAGCCTCGAAATTGTATAGCCCCGAGGGTGTAGCTCAGTGTTAAACTAGAATTGTGTCCGGGAAAGACGAGGATCCATTGTTGGGTGCAGGCTCAATCTTCAAGATGCTTGCTATCACGTTGTACAGCTGCAGGGATGAAGGCGACGGTTAGGGAGAGAGAGGTTGGAACGGGATGAAGAATGGAGAAGTAGTATTGTCGCCCCTCAGACTAGTATTGTGTCTGGGAAAGACGAGGATCCATTGTTGGGTGTGGGCTCAGTCTTTAATATGCTTGTTATCACATTGTACAGCTGTGGGGACCAGTAAGATGGGTGGAGAGAGATGAGGGAAAAAAAGAGAGAGATGAAGGAAGGGAAGAGAGAGATGAAGGAAGGGAAGAGAGATGAAGGAAGGAAAGAGAGGGATGAAGGATCCATTGTTGAGTGCTGGCCCAATGCTTGTTATCACATTGTACAGCTCTGAGCATTATCTGTATTCAAGTCTGCACCACTGAGCATTCTTTAAAACCTCACCTCTGTGTTTCTGAAGGTGGGTATTCTGCGGTGAGAGGAGAAGCGCGGCCCTCGAGCCATGAAGATAGATCGCATAGAGGGGAGGCGGTTATCGTAACCATGTGTGCCACCTTCCCATGCTGATGAGTGGTGGTATACCACCGTGTAGCCCTCGTCTGCTAGCGCCAGAATTGGCTGTAACAGAGGGAGTAGGAACAGGAGGGGAGCAAAAGGAGAAGGAGCATGCTTCAGAAGTTGGTGAATGTGCCGTGCAGTGGGGAATTCAGCGCGGTTAGTGTGGTTCAGTTGGGGGTTCAGTGCAGACTTCAAGCCGTAAGACGAGCCTCTGAAGATGAGTGATGGCTGAGCCATGAAGAGGGAGCGCATGGAGGGGAGGCAGTTGTCGTAGCCATGCGTGCCGCCATCCCATGCTGATGAATGGTGGTATACCACCGAGTAGCCCTCGTCTGCTAGCACCAGGAAAGGCTTGCAAAAGAGGAAATGGTGAAGGGAGAGAGAAGCTGTAACCAGAGAAGATAGCCCAATAAGTTGCGCGGATTTTCACTGTAACCAGATAACGAGCTGTGAAGAATAGTCTAGAAGTCATGCAACATCAACACAGGACAATGCTCCCCCGCCTCAATCGCCCTCCTCATATCCCCCACCCCACCACCACTGTCTTTTCAGACGTCTCGAAAACATAACTCACCGGTATTCTGTCGCTGCCTGAAAACTCAAACTCAGCAGGAGACTCCTCCCTCAGATACACCTTCAGGGCCTCCCCATTCGCAATTCCTCCTCCTTCAATCGCCCTCCTCGTCGCCCCCACAACGGCCGCCGCATCCGCCTCTTGAGACGTCACACCAAACTCACCGGTATTCTGTCGCTTCCCGTAAACTCAAACCCTGCAGGAAATTCCTCCCTCAAATACACCTTCAGCGCCTCCCCATTCACAACCCCCCCGCCCTCAATCGCCCTCCTCATCGCCCCCACAACAGCCGCCGCATCCATCTGACCCTCCGAACTCACCGGTATTCTGTCGCTTCCGGAAAACTCAAACTCCGCAGGAAATTCCTCCCTCAGATACACCTTCAGCGCCTCGCCATTAACAATCGCCCCTCCTTCTATCGCCCTCCTCATCGCCCCCACAACAGCAGCCGCATCCATCTGACCCTCCGGACGGCGTTGCGCGTCTGTTTGCGGGAGGAAGATTCCGAGAAGCGGGTAGCTGAAGTCGATCCAGGCCTTGGAGAGGCCGGGAATGAACGGCTCGAACTGTTCCAGGGAGATGGCCCGCGACTTGCATGTGGTTAACATGCCATGGTCGCTCACTAGCAGAAGATTTACATCGTTGGTCATGCTCCTGCGGAGCAGATAAGGAGGTTGTGGGGAAAGAAACGGGTCGAGGATGAACGGCTCGAATTGCTCCCGGGAGATGGCTCGTGACTTGCATGTGGTTAACATGCCATGATCGCTCACTAGGAGAAGATTCACATCGTTGGTCATGCTCCTGGGGGAGGGGACAAGGCGGTTGGTGGGGGGGAGAGGCCTGGAATGAACGGCTCGAATTGCTCCCGGGAGATGGCTCGTGACTTGCATGTGGTTAACATGCCATGGTCGCTCACTAGCAGGAGATTTACATCGTTGGTCATGCTCCTGGGTAGGGGATAAGGATGGTGAGAGGTATGACAGAGTTGGTGCTACTTACTTTGGCCCGGGACGTGTAAATCACCTCCCCACTCCCCACTCCCCACTACCAGCTCACCTGCTCATTCCCTCACCTGCTGTCTAGCCCAATCAGAAAACGCCCCAACATGCCACAAACCCGCTCCACTGCAGCAACGACCAGGGGCGTGTCTGTCCCTCCCTTCTGCCCACTCTCATCTATCACTCCCACTCTCCCACTCGCACACATTTGATTGAGCCCAGTTGAGAGACGAACCAACGTGCCCGCGCCACAGCAGCATGTCCGGGCATCACTTTTGAGAATTCTCAACGTGCCTGCGCCACAGCAGCATGTCTGGGCCTAAAGGAGGCATGCTGCTGTAGAGGGGTGGTAGTGGGTGCGGTGCCTTCTTTGTGCCCGGACTCTCATCTATCACTCCCGCCTTCCCACTCCCACTCCCCCTCTCGCTGTGGGGGAGTGGGAGTGGGAGTGGGGGGCTCCTCTGTGCCCAAACCGGACTCTGTTTTGAGGCGCCTCAAAAGACATGCTGCTGTGGGGGGGTGGTAGTGGGTGCTTTCTTTGTGCCCGGACTCTCATCTATCACTCTCTCGCCTTCCTTCCCACTCCCACTCCCACTCCCCCACTCGCTCACCTGTTGTCCAGCCCAGTGAGAAGGCGACCCAGCATAGCATCGATCCGCGCCACAGCAGCAGCGACCAGAGGCGTGTCCGGGCCTCCCTTGTGGCCACTCCCATCGGCCGTCTCACCTGCTCACCCGCTCACCTGTTGTCCAGCCCAGCCAAAAGGCGACCCAGCATGGCATCAACCCGCGCCACAGCAGCAGCAACCAAAGGGGTGTCTGGCCCTCCCTTGTGCCCACTCTCGCCTGCCCACTTCCAACTACCACCTCAGATCTCACCTGCTCACCCGCTCACCTGTTGTCCAGCCCAGCCAAAAGGCGACCCAGCATGGCATCGACCCGTGCCACAGCAGCAGCAACCAGGGGCGTGTCCGGGCCTCCCTTGTGCCCGGACTCTCATCTATCACTCCCGCCTTCCCACTCCCACTCCCCCACTCGCTCACCTGTTGTCCAGCCCAGCCAAAAGGCGACCCAGCATCGCATCGACCCGCGCCACAGCTGCAGCAACCAGAGGCGTGTCTGGCCCTCCCTTGTGCCCACTCTCCCCTGCCCACTTCCCCACCACCACCTCAGATCTCACCTGCTCACTCCCTCACCTTTGATCCAGCCCATTCAAAAGGCGACCCAGCATATCATCAACGCGCTTCACTGCAGCAGCGACCAGAGGCGTGTCTGGCCCTCCCTTGTGCCCACTCTCCCCTGCCCACTTCCCCACCACCACCTCAGATCTCACCTGCTCACTCCCTCACCTTTGATCCAGCCCATTCAAAAGGCGACCCAGCATATCATCAACGCGCTTCACTGCAGCAGCGACCAGAGGCGTGTCCGGGCCTCCCTTGTGGCCACTCTCGTCAGGCTCCTCTAGGTAGAGTGTGAGGAGGGAGGGGCGGAGGGGAGAGGGTAGGTCCAGCCACGCCAGCACCTGGTCCACTCGCTGTGTGAGGAGGGGGGTTCGGGGGCAAGAGGGAGGAGGGATGATGGGTGACATGCCATGCCAGGCCTCCCTTGTGCCCACTCTCATTGGGCTCTTCTAGGTAGAGTGTGAGGAGGGAGGGGCGGAGGGACGCAGGAAGGTCCAGCCACGCCAGTACTTGATCCACTCGCTGTGTGGGAGAAGTTGAGAAAGAGAGACACGACGGGGCGGAAGGAGGGGCGGAGGGGCGCAGGCAGCTCTTATCATGCCAGTACCCGGTTCATTCTGGCCCTCTGCCCCTCTTTCCTCCTTCCTCTTTCATCGGGCTCTTCCAGGTGGAACGGGAGGAAGAAGGGGTGACTTTTGAGTCGACTCATAAGGTAACTTTTGACTTTCCAGTCGACTTAAAAGGTGTCTCTTGACTTTTGAGTCAACTCAAAAGTCATTCCGTCCCTCCGCCCCTCCTCCCTTCCTCCTTCATCAAGCTCCTCCATGTGGAATGCAAGGAAGGAGGGGCAACCTTTGAGTCGACTCAAGAGTCATTCCGGCCCTCTGCCCCTCCTTCATCGGGCTCCTCCATGTGGAACGCAAGGAAGGAGGGGCGGAGGGGCGCAGGCAGGTGACTTTTGAGTCGACTCAAAAAGTGTTGTGTGGCATGGTAACGAGGTGACTTTTGAGTCGACTCAAAAAGTGTTGTGTGGCATGGTAATGAGGTGACTTTTGAGTCGACTCAAAAAGTGTTGTGTGGCATGGTAACGAGGTGACTTTTGAGTCGACTGAAAAAGTGTTGTGTGGCATGGTAACGAGGTGACTTTTGAGTTGACTCAAAAAGTGTTGTGTGGCATGGTAACGAGGTGACTTTTGAGTCGACTCAAAAAGTGTTGTGTGGCATGGTAACGAGGTGACTTTTGAGTTGACTCAAAAAGTGTTGTGTGGCATGGTAACGAGGTGACTTTTGAGTCGACTCAAAAAGTGTCGTGTGGCATGGTAACGAGGTGACTTTTGAGTCGACTCAAAAGTCCGCCCCTCCTTCCTTCCTCCTTCATCGGGCTCTTCCAGGAGGAACGTGAGGAAGAAGGGGCGGAGGGACGCAGGCAGGTCCAGTGGCGGGTCCCCTCCTCCTCCTTCCCCCTTCGCATCGCCCCTTCCATTCACACCATCTCCCCCCATCATGTCTTTTACTCCCACCCACCTGTTCTAACGGCATCGACTCGTTGTATTGCGGGCAGTAGTCCGACGGGCACGGTCAAACATGCCGCCCCCCCCCTTCTTTCCCCCCCTTCTTTCCCCCCCTTCTTTCCCCCCCTTCTTCCCCCCCTTCTTTCCCCCCCTTCTTTCCCCCCCTTCTTTCCCCCCCTTCTTTCCCCCCTTCTTTCCCCCCCTTCTTTCCCCCCCTTCTTTCCCCCCCTTCTTTCCCTCTACCCCCCCTCCTCGCCCACTCCCCCCCCTCCACCACTCATCGCACCTTCCATTCCCACCCACCACCGGTTCAAACGGCATCGAGTCGTTGTATAGCAGGCAGAAGAAGTCCGACGGGCACGGTCAATCAGTCCCTCTTCCCCGTCCCCCTCATTCTCTCCCTCTCTCCCTTCTTCTTCCTCCTCTTCCACTCCCACTCCCACGCACCTCTTCAAACGGCATCGACTCGTTATATAGCAAGCATAAGTCAGACGGGCACGGCCAATCAGGTCGCGGTACGTTGGAGCCTGGCCAAAACACTGTTGCTGCCTGCAGGCCCTGCAGACGTTACAACCGGGAAAGCAAGTCAGAGGTGTAAGGGGGAGAGGGGAGAAGACTTCTGAGGCGCCTCACAACACGTTGGAGCCCGGCCAAAACACCGTTGCCGCCCGCAAGCCCTGCAGACGGTACAACCGGAAAAGCAAGTCAAAGGCCCAAGCGGGAGAGGGGAAGAGCGGGGAGAGGGTGAAGGAAGGGGGGAAGGGGGGAAGGGGGGAAGGGGGAAGGGGGGAAGGGGGGAAGGGGGGAAGGGGGGAAGGGGGGAAGGGGGGGGGGAAAGGGGGAAAGGGGAAAGGGGGAGTAAGGAGAAAGGAGAAAGTGGAGAAGGAGGGGAAGTGGGGAAAGGGGGGAAGGGGGAAGGGGGGAAATGGCAACTAGCAGGCAGTGGGACCAGTTGAAATGTCCCGACCCCCAGAATTCTCACAAGTGGCAGTGGGACCAGTTGAAATGTCCCGACCCCCCTTTAAACCCCTCACCTGCCAGTTCACTGTGGCCCACCCTGCCATCATGTGGTAATAGAGTGATTTGGGGACGTCTCAAAAACACTCTATTATTGAATGGGTTTGCCCAGCCATCATATGGAGAGAACATGTTGCTGTGGCGAGTGGGGAGGCAGAGGGAGTTAGCAACTATGCCCTTCACCCCTTACCTTCCCCGATCCTGTTTCCCCCCCACCTGCCCTACCCTCTCCCAACTAGCTCACCTGACGGTTCACTGTGGTCCAGATGGGTTCGCCCAGCCACCATCTGGGCTCGACATTCCCAAGGTTGAACACGTCGCTGTGGTTGGCGGGGTTTCGGAACTTGTTTGCCAGAATGCCATGCGAGGCAGGGAGCAGACCCGTGGCCATGGAGTGGTGCGAGGGGAAGGTGAGTGAGGGGAAGACCGGTAGCATTCCTTGCTCTGCGAATGTACCTTCGTTCAACATCCTGAGGAACAGTACAAGCATAGGAAGGCGGAGAAGGGCAGGAGGTCAGTCGCCATGGAGTGGTGTGAGGGGAAGGTGAGCGAGGGGAAGACAGGCAGCATTCCGTGCTCTGCGAATGTACCTTCAGCCAGCATCCTGAGGCAAGGCACATATGCAGGAGGGTAGAGGCGGGAAGGGGGCCCGTGGCCTTGGAACTGTGTATGGAAGGTGAGGGAGGGGAAGATGGGCAGCGTACTGCGCTCTGCAAATGAAGCTCCTGCCAGCATCCTGACGGGTGGTTGAAATTGACATAGGGAGTATGCAGGGGGTTTTAAGGGAGGAGGAGGCATGCAGCCATGGAGTGGTGCGAGGGGAATGTTAGCCAGGGGAAGGTGAGCCAGGGGAAGGTGAGCCAGGGGAAGGTGAGCCAGGGGAAGGTGAGCCAGGGGAAGGTGAGCCAGGGGAAGGTGAGCCAGGGGAAGGTGAGCCAGGGGAAGGTGAGCCAGGGGAAGGTGAGCCAGGGGAAGGTGAGCCAGGGGAAGGTGAGCCAGGGGAAGGTGAGCCAGGGGAAGGTGAGCCAGGGGAAGGTGAGCCAGGGGAAGGTGAGCCAGGGGAAGGTGAGCCAGGGGAAGGTGAGCCAGGGGAAGGTGAGCCAGGGGAAGGTGAGCCAGGGGAAGGTGAGCCAGGGGAAGGTGAGCCAGGGGAAGGTGAGCTTTCAGCGTGTCGGCTTTCAGGTGGTACCCGTGTCCGAGCCCATCAAGGCACACTAGAATCACAGTGGGCTGCCCTCCCAGCAGCGCTCCTTTACTGCCCGCCCTTCCAATTTAATCTCCCGCAACTTCCTCCTACCTATTCAGATTCGGTGTGTCGGCTTTCAGGTGGTACCCGTGTCCGAGCCCATCAAGGCACACTAGAATCACCGTGGGCTGCCCTCCCAGCAGCGCTCCTTTACTGCCCGCCCTTCCAATTTAATCTCCCGCAACTTCCTCCTACCTATTCAGACTCGGTGTGTCGGCTTTCAGGTGGTACCCGTGTCTGAACCCATCAAACGACACCAGGATCACCGTGGGCTGCCCTCCCTCCCCTTACGTTCCCACGCCTCCCTCTTACCTTGTCAAATGGCGCGTGTCGGCTTTGAGATGGTACCCGTGTCTGAACCCGTCAAACGACACCAGAATCACCGTGGGCTGCCCTCCCAGCGTGCCTGTGGGGGACGGCGGAGGGCCGCCCCCTCCGTCAAACGCTGCCCTCCCAGCGCGCCTGTGGGGAAGGGGGGAGGAACCATCCCATACCTACCACCGCCTACCTGTTCAGATTCGGTGTGTCCGCCTTGAGATGGTAACCGTGTCTGAACCCGTCAAACGACACGAGGATCACCGTGGGCTGCCCCCCCAGCGCGCCTGTGGGGGACGGTGGAGGGCCGCCCCCTCCGTCAAACGCGGAGGAGCAGGAGGCGTGCGAGTGGGATGTGAGGAAGATGGCGAGGGCGAAGCCCAGGACGACTGGAGGTGGAGAGGGGTGGGATGGGATGGAATGGAAGAAGACGGAAAAAGGTGAAGGGCAGGGGAACGGGGTTAAGGAGGAGGGCCGCCCCCTCCGTCAAATGCGGAGGAGCAGGAGGCGTGCGAGTGGGACGTGAGGAAGATGGCGAGGGCGAAGCCCAGGACGACTGGAGGGCGGGGTGGAGAGGGGTGGGATGGGATGGGAGAGTGGTAATGAATGGTCGGGTGGCTTCCTGCTAGGTCGAATGCGGGGTGTGTGTGATGTGAGGAAGATGGCGAGGGAGAACCCCAGGACGACTGACGGGAGGGGTGGAGAGGGATGGGATGGGATGGGATGGGATTGAATGGGATGGGATGGGAGAAGAGGGAAACTGTGTGAGGGGTAAGGAGTGAGGGGGTGACTTCCTTGTACGTCCAATGCTGCAAGTGGGATGTGAGGAAGATGGCGAGGGCGAACCCCAGGACGACTGGAGGAAGGGGGAGAGGTGGGACGGGATGGAATGGGAGAAGAGGGGACATAATAGGTGAAGGGCAGGGGAACAGGGGGTGGGCGGAGGGCAGCCTGGGATGTGAGGTGGCGAGGGCGACGCCGAGGACGACTGGAAAGAGGGGTGGGATGGGATGGAAGAAGAGGAGAAGAAGGTGAGGGGCGCGGGGACGGGGGGAGGGCCGAGGACCGAGTGTAACCATGTGAGGAAGGGAGGAGTAAGCGGATGAGGGGAGGGGATGAGGCGCCTAAGTTTGCTCGTGAGCTTGCAATAGGGATAGAGGAGGTGCCTGGAGCATCCGATGCGGCGAGCCGCACTGGGTTAGTGACCGTTAGGGAGTAGCCTGAGAAGGTTGAACAGGCAGGTTGGCTGGCAAGATGCTGACCTGAGAGGAACGCGACGGCTGTGACCATCTCAGCGAACGGCCAGGCCCGGCTTGCTTGCAGGCACGTGTTATGCGCGCGGAATTAAGCTCGCGGCACCATGATTGCACCATGGGTTATGGTTGGCAAGAAGCTGACCTGAGAAGAACGCGACGGCCATGACCATCGCAGCGAACGTCCCGAGCCGTCCCGATAGGATCGAGCGACGAGGTTGCTTATGGCGGTGACCTACATACACGTCAACCTCCTCGGTTTCCACGTCATCATCGCTAACACTGCAGCCGCCGTCGGCCTCCCGCTTCTCCTCGTTTGGAATTAAGCTGTGCTCCACTGGACTAGGAGACGGGCCGGATCCCGTAACTTCCGCCGGAATTTGCGCTTTGCCTAGCATAGCTAGCTGCTCGGAACTTTTCGGTGTGGACATGATTCCTCAAATATATTTTACAATGAATATGTATGAAACAGATGTTGTAGAATGTATAACACCGAGTCAGCTGTTTAGTGAATCGTAGTGACTATGGTCACAGTGAGTTTTGAGACGTCTCGAAGCCGTTGCGACAGCTATAGTCTCTTTGACGTACGTACTATTTTACAGCTACACGAAATACAGAGAGACAAGCTCGGTGGAGCCTTTGAGGCGTTCCGGATCCCCCAATAGTATGCAGATTCACATCACGAGAGCTGGAGACAGCATTCTCCTCTGCTGTGGGCCGTTGCTCGCAGAGGGGGACCGAAATGGATCCACCATGGGCCACAGCACAAGGGAATGAGAGGTGAAGAAAGGAGGAGCCAAGTTAGCCTAGTTGTTGTAGCCAATCACGTCAAAGGGTATCTTTCTATGGGACGGTGTTCGCTTGGTTGAGCGCCCTTGGGATCTCCAACATGGCGAACATCATAGACGAATTCAACGAATCTCTCCAGGTTTCGATGATGAGCTCTTACCGTCTGTCACGAAAGCCCAGGCGATCAATGGCGAAATCTTTTTATGAAAGCGACATGCAACGACTCCGTGCAAAGCAGAGTAACGCATGGCATTCAATCGCAGGGCCAGCAGAACCACAAAATGCCACATGAAGGCGGACCAGGTTGTTTCGGCGGAAAGCTTTCTGATCCATTGGCGAAGGAGAAGTACCCACTCAATTCTTTCGCCGGCCAATCTTCATCGCCGGAATCCCCTGGTGTAACAAACATTCATCTCCACTCGTCTCGCTTCTCCCGCCCAGAACGATTGCATCGCTGTTTCCAGATGGTACAGCGCAGAAACAATTCACAAACGCATTCGCTCCACTTCAGTAAACTTTCCTGGCATCACTACTTTCATACCGGCGCACTCACTATCGCGAATAGTCTTCAGCGAGTAATTAGGAGATGATGCCGGCAGCTAAGAGCGCTACCTATCGGCGATCGCGACTCGGCCAGCCGGCGACTGACGTCAGCGCGCGACCGATCGCCGACGACAGCAGCAACAGCAGGAGTGCTGACGTCAGCACGAGTGCGAGAGCTAGGGACAGCGATGGAACCGCGGCGAAAGTGGCGGAGTACGAACGATTCGTGGAGGAGCGTTTGAAGGTGGATTTACAGGCAGCGATGGAGGATAGGTGCGTGTGTTGTACTGAGACAGCTTATAGCGGGGATATAGAGGCGAAGGTGCCGGAGTACGGGCGATTCGTGGAGGGGCAGTTGAAAGTGGCTTTACAGGGAGCGATGGAAGACAGGTGCGTGTGTTGTACTAAGACAGCTTATAGCGGGGATATGGGGGCGAAGGTGGCGGAGTACGAGCGAGTCGTGGAGGAGCGGTTGAAAGTGGATCTGCAGGCAGCGAGGGAAGGCAGGTGCATGTGCGCCATTCCTGCCGCTTTTAGAGATAAACGGCTGTGAAGGTATGGGAGGAAGGAAGGAGGGAGCAAGGAAAAGGGGGAACACGCTGGTACCAGTAAACCTTAGACGAGCATTCTTGTCTGATTCACTGGCCATCGCTGCGTTCAGATGTCACTCACCTTATTTGGTGTTAGGGTCAGATATCAAATGAGCGGTCGCATCAGATGTAACAGAACAAGGCTAGATTGTCTGTGATAGGAACGGTCGCATCCATGTGTGATACTGCCCCTGTTTTAGCGGAGACCTGATGGGCCATTCCTGTCTCATTCTCTGCCGGTTCGGTGCCTATATTTGATGTGAAAATACGTGTGATTTTGTGAGTGCATGTGTGCTGTGCACGCATTTGTTTGCGCATGAGAGGATGGGCGTGTGCATGTGATTGCTCGTGTGTGCGTGTGCGCATGTGAGAATGCGTGTGTGTGTGTGTGTGTGTGTGTGTGTGTGTGTGTGTGTGTGTGCGTGTGCGTGTGCGTGTGCGTGTGCGTGTGCATGTGCGTGTGCGTGTGCGTGTGTGTGGGTGCGTGTCAGAGAGAGTGTACGGTGGTGTCTGCAGGCACAATGTTCAAGAAGAATTCTAAGTCTAGTACGCTCTCTCTTCCCCACCCCCTTCCCCTCGCCCTGGCCCCTTTGCCCTTCCGCCCGTGCATGTGAATGTCTGGGTGCTTGTGCTCGTGTGTGTGTACACATGTCCGTGCATGGTGGGGCGTGGCGGGGCATGGCAATGACTGCAGGCTCAAGGTCCAAGAAGAAATCCAAGTCTAGTACGATCTCTTCCCCTCCCTCCCTCTCCCCTCTCCTTGGAGTTGCAGGGTGTTTTTGATTTTTTCCAAAAACACCCTGCAAGTCCAAGAACAAATACAAGTCTATTGCGCTCTCTTTTCCCCTCCCCTCACCTCCCCCACCTTTTGCCCCGCCCCTCCCCTCACAACCTCTCCCGCCGCTCCCCCTGCCGCGCCAATTCTTCTCTTTTTCACCGTTGCATTCTCTCCTGCGTAGATACCGTAACATGACGTATTGTCTTTTTTATTCTGCCTCTAACTTGATTCCTGCATTTTCCTCATGCATTGCACTCCCATCTATTCCTATCATATCCAATTCGTTCTCAGTACTTCATTCATCCTAGATGTACGCTATGCATATCTCACACATTATACTCTTCCTGAGTTACCATACACTATCATTTTATACTCGTTACAGTGAGGAGCTGGTGCGCAATATCGAGGCGTTGGAGGAGAACGGAGTGGAGGAGATGAGAGCGATGGTCAACCTGGGGGGAGAGGTGTTTGTGCAGGCAGACGTGTGAGTGGGTGGTTTGGGATTAAAGGTACAGATGGGTTGAGAGAGGTGTAGCGCACTTCTGAGTTCGGGAGTGGAGGAGATGAGAGCAATGGTCAACCTGGGAGGAGAGGTGTTTGTGCAGGCAGACGTGTGAGCGGGGATGTGGGGGTGGGAGGTGTACAGATGGGTTGAGAGAAGTTCCAGGAAAAGAGGAGATGAGAGCGCTGGTCAACCTGGGGGGAGAGGTCTTTGTGCAGGCAGACGTGTGAGTTGCATGAGGGGACGGGGAACCTGGGAGTGGTTGACTGGGGGGGGAGGGGAGTGGGTGGGGTTTGAGGAAGGGAAATGCACTGTGGGGTTTGGGAGTGGAGGAGAGGAGGGATCTAGGCTGATGTGTGATGTGTGATGTGGGATGTGGGATGTGTGATGTGTGATGTGGGATGTGGGATGTGGGATGTGTGATGTGGGATGTGGGATGTGGGATGTGGGATGTGGGATGTGGGATGTGGGATGTGGGATGTGTGATGTGTGATGTGGGATGTGGGATGTGGGATGTGTGATGTGGGATGTGGGATGTGGGATGTGGGATGTGGGATGTGGGATGTGGGATGTGGGATGTGGGATGTGGGATGTGTGATGTGGGATGTGGGATGTGTGATGTGGGATGTGTGATGTGGGATGTGTGATGTGGGATGTGTGATGTGGGATGTGTGATGTGGGATGTGGGATTGCGCTTCCACGTGGAGTTTACCCACCTTGACGCTGAACCTGCTGTTGGTGCTGTTGACTGCTGTTGACTTCTGTTGACTCCCACTGGCCCCAGGCCAGGCACATCACACATATTTGTCTCAGTGGGGCTGGGCTTTCACGTGGAGTTCACCCGCCTTGACTCCATTACCCTCTTGACCATGTTGACTTCCGTTGACTCCCACAGCCCGGACACGTCATACATATTTGTGTCAGTGGGCCTGGGCTTCCACGTGGAGTTCACCCGCCTTGAAGCCAAGGAGTTTGCCGCCTCTAAGATTGAGCACTTGAGAAAGTGAGTGGGTTGACTTTTGAGTCGACGCAGAAGTCACCTCAGTACAATGTCACCCGCCTTGAAGCCAAGGAGTTTGCCGCCTCTAAGATTGAGCACTTGAGAAAGTGAGTGGGTTGACTTTTGAGTCGACGCAGAAGTCACCTCAGTACAATGTCACCCGCCTTGAAGCCAAGGAGTTTGCCGCCTCTAAGATTGAGCACTTGAGAATGTGAGTGGCATTGATGGTGGTACGCACGGCACGGGATGCGATTTATCATAGCAAGCGTGTTTTTTCTTTCTTCCTTTCCTTTCCTTCTTTCTTTCTTTCTTCCTTTTTTTTTTCCATTACGTACGATTCTGCCCTGTTCTTTTTACCCTTCTTAGCATGTAGTTTTTATTCTCTCCTCTGTTCTTCCCCGTACGTCCGTGGCCCCATGGCCCAACCCCCATCCTCTTCCCACCTCACACTTAACCCCCAAACCCCTTATGGTTCTGTAACGGAAGGAACCATCAACCCCCCGCCATCCCCCTCCCCACTTCGCGGTTCCCCTCCCCATACCCGTTTCTCCCTTGATTAGTCAAAAGGTCCCCAATTTTACCTGGTTATTCTGTGCCCGCAGGCAAGTTGCACGGCACACGGAGAGAATATCATCCATTAAAGCCCACATCAAGCTGGTGAGCAATGACTGGGCTGGGCTGGGCTGGGCTGGGCTGGGCTGGTTTCTGGTACTCAAACTGGGTGGGGTGGTGTGCCTGTTGGGTCGACTCGAAAAGGCAGGGTGTGTGGCGCACAGAGAGAATATCATCCATTCAAGCCGACATCAAACGTGAGGTCCCAGGGGTCCCTTTGACGTGTCTCATTCGTGAGGTACCCCACTTTTGAGGCGACTTTTGAGGTGCATCAAAAGCAAGCTGGTGGTCAGCATTGGAGGCTGCTGATGAACAAACGTGAGGTTCTGAGGGTCCCTTTAACGTGTCTCATCCATGAGGCGCCCCACTTTTGAGGTGACTTCTGAGGCGACCTGAGCTTCTGGTGCATCAAAAGCACGCTGGTGGTCAGCATTGGAGGCTGCTGATGAACAAACGTGAGGTTCCGGGGGGTCCTCACTTCGTTCAAGCCTTTTCGTGCAATTGTCTCCTCTTGGCGTTTCATCTCTTTCATGCATTTCGTTTCAAGCCTTTTTGGCATTTCATCTTTTACCGCTCGTGGCCGTGGGCAGGTGGTTGAGGGGATTCGAGAGCTTCTCAACATATCAGCTGAAGACCCGTGACAACCAGATGATGTACAGGAGTTCCTTAGCATCCTAGAGAATAGACCACCAGGTGACTTGGAGAATCGAGGAGCATCAAAGGCGGCTAAACATACGGTACAATACTAGCTGACGAATCATGGCGATTAGCCATGTTGGCTTGCCGTGTTGACTAGACAGGCAGCAGATTGACTTGAAAGAACTCTGAGGCGTGGACTCGAGCTGATTGGATGCAGCTGGGATGACAGTGCATTGGTACCGGTAGTGGCTGAGGTGTAACAGGGTGATGGGATGCATATTTGAAAGCAGCTTCCACAGTGGAAGTTCAACCAGATTACCGTATGCTGTAAACAAAACGTGACATTACAAACCAGACTGAAGAATAAGGTACCATATTAGAGTGCCAATACCAATGTTGCAGTGAGTGAACAATATCTGCACCAAATAAAAACATACATTGATACCGTAGTATGGTACGTTAGCAAAGCAACACAGGAAAGCTCTAGTCACTAAATAAGGCGATTATTGAGTCAGTTTGGAAGACGATGGTTGTTGAAGGGGCCATCGTCAGATAATCTGTTATGAAGGGGCCTCGACAGCCCCATCCAGCATACGGTAATCTGTTATGAAGCGTGTCATCATGAAGTGACTAGCTCGATGAGTGATACGGCTGTCTCTTTCGACAGCCTCATGACTGCATCGATGCTTTCTGAGGCGCCTAAAACAATTGTTGTCATGACGTGACTTGCTGCATGAGTGATATCGTCGTCTCTTTCGACAGCCCCATGACTGCATCGATGCTCCCCACCTGGAACCAGCAAGGAGAACGGTTAATAAAACGCGGAAACAGGATGGGTGGGGAAAAACATCGAAGCAGCAAGAAGATTAGGGAACGAAACGGGACACAGGGGTGAATGAAAGAGGGAAAAAAACACAAAGTATCTCCCCTTTCACCAGCCATTCCCCTCTCCCCTCTCCCTTTTCCTCCTCCACCCCCCCCCCCCCCCACTTCCCCTTCCTCCCCGTCCCTGCCCCTTCTTCATGCTCTCCCCTTCTGCCCCTTATCTCCCACCCATACACCTTCCCCCCGTGCACATCTCACCATCTTCTCAACCAGCAGCGCCACCAGGGGATGTTGCACCATCAGCCCAGCACCATGACTCACCATCAGCCCATCAGCCATGCGTCCATGACTCACCATTGCAGCTCCTCGCACCATTCCCCTCCCCCCCAATCTCACCATCTTCGCCACCAGCGGCGCCATCGAGGGATGCTCCACCATCAGCACTCACAAGGAAGTTTCATTTCAACAACCCATCACTTGCATCTTAGTCCTCCCTCCCTTCCCAGCACCCCCCTCACCATCTTCTCCACCAGCGGATGGTCCACCATGAGCCCTCCAGCATCAACCCTCCGCCATGGAGCATCACTCACACACTCCCTCTCCCCTCTCCAACCTCTGCTTCTCATCCCCTCGCACCCCCCTCACCATCTTCTCCACCAGGGGATGCTCCACCTTCAACCCTCCAGCATCACTCAGACACTCCCTCGCACCTCTCCTCTCTCACTGCTTCACACTCACGCCTACCTCGCCCCCCACCCAGCTCACCATCTTCTCCACCAGCGGCGCCACCAGGGGATGCTCCACCATCAGCCATCAAATAATTGCTTCACCATTAGAATCCCCCCTCCCCCGTCCCCCTTCCTCCCTTACCATTTTCTCTACCAGCGGCGCCACCAGGGGATGCTCCACCATCAGCCCAGTACCATCAGCCCAGCACCATCAGCCCAGCACCATCATCAGCCATGCTTCCATGACTCACCATTCCCCTCCCCTCTCCTCTCCTCTCCCCCCCAATAGCTCACCATCTTCTCTACCAGCGGCGCCACCAGCGGATGCTCCACCATCAGCCCTCCAGCGCAGAAAAAAATGTCGCCCTCTGCCACCTGCGGGGAGAGTGGTAATGCGGTGCAGAGGGGTGCAGAGCAGTAGAGTGAGGTGCCACCACCAAGGGATGCTCCACCATCAGCCCTCCAGCGCAGTAAAAAATGTCGCCCTCTGCCACCTGTAGAGGAATTTGTGGTGCGATGCAGAGGGATGCAGAGGGTTGCAGAGGGTTGCAGAGGGTTGCAGAGGGATGCAATGAGTGAGGTGCCCAGGGATGCAGTGAGTCGACTCAGAAGTCAACGCGACATGCAGTCTGGCGATATGGCATCGCATGTAGAGTAGAGTAGGTGGTGGCGTATCACTGACGTGTGACATTGTACCTTGGTCATTTGCTCATGCCACAAGTCCCTTCCCACGACCTTTGAGGCACCTCAAAAGTCGCTCGCCTGCCAACAGTCCATACCTTGGTCTTTTCCTCACAGCACAAGTCCCCTCTCACGACCTCACACATTTCTCCTCACCATGTGATACACACTCCCTCTCACCAGTTGATCAATCACAGCATCAGGAATCGGCCGGAAGTGAACCTCTGCCACGTCCACTGCTGCTGGCGCCTTTGTCCCAACAGCAGTCCCCACCCACCACTCTTTCCCACCACGTCACACACATACCCACTCACCGGCTGGTCAACCACAGGGTCAGGAATGGGCCGGAAGTGAACCTCTGCCACGTCCACTGCTGCCCCCTGCCTGCCAACAGTCCACAGCTTGGTCTTTTCCTCATAACACAAGTCCCCTCTCACGACCTCACACATTCCTCCTCACCATGTGACACCCACTCCCACTCACCAATTGGTCAACGACAGCATCTGGAATAGGCCGGAAGTGAACCTCTGCAACGTCCACTGCTGCTGCCGCCTGTATTCCTCCCACCCAACACCTCACCGAACTCCTCCGTTTCCTCACACAGTTAAGCTCAGTCACTTCTCACCAGTTGATCAACGGCAGCATCGGGAATAGGTCGGAAATGAACCTCTGCCACGTCCACTGCTGCTGCCTGCTTGCCCGAGTTCAGATTCGTTACGAGAACTGCCCCTACAGTGCGGGCAGGCGCGCGCGAGTAGCCTCGGATGAACTCCCGAGCCTCAGCTTCGGACAGAGGCTTCTCAAGAATCCGATCCTCATGCACCACCACCTGTGAGACGAACGAGGGCAGACATGGCAATATGCAGGCAATTCCCGGTACAATCATTGCGACGTCTAAAAAAATGAAACCCATACGCACATGACATAAACAATGTGCACATGACATAAACAATATGCACATGACACAAACAATATGCACATGACATAAACAATATGCACATGAAATAAACAATATGCACATGACATACACATGACATAAACAATATACACATGAGCGAGGAGAAATGAGTGGAGTTTTGTGACGTCTCAGAGCACTCATTTCACGTGGCTTTTGAAACGACTCAAAAACTTCACTCATTTCACGTGGCTTTTGAAACGACTCAAAAACTTCACTCATTTCACGTGACATGACATAAACAATATGCACATGAGCGAGGATTTGGGAAAAGCCGAGAAACTAGTGAGGTATGAATCTCGGCCTTGGGCGATTTCTGCTGCTCCAAAGTCCAGTTAAACTCTCGTGCCGCACCAGCACATGCAGCACAATTTTGTTGGTCGGACCTTCAAGGGATTTCGAAACCAAGGATATGGGGAAGCCAATACACCTGCGGTGCGGACAATATGACAAAACAATCACACCTTGTGTAGACGTGCATGCGTGCGCACACACACACGCGCACGCGCGCGCGCGCACACACACACACACATTGTCACTTCCTTGCTCTTACTCTCTCGCACCTACTCTATCGTCGCTTCGCTCCAAGCATACCTGGTCAGCAGTAATTAGCAGGGTCGGCACATCCGCAGTTTCTGGGAAGGTTCGTCCCTCCGCCTTGAGCTTGGCAAGGAGGGCGTCTGCCTGGTGGGTAGAGACACGTGGCACATGATTATTGAAAAAACTTAAAAAAAAAAAAAAAACAAACATGCAAACAAACATACAAATTAAAGAGAAATCCTGGAGTGAGAGGGGTTAACGTCACCTTAGCACGAGAGAGGAGGGAGACCAGCTCGTTGGGGTCTGCGCTCCGAATGGCCTCCTCGTCTATCCCTGGCTTCTGCATGCAATGGCGTGCGCGCCACGCACCGAAGAAGGAGAAAACAGAGCAGCGTGAGTGTGGAGGGAGACATGAACACAACACAGAGAGGGATGTGCAGAGTAGGAAAAGAGAACAACGTGGGAAGAGGGCAGGATGGGATGACGAGGGCACCATAGGATAACAGCAAGGGCCACGTGATATTTCTTCCTTTCCTCATTCCGACACAATTCCACTCGCACCCCCCATCTCTTCCCACAGCCTCTTTCCCCTGGCACGAGTATGTTTAGGGCCAGACATTCAGCTTCTCGATATATTCTCTCGCCCACTTGACCAGCCAGGCGTTTACGACGCCTCTCTGCCACACCTCCCGATAGCAGCTGCTCCCATTCCCATACCCGTTTCAGATGCCATACGCAGGAGCAGATCTGGCTCCTGAGAAACCAAACCACCTCGCCCGGAACGACCACTGCACCACTGCTGGCTGTTCCTCCTCCTATACACGTTTCAGACGTCCTCGTTTTCGATCATCAGAGATTTCAACGAACCCGCCATTAGAAGCATCCTCGTTTCCAACTATTAGTGCAATAAAAGCACCCACCATGATCTCAAACGGCACGCCAGCACCCGTTGCCAGTGGATATTCCTCTCATACGCGTTTCAAACATCCTCGTTCCCAACCATTAGTGCGATCAAACCACCCACCATGATCTCAAACGGCACGCCAATCTCCCGCAGCACCCGTTGCCAGTGGATATTCCTCTTATACGCGTTTCAAACATCCTCGTTTCCAACCATTAGTGCGATCAAACCACCCACCATGATCTCAAACGGCACGTCTATCTCCCGCAGCACCTGCTGCCGGCTCTGCGACGACGATCCCAGGATGATCTGTCAACACATGGACGCACGGGGCATGGACGGGTAGTAGGGAACAAGAAAAGACGTTCAGTTGACTCCCAGCTTCCCGCAGCACCTGCTGCCGGCTCTGCGACGACGATCCCAGGATAAGTTAACACATGGAAGAACGGGGCATAAAGGGAGTGGAGTAAGGAAAGAAACGACCTTGACGCAGATTACCAGCCCAATTCCTCAACTACCGACGAAACTCGCTGTCTGCCAATTCCAACTCAAAGCGCGTTCCACCTGACAGTTCTTCATGGTTTTCCCCCAATCGGAAGCACGCGGCTCAATATCAATGCCCGCAGCCGTAACACGAATTCGTCTCGTGGTGCTACGAGCCTGAGATTTCTCACGAGTATGGACACAGTCTGTGATTGAAATCACAATGGCGGAAGCGCGAGAAAACCAACCGTGAGACGGAATGTGGCAGCGGCCGGTGCGGTTAGTAGCAGGGAAGATAGCTACGGCACGTGGGGATTGCGCGGGAAAATGGCGGGAAAACGGTTGGAGACATACCGCCATGGAACAGGTGACAGTAGTTGATCGGAATTGTGGGCTTTCTGCTGCTGTTGATTATCATCTGTGGGTCATCGCAACGCAATCACTATCACAGGGGCTTGGTTCCGCCGAAAACTTATCCAACCGTTGCAACATGCAGTACATCTCACCAAACCGCATTTCCAGCTTACACACGCGAGGAAAGCAGGATTCTTTCGCGACAGCGTGCGACGGACCGTTACGGCACAGATCCTACTTTATAAAGATCCGTTCACATCAGGAATGGAGCTTATGCCATGAACACTAAGACATGGACGGCACTCACCTAGAGTGAACCCCAAATATAGGCACCTTCTTCCTTCTTCCAAATTCCATGTTATATCTAGAAAAAAAAATCCTTATCTACACTATGAAAATGCCCTCTTAATTTTCTGCAATAATTTGTGTGTTTATTCCCGGAAGCTCAGACCATCTATCCTCATGCAAAAGTCAATCCTCTATGTAGCCAACCCTCTCATGCATCCCTGGAAAAAAGCATCAAGCCTCCTCCTTGGGTCGCCAGAAGCCCTTTTGGAACGCCAGCAGCACCTCTCCGCCCTCGGTCTGGTTGAACTTGAGACGCCAGTGGAAGGAAGAAGCGAGGTTGAGAATGGTACCCCCCATCCGAGCATGGTCGCGGAACACTGCCCAGCCCTCAGGGCGCAGCAGTCGATCCATCTCGAGTAGGACAGACGCGATATCGCACCTGGTGGGGTTGGGAGTGGTGAGACAGACATGTCTCAATACTGACCCCCCTGAGACATGGTTTGATCAGTGTGACGCAGGCCATAGGAGCGTGGATACCAGTCGATCTCACACCAGTCGTGGTACATGCATGCGGCATGAATGAGTGGACGTTTCTCACCTGCCAACCTCCTGTGACACGGTGTGATCGGCGTGAAGCAGGTCGTAGGAGGGTGGGTACGAGTTGAACGACTCGCACCAGTCGTGGTAAATTCCCACCAGCCCGCGCTCAAACACTACGGTATTTGCAGAAGCACACAGGTTGCACAAGCGTGAGTGAGCGCGTGAATGAGAGTGGGCGTTTCTCACCTGCCAACCTCCTGTGAGACTGTATGGTCAGCATGAAGCAGGTCGTAGGAGCGCGGGTACGAGTTGAACGACTCACACCAGTCGTGGTAGATGCCCACCAGCCCACGCTCAAACACGATGGGTAGCGAGTCAGGCCCACTCGTGGGCACCACGCTCAGCACCCACAGGGGCTTCTTGGATGCCGCCAGCTCTGCTGCGAAGCTGGGAGCGGTGGAGAGAGATTGGGAGGGGTTGGGAGGAGTGGGAAGGGGACACGGGGTTGGGTACGAGTTGAACTACTCACACCAGTCGTGGTAGAAGCCCACCAGCCCACACTCAAACACGATGGGCAGCGAGTCGGGGCCACTCGTGGGCACCACGTTTAGCACCCACAGAGGCTTCTTTGACACCGCCAGCTCTGCTGCGAAGCTGGGAGCGGTGGAGAGGGGTGGGGATGGATGGGGAGCGAAGGAAGGTTGGCATCGAGTCGGGGCCACTCGTGGGCACCACGTTCAGCACCCACAGCAATTTCTTTGACACTGCTAGCTCTGCTGCGAAACTGGGAGGGTTAAGGGGCGGGGAGGGGTGGGGATGGGTGGGGAGGAAGAAGGTGGGCAGTGAGTCGAGGCCACTGGTAGGAACCACATTCAGCACCCACAGGGGCTTCTTTGACACTGCTAGCTCTGCTGCGAAACTGGGAGGGGTGGAGATCGGTGGGGACGGGTGGGGAGGGATGGAGGTTGAGCAGCGAGTCAGCCCGCTCGTGGGCACCACGTTCAGCACCCACAGGGGCTTCTTGGATGCTGCTAGCTCTGATGTGAAGTTGGGAAGGGTGAAGAGCAGTGGGGAGGGGCGGGAGTAGGGGATCAGGAAATGCACGTTTGCGTTCATCCATCACGTTCAGCAACCACAAGGGATCCTTTGACCCCATTAGCATTGCTAAAATCCTGGGGAGCGGTGGAGAGCGATGGGGAAGGGTGGAGAGGGGTGGGAGGGGTTGAGAGGGGTGAGGAGGGTACAGGGGGAGTGGAAGCGGGGGATCAGGGATTGCACGATCATGTCCAACAAATGTCCTTTGAGGCACATCAAAAGCCATTGCGCTCAGGAGTGTTTTGAGACGTCTCAAAACAAAACTCTTTCGAGACGTCTCAAAACTTTTGAGGCACATCAAAAGCCATTGTGCTCATCACCAACAAGGCTTGACCCAGCCAGCCAGCTTTGCTGCAAACTTGTCTCACTCCTTAGTTTGCCCTAATCAATACTCACTGAACATCCCCTGCTCGATAATCCCATCCCATAGTCATCCTCACCCTCCATACAATCACACTCACCCTCCATAGTGCGTGTTCATGTCCATCACGCTCCGCACTGTGCTCCAATTGAATGCTGTAAACTTGTTGTGCGCATCAGATATCCCATGCACCCGTATGATATCTCACCCCGCTAAATACACACTCACCCGCCATAGTGTGCGTTCATGTCCATCACATTCCGCACTGTGGTCCAGTCGATGCCAAACGACGCATCGTAGAAGGCAACCACCTTCTTCCAGTGAATCTGGGGGGAGGGGGGAAGGGGAAACGGGGAAGGGTAAGCAAAGATGGGCAGGGCATCACGGGGGCGTAATCACATGTCGATGCCAAACGACGCATCGTAGAAGGCAACCACCTTCTTCTAGTGGATTTGGAGAGAGGGAGCACGACGGGGAACAAAGAGACAACAAAAAGGTAAGAACAGGCGAGCCATTACGCCTAAATAAAACATGACGAAGGTTTATCCCTATCACATATGATCCCTCAGAATGTGTGCTCCAGTGCTCGCCTCATTCATTAATCCCATAAATAACCCACCTGATTCCATTTAAATCTTACTAAACCCATTTCATCTCACCTTAATTCGCTCCATCTATGTTCTAGTTTTATCTCATCTCACCTGATCGCGTTTCATCTCAGCAACAGCAGGCCCACCAAACACCCCTCGTTTGAGCATCTGCAGCCACGCGGGCACCACCTTCAGCCTCGCCCTGCCCATGGCCGGCCACTGCGCTGCCCGCATGCCTTTGAACGCCGGCACAGGATTCAGGCACGCCTTCATGGGGACGTACCTGGGGGGACAGGGAGGAGTGAGGGGAGTAAGGGGTGGGAGGAATAGAAGGTGAAGAGGTGGATAGGGGAACGTTGAGAAGGAATCACAAGGCCACAAACTGGCATGGCCCTCAGCCTCGCCCTGCCCATGGCTGGCCACTGGGCCGCCCGCATGCCCTTGAATGCCGGCACGGGATTCAAGCACGCCTTCATGGGAACGTACCTGGGGAGACGGGGATGTAGAGCCGGGGTGAGAGGGTAGAAAGAGAGGGAAAAGGGGAAATGAGACCAGGTGGGATGACATGAAACACTCTCACTGTCACATGGCCTGCGCACACCCCTCTCGTCTCTGTTGCCCCCTCCCTGCCCCCCTCGCTTCTCTCTCTTCCTGGCTCCTCAGCACTCACCAAGCAGCATCGGGGTTGTCGTCTGATTCACACATGGGAGGCGGGGTCCCAGCACCACGCTCGCTGTAACAGCGGCTGCCAGACGGCTTCTGCCACACGGCATTTTCACACCCTCCCCCTCGACTCTGTTGTTCCCTTACTGACCCCCTCCCTGCCCCACTCACAGTCACCCTCCCTGCCCTCCTCACCACTCACCATGCAGCATCGGGGTTATCGTCTGATTCACACATGGGAGGCGGGGTCCCAGCGCTGCGCTCGCTGTAGCAGCGGTTGTCAGAGGGCTTCTGCCACACGGCCACGCCCACGTTGTCCAGCCCATCCAAGCTCCTTCTCCCGCACCTTGAGCGTCCAGCACATGCGGTCAGCTAGGTCAGTCATTGCTGCATGTGTGGGGGGAGAGTGGTGGCGGTGTAAGGGGGTGGTGGTTGTGGTTTGGGAGAGAAGGGGGATGAATCAGGCTTATGTCACACGGCCACGCCCAAGTTATCCACCCGTCCTCCTTCTGTGGCACCTTGAGCGTCCAGCAGCACATGCTGTCTGCTAGGTCAGTCATTGCTGTGGTTGGAGAGGGGGTAGGATAAATGGAGTGCATGTGAGAGGGCTCGCTGGCCACTGCTGGAGTCTGCCACACGGCCACGCCCACATTATCCAACCCGTCCTCTTTCTCCCACACTTTGAACGTCCAGCACATGCGGTCAGGCAGGTCAGTCATTGCTGCAGTGGAAGAAGGGGGGTGGGAAGGGCAGGCGGAGAAATGGTGAATGGGGTGCAAGTGAGTGGGCTCTATGGTCGTCAGTCACACTTCTGGCTTCTACCACACGGCCAAGCCCACGTTATCCAGCCCGTCCTCCTTCTCCCGCACCTTGAGCGTCCAGCACATGCGGTCAGGCAGGTCAGTCATTGCTGCAGTGGAAGAAGGGGGGTGGGAAGGGCAGGCGGAGAAATGGTGAATGGGGTGCAAGTGAGTGGGCTCTATGGTCGTCAGTCACACTTCTGGCTTCTACCACACGGCCAAGCCCACGTTATCCAGCCCGTCCTCCTTCTCCCGCACCTTGAGCGTCCAGCACATGCGGTCAGGCAGGTCAGTCATTGCTGCAGTGGAAGAAGGGGGGTGGGAAGGGCAGGCGGAGAAATGGTGAATGGGGTGCAAGTGAGTGGGCTCTATGGTCGTCAGTCACACTTCTGGCTTCTACCACACGGCCAAGCCCACGTTATCCAGCCCGTCCTCCTTCTCCCGCACCTTGAGCGTCCAGCACATGAGGTCAGCTAGATCAGTCATTGCTGCGTTGAAAAAGACGGGGGGTTGGTGGTCGTGGTAGGAGGGGGTGGTGAACTAGGCTTCTGCCACACAGCGACGGGGGGTGGTGCCACGTTGTCCAGCCCGTCCTCCTTCTCCCGCACTTTCAACGTTCAGCACATTCGGTCAGCTAGGTCAGTCATTGCTGCAATAAGAAAGAGTTGGGGGAGAGGGGGAGGGATGATGGGGGATGGGCAGAGACGGGAGAAAGGTGGGCAGGGAGAGAAAAAAAGGGGAATATTGGGTGTGCGGGTGAATATTGGGTGTGCGGGTGAATATTGGGTGTGCGGGGGAATATTGGGTGTGAGGGTGAATATTGGGTGTGCGGGGGAATATTGGGTGTGCGGGTGAATATTGGGTGTGCGGGTGAATATTGGGTGTGCGGGTGAATATTGGGTGTGCGGGTGAATATTGGGTGTGCGGGTGAATATTGGGTGTGCGGGTGAATATTGGGTGTGCGGGTGAATGTTGGGTGTGCGGGTGAATGTTGGGTGTGCGGGTGAATGTTGGGTGTGCGGGTGAATATTGGGTGTGCGGGTGAATATTGGGTGTGCGGGTGAATATTGGGTGTGCGGGTGAATATTGGGTGTGCGGGTGAATATTGGGTGTGCGGGTGAATATTGGGTGTGCGGGTGAATATTGGGTGTGCGGGTGAATATTGGGTGTGCGGGTGAATATTGGGTGTGCGGGTGAATATTGGGTGTGCGGGTGAATATTGGGTGTGCGGGTGAATATTGGGTGTGCGGGTGAATATTGGGTGTGCGGGTGAATATTGGGTGTGCGGGTGAATATTGGGTGTGCGGGTGAATATTGGGTGTGCGGGTGAATATTGGGTGTGCGGGTGAATATTGGGTGTGCGGGTGAATATTGGGTGTGCGGGTGAATATTGGGTGTGCGGGTGAATATTGGGTGTGCGGGTGAATATTGGGTGTGCGGGTGAATATTGGGTGTGCGGGTGAATATTGGGTGTGCGGGTGAATATTGGGTGTGCGGGTGAATATTGGGTGTGCGGGTGAATATTGGGTGTGCGGGTGAATATTGGGTGTGCGGGTGAATATTGGGTGTGCGGGTGAATATTGGGTGTGCGGGTGAATATTGGGTGTGCGGGTGAATATTGGGTGTGCGGGTGAATATTGGGTGTGCGGGTGAATATTGGGTGTGCGGGTGAATATTGGGTGTGCGGGTGAATATTGGGTGTGCGGGTGAATATTGGGTGTGCGGGTGAATATTGGGTGTGCGGGTGAATATTGGGTGTGCGGGTGAATATTGGGTGTGCGGGTGAATATTGGGTGTGCGGGTGAATATTGGGTGTGCGGGTGAATATTGGGTGTGCGGGTGAATATTGGGTGTGCGGGTGAATATTGGGTGTGCGGGTGAATATTGGGTGTGCGGGTGAATATTGGGTGTGCGGGTGAATATTGGGTGGCGGGTGAATATTGGGTGTGCGGGTGAATATTGGGTGTGCGGGTGAATATTGGGTGTGCGGGTGAATATTGGGTGTGCGGGTGAATATTGGGTGTGCGGGTGAATATTGGGTGTGCGGGTGAATATTGGGTGTGCGGGTGAATATTGGGTGTGCGGGTGAATATTGGGTGTGCGGGTGAATATTGGGTGTGCGGGTGAATATTGGGTGTGCGGGTGAATATTGGGTGTGCGGGTGAATATTGGGTGTGCGGGTGAATGTTGGGTGTGCGGGTGAATGTTGGGTGTGCGGGTGAATATTGGGTGTGCGGGTGAATATTGGGTGTGCGGGTGAATATTGGGTGTGCGGGTGAATATTGGGTGTGCGGGTGAATATTGGGTGTGCGGGTGAATATTGGGTGTGCGGGTGAATATTGGGTGTGCGGGTGAATATTGGGTGTGCGGGTGAATATTGGGTGTGCGGGTGAATATTGGGTGTGCGGGTGAATATTGGGTGTGCGGGTGAATATTGGGTGTGCGGGTGAATATTGGGTGTGCGGGTGAATATTGGGTGTGCGGGTGAATATTGGGTGTGCGGGTGAATATTGGGTGTGCGGGTGAATATTGGGTGTGCGGGTGAATATTGGGTGTGCGGGTGAATATTGGGTGTGCGGGTGAATATTGGGTGTGCGGGTGAATATTGGGTGTGCGGGTGAATATTGGGTGTGCGGGTGAATATTGGGTGTGCGGGTGAATATTGGGTGTGCGGGTGAATATTGGGTGTGCGGGTGAATATTGGGTGTGCGGGTGAATATTGGGTGTGCGGGTGAATATTGGGTGTGCGGGTGAATATTGGGTGTGCGGGTGAATATTGGGTGTGCGGGTGAATATTGGGTGTGCGGGTGAATATTGGGTGTGCGGGTGAATATTGGGTGTGCGGGTGAATATTGGGTGTGCGGGTGAATATTGGGTGTGCGGGTGAATATTGGGTGTGCGGGTGAATATTGGGTGTGCGGGTGAATATTGGGTGTGCGGGTGAATATTGGGTGTGCGGGTGAATATTGGGTGTGCGGGTGAATATTGGGTGTGCGGGTGAATATTGGGTGTGCGGGTGAATATTGGGTGTGCGGGGAATATTGGGTGTGCGGGTGAATATTGGGTGTGCGGGTGAATATTGGGTGTGCGGGTGAATATTGGGTGTGCGGGTGAATATTGGGTGTGCGGGTGAATATTGGGTGTGCGGGTGAATATTGGGTGTGCGGGTGAATATTGGGTGTGCGGGTGAATATTGGGTGTGCGGGTGAATATTGGGTGTGCGGGTGAATATTGGGTGTGCGGGTGAATATTGGGTGTGCGGGTGAATATTGGGTGTGCGGGTGAATATTGGGTGTGCGGGTGAATATTGGGTGTGCGGGTGAATATTGGGTGTGCGGGTGAATATTGGGTGTGCGGGTGAATATTGGGTGTGCGGGTGAATATTGGGTGTGCGGGTGAATATTGGGTGTGCGGGTGAATATTGGGTGTGCGGGTGAATATTGGGTGTGCGGGTGAATATTGGGTGTGCGGGTGAATATTGGGTGTGCGGGTGAATATTGGGTGTGCGGGTGAATATTGGGTGTGCGGGTGAATATTGGGTGTGCGGGTGAATATTGGGTGTGCGGGTGAATATTGGGTGTGCGGGTGAATATTGGGTGTGCGGGTGAATATTGGGTGTGCGGGTGAATATTGGGTGTGCGGGTGAATATTGGGTGTGCGGGTGAATATTGGGTGTGCGGGTGAATATTGGGTGTGCGGGTGAATATTGGGTGTGCGGGTGAATATTGGGTGTGCGGGTGAATATTGGGTGTGCGGGTGAATATTGGGTGTGCAGGTGAATATTGGGTGTGCGGGTGAATATTGGGTGTGCGGGTGAATATTGGGTGTGCGGGTGAGTGGGCTCATTGGTCGCAGTGGCGTCTGCTACACAGTCACCGCACACCAACCTACGCAGGTGTTTGTGACTAAGCTCCTAAACGGGGCTCGTTTCTGAGACGTCTCAAAAATATACTCTTTTTACACGCAGCTCCGACCTGGGACTCGTTGGTCACAGCTGGCGTCTGCCACACGACCACCAGTCCATATGTCGTCCTGCCATTCACTCGCGATGCCATGCACCCATACTCACCGCTCCAGATCTCCTCGTCATCCCCTTGTGGCGGTGGTACACCGGCGTGGCCGACCAGATGATGCACGACTCGATTCGATTCCATGTGCTAACACGAGTCTACTTGATTACATGCACCACACTCTGCACCCACACTCACCGTTCCAGATCCCCTCGTCAACCCCCTTGTGGCGGTACATAGGCAGTGTGGAGTGCACGACCAGATGAGGTAGCCCCCTTTTCCAGGCACTGATAGGCTTGCAATCGTACCTCCATGCACTCATTACGCCATCATTCACAAGCATGAGTGCACTCACCACGCCACACACTCACCGCTCCAGATCTCCTCATCATCTCCCTTGTGGCGGTACACAGGTGTGGCCGACCAGACGAAGCACGACTTTACTCCATACGTTAACAGGCCTCTGTGCAATTGTGCCTCCACCCATTTACCACGCCATGCACCCATACTCACCGCTCCAAATCTCCTCGTCATCCCCCTTGTGGCGGTACACAGGTGTTGCCGACCAGATGAAGAAGCCCCCTGGTCGCAGCACACGGTTCAGCTCCAATAGCAGCATGCCACCTGGCAGCATGCATAAGGATTTTGGAGGCAAGCAAAGAGGAAATTCAGTCTAGAAGACAAGCGTTACCAAGTGACAAGTACTTGGAGTGAGTTAGACTCAACATATGTGTGTGTGCATGCATATGTGTGTGCGCGTGCATGTGTGTGTGTGCGCGCGCGTGCCTGTGCACAAATGTGTGCACGAGACTACCGATCGCTATGTAAAGGAATACGCACACCGCACCGAAGGAGAAAGTGCTGCGAGAATGATGTGTGCATGCATGGGGATGTGCAAATGTGTGCGCAGGCATGCTCATGTGCATGAGTGTGTACGCACATGCGACGCATGCACTAGAGCACCCACCATCAATGTGCCATGGCACGCGGCAGCGGGCGCAGTGCACGGCGTCAAACGAGTTGGAGGAGAAAGGCAGCCGCTGCAAGAGATGTGTGTGCACAGGCGACACATGCATCAGCGCACCCACCATCAATGTGCCATGGCACGCGGCAGCGGGCACAGTGCACAGCGTCAAACGAGTTGGAGGAGAAGGGCAGCCGCTGAGTGCCCATCACCCCCACCACCGCAAGCACTCCCCGCTCCAGAGCCAGTTGAATCTGCGGTGGGAAGAACAGGGGATGAAAGGAAGGAATTAGCAGCTGTTCAAACCAGTGGGATGAGCCGGTGAAAGAAGGAGTCCTGAGAAACCTACCCCCACAGAACCGTCATTCGCATCCATAAAATGCCACTACAGCCCATCACAGCCCTCCGTATGCCCTTTCCTTGGGCGACATGGAGGAATGCCAACAGGCTCACCATGCGCGGAGCTGACAGGCTCACCACGCTTGGGGCTGTCAATTCAACCATCACCACCACGATGCCCTTAACCTCAGCGCCTGTGCCTTTGAGACGTCTCAAAAACACCCTCATTACACGTGTCAATTCAACCATCACCACCACGATGCCCTTAACCTCAGCGCCTGTGCCTTTGAGACGTCTCAAAAACACCCTCATTACCCGTGTCAATTCAACCATCGCCACCACGATGCCCTTAACCTCAGCGCCTGTGCCATCATCATCACCCTGACAACGTGCTCTCCTCTCCCTCTTCCTCACCTGTGCCTCGTGCTCGTCCTTGGGTGCCATGGACATGACCCGCACGTCAAACGGCTCCAGATATGCTGACAGGCTCGCTGTCTTGAGGCATCAACTCTTTCCCCACTCCATTCCGTGAGCTCAGCACGTCCCACCTGTGACAATCCCACTTGTGCCGCGCTCACCTGTGCCTCGTGCTCGTCCTTGGGCGCCATGGACATGACCCGCACGTCAAACGCCTCCAGGTATGCTGATAGGCTCGCCACACCACAGCCCATGTCCAGCATCACTCGCACTCGCCTGCCCCACGCCACATCTGGGAAGGCCTGAAGTGGTTGAAAAGGGTGTGAGGGGGTGAAGAGGGGTGTGGGGAGCTGGTTACTTCGGGCCACGCCACAGCCCATGTCCAGCATCATCCGCACTCGCCTGCCAACGCCACATCTGGGAAGGCCTGGTGGGGTGTGCGAACAAGGGAAAAGAGGGGGCGGGATGGGAACCACATATGCCACCACAGCCCATGTCCAGCATCATCCGCACTCGCCTGCCAACGCCACATCTGGGAAGGCCTGGTGGGGTGTGCGAACAAGGGAAAAGAGGGGGCGGGATGGGAACCACATATGCCACCACAGCCCATGTCCAGCATCACCCGTCCGAGAACGTGTGCCCATTCCCAGGGCACAACTGCACGATATCACAACGTACCGCCCTGCATCACATTGCACCGCATCCCACTGTACTTTTTCAACGAAGTTGTCTGTTGATGTATCCCGCAGCTCCACTAGTGAGCTGTGCACCCTCTCCATCCACTAAGAACATGCCGCAAACCACAGAGTCTCTAATCCACCGCATAACACCGCACTGCACCACCTCCTGGACGAAGTTGATGTAGCCCATGGCTCCATGGGTGACTCCCCCGGGAACACAGGCTTGTCACCCTGCATGGCCAGCCAGTTCTGATCCTTCTTGCAGCTCGCCAGGCACAAAATCTCATTGCAGCACACTGTACCACACTGCACCGCATTGCACCATCTCTCACCTTCTGGACGAAGTTGATGTACCCTGTGGCTCCGTGGGTAAACTGTGTGCCGCCCCCCGGAAACACGAGCTTGTCTCCCTCCATGGCCACCCAGTTCTGATCCTTCTTGTAGCTCGCCAGGCCTGGGTGCGGCACGTTGTTGTACCACACCTGACGTTGTTGAGGGGAAGGGAGGGGCGAATGACAAGAAATGTGGCACGCCTTTCAGGTCTTATTGAAGCTCGCCATGCCTGGTTGAGGCATGTTGTTGTTGTACCACACCCGTTGAGAAGGGAAGGGAAGGAGGAAAGACACGAATCGCCTTTGAATCCTTCTTGTAGCTCGCCAGGCCCGGGTGCGGCACGTTGTTGTACCACACCTGTTGAGAAGGGGGGGGAGAGACAGTTGGTTGAGGGGAAAGGGGTGTTTGAAACGAACATGGCCACCCAGTTCTGCTCTTTCTTGTAGCTCGCCAGACATGGGTGCGGCACATTGTTGTACCACACCTGTGGGGGAAGGGTGCGTGGGGAGGAGCAGGAGAAGGGAGAATTGCGAAAGGAGGACCGAAGCAATGGGTGGGCGGAAGGCGTGACAGAAGAGAAGAGGGAAGCAGAGTGGGAAGGGAGCAGCGAGAAGGTTCACGTAGCTTGTGCAGGAGAGGAATCTGGGAGAAACAGGAGGTGCAGGGGCGTAAAGGGCCACATGGGACGACAAGGAGGGAATAGCCCTGAAAGGGTGGACTGCTGAGGCGCTCTTTTAGTGTTCCTAGTGCCAATACGCCTCCTCGCATATTTTCACCACATCTCACCCCTCTCCGCTGCGTGTCAACTGTTCTCTGCTTGCAGGCCATGGCACATGCGACCTGTACCCCTCTGGCAGCGGCACCAGGCATCAGTGCCTCTCCCGGCGCTTGTAGTGCCCGTGCGCCACAATTCACCCCATTTTACCCAAATCTACTGCTCTTTTTATCACGTCTCACCGCACTCCACCGCGTCTCACCTGGTCTCTGCTTTCGGGCCACGGCACATGTGCCTTGTACCCCTTGGGCAGCGGCACCAAACACTTCTCCATCTCCCCTGGCAATGGGCAGTGCCTCTCCCGGTGCTCATAGTGCTTGTTCGTCCTCAGCGCCCTGATCGCCTTCTCATTGTCCAGACACGGCACCCAGTCCGTGCGGTTACCACCGCACGACGGCCAGCGGAACTTGGTGTTCTCGAGGTCGATTGAGGGCAGGGCGCCGCCCCCCTCCTCCCCTGTGCCCTGCCCCACCGGCCCTGCCATCAGCGGCGGCTTTTTACTCTCTGGGCTGCTCTGGATAATCGTTGCTCCCCCCTCCACCTCCCCAAAGTCGTCCTGACAGGATGGGTAGGGGTCGGGCATGAGGGAGGGAGGGAGGGAGGGAAGAAAAAGGCGGCAGGGCACTGGTTCAGTGCATGCGGTTACCACCACACGAGGGCCAGTGGAACTTGGTGCGTTCGAGGTCGAGGGTGGAAGGATGAGAGCAGCACCAACACTGCCCACCAGCTCTGTGCTTCCTGGCTGAAAGACCCGGCCGGCCAATCAGCACTGACTCTGTGTACTCTGGCTGCTAGAAACCAGGTCTACCCCTCCTCCTCACTCCTCCCCTCTCAACTCCTTGTGTCTTTTGACCTCTACCATGTGAGTGATTTTTTAGAAATCTCAAAAACCAGATTACTCTTCACTATTCCTCCTCCTCACTCCTCCCCTCTCAACTCCTACCACTACCACTCTACTCTTCACTATTCCTCCTCTCGAACTTCACACATTGCCTCTCCATCCCCTACCTCCGTCTGCTTGCTGTCCTGTTTCTTGGTGGCAGCCTCTCGAATGTCCAGTTCCGCTTCCTCCTCCGACTCCCTTGCCTGTGACTCAAGCCCACTGCCTACCTCCGAGCTGCTGCCTCTACCGTTACTTGCCCATCTCAACTGCTCTCCAACCACACAAGCCAAAGCCCTACCTCCGTCTGCTTGCTGTCCTGCTTCTTGGTGGCAGCCTCTCGAATGTCCAGTTTTGCTTCCTCCTCTGACTCCCTGGCCTGCGTCTCAAGCCCACTGCCTGCCTACCTTATTCAGCACCTTAAAGCACTAAACAGCACACAAACACGCCTCTTTCACCCCCTACCTCCGTCTGCTTGCTGTCCTGTTTCTTCGTGGCAGCCTCTCGAACGTCCAGTTTTGCTTCCTCCTCCGACTCCCTCGCCTGTGACTCAAGCCCACTGCCTGCCTCCGAGCTGCCGCCTCTACCATTCCATGCCCATCTCAGCCACTCTCCACGACACAAACCAAAGCCCTACCTCCGTCTGCTTGCTGTCCTGCTTCTTCGTGGCAGCCTCTCGAATGTCCAGTTTTGCTTCCTCCTCCGACTCCCTCGCCTGTGACTCAAGCCCACTGCCTGCCTCCGAGCTGCCTCCTCTACCATTCCATGCCCATCTCAGCCACTCTCCACCACACAAACCAAAGCCCTACCTCCGTCTGCTTGCTGTCCTGCTTCTTCGTGGCAGCCTCTCGAATGTCCAGTTTTGCTTCCTCCTCCGACTCCCTCGCCTGTGACTCAAGCCCACTGCCTGCCTCCGAGCTGCCTCCTCTACCATTCCATGCCCATCTCAGCCACTCTCCACCACACAAACCAAAGCCCTACCTCCGTCTGCTTGCTGTCCTGCTTCTTCGTGGCAGCCTCTCGAATGTCCAGTTTTGCTTCCTCCTCCGACTCCCTCGCCTGTGACTCAAGCCCACTGCCTGCCTCCGAGCTGCCTCCTCTACCATTCCATGCCCATCTCAGCCACGCTCCACCACACAAACCAAAGCCCTACCTCCGTCTGCTTGCTGCCCTGCTTCTTCGTGGCTGCCTCTCGAATGTCCAGTTTTGCTTCCTCCTCCGACTCCCTCGCCTGTGTCTCGAGCCCACTGCCTGCCTCCAAGCTGCTGTTCTCTACCGTTACCTGCCCGACTCAGCCACTCTCCACCACACAAACCAAAGCCCTACCTCCGTCTGCTTGCTGTCCTGCTTCTTGGTGGCAGCCTCTCGAATGTCAAGTTTCGCTTCCTCCTCTGACTCCCTGGCCTGCGTCTCAAGCCCACTGCCTGCCTACCTTATTCAGCACCTTAAAGCACTAAACAGCACACAAACACGCCTCTTTCACCCCCTACCTCCGTCTGCTTGCTGTCCTGTTTCTTCGTGGCAGCCTCTCGAACGTCCAGTTTTGCTTCCTCCTCCGACTCCCTCGCCTGTGACTCAAGCCCACTGCCTGCCTCCGAGCTGCCGCCTCTACCATTCCATGCCCATCTCAGCCACTCTCCACCACACAAACCAAAGCCCTACCTCCGTCTGCTTGCTGTCCTGCTTCTTCGTGGCAGCCTCTCGAATGTCCAGTTTTGCTTCCTCCTCCGACTCCCTCGCCTGTGACTCAAGCCCACTGCCTGCCTCCGAGCTGCCTCCTCTACCATTCCATGCCCATCTCAGGCACTCTCCACACACAAACCAAAGCCCTACCTCCGTCTGCTTGCTGTCCTGCTTCTTCGTGGCAGCCTCTCGAATGTCCAGTTTTGCTTCCTCCTCCGACTCCCTCGCCTGTGACTCAAGCCCACTGCCTGCCTCCGAGCTGCCGCCTCTACCATTCCCTGCCCATCTCAGCCACTCTCCACCACACAAACCAAAGCCCTACCTCCGTCTGCTTGCTGTCCTGCTTCTTCGTGGCTGCCTCTCGAATGTCCAGTTTTGCTTCCTCCTCCGACTCCCTCGCCTGTGTCTCGAGCCCACTGCCTGCCTCCAAGCTGCTGTTCTCTACCGTTACCTGCCCGACTCAGCCACTCTCCACCACACAAACCAAAGCCCTACCTCCGTCTGCTTGCTGTCCTGCTTCTTCGTGGCTGCCTCTCGAATGTCCAGTTTTGCTTCCTCCTCCGACTCCCTCGCCTGTGTCTCGAGCCCACTGCCTGCCTCCAAGCTGCTGTTCTCTACCGTTACCTGCCCGACTCAGCCACTCTCCACCACACAAACCAAAGCCCTACCTCCGTCTGCTTGCTGTCCTGCTTCTTCGTGGCAGCCTCTCGAATGTCCAGATTCGCTTCCTCCTCTGACTCCCTGGCCTGCGTCTCAAGCCCACTGCCTGCCTACCTTATTCAGCACCTTAAAGCACTAAACAGCACACAAACACGCCTCTTTCACCCCCTACCTCCGTCTGCTTGCTGTCCTGTTTCTTCGTGGCAGCCTCTCGAATGTCCAGTTTCGCTTCCTCCTCTGACTCCCTGGCCTGCGTCTCAAGCCCACTGCCTGCCTCCGAGCTCGTGCTCTCTGTGCGCAGGTCTGCTGCTGGCACGTTCGGGTCTGCTGCTGCTGCGTCCTCCGAGTCCCATGCTGCTTCCACCGCTGCCAGGTCAGCAGAGAAGAACTGAAGCAGGGGGAGAGAGGAAGGGGAGGGGGGAGGGGAGGGAGGGCGGAACGTTGGGATAAGAGAGAGGAGAGGTTGGAAAAAGGTAGACAGAGAGGTTGGAGGAGAGGTTATGGTAAGGGAAAGGGAGAGGGGAGACTCTGAGCTCGTGCTCTCTGTGCGCAGGTCTGCTGCTGCATCCTCCAAGTCCCACGCTGCTTCCACAGCAGAGAAGAACTGGGGGGGGGGGGAAGGGCAGAGACGGAGAGGTTGGGATAAGGGAGAGCGAGAGGAAGAAACACAGGGCAAACTTCAAGATGCTGCTCTCTGTGCGCAGGTCTCCTGCCTCCACGTTGGGTCTGCTTCTGCTGATGGGACCTCTGAATCCCACGCTGCTCCACGGCTGCTAAATCAGCAGAGAAAAACTGGGCAAGAGAGGGGAGGAAGAGGTTGAGATATGAGAGAGGGACAAGTTGGAATAAGGGAGAGGAATAAGTTGGAAAAGGGGCAAGCTGAGAGACTGAGAGGTGGGGGGAGGGGATAATCGGCGATTCGGTGCTGCTCAGCTCTCAGCCTAACTGCCTATTTAGTCCTCTAAGGTCGTACCTTCGGGTTCTTTTTGTCAACTAAAAAATCGCCTCAGTACACGCCAGTTTTTACTTTGAATCAACCCCAAAATCAGACTGTCTGCCTCTAGTCCTCTATGGTCGTACCTTGGAGTTTCCAGCAGCCTTCCCCTTATCGCCCTCTCCCCCTTCCTCCGCACCACCTTCTTGCTCCACTCCCTCCTCGCCTGCTGGCTCAGCCTCCTCTTCCTCTCCACCCTTCTTCCCCTGCACACCCTTAACCCTTTCTCCGCTTCTTCTTCTTCCTCGCCTGCTGCCTCCTCTCCCTTTCCACCTTCCCCCCTTCTTCTCCTTCTTCCGCGCCTTCTGACTCCCCCTCCTCCTCCCTCGCACCTCCCTTCTTCCCTCCTCCTCCACCACCTCCCTCCTCCTCTTCCTCCTCGCTCGCCGCTTCAGCGCTCTCCTTCCTCCACCTCCTCCCCTTCCTACCTTTCCACCTTTCCCCCCAGCAACAATGCCCTCCTCTTCCCCGCCTCCCTCCTCCTCTCCCCTCCCTTCCCCGCTTCCCTCTCTTCCCCCTCATCACCTCCCGCTTCCTCACCCCCCCTCCTCGCCTCCCGCCACTTCAACCCCCTGTTCGTCCTCCTCCCCTGCGGCTTCAGCACCCGTCTCTTCTGCCAGCCCGCTGCTAGCCTCTGCCTCTACTGCCACGTCCTGAAGATTGAGGGAGAAGGGAGGGATATACAAGCAACGAGAGGTGGGCCTCGGTTTAGAGGATCTCTTCTGCCAGCCACTACTCGTCTCTGCCTCAACTGCCACGTCTTGACAAGGGAGGGATATTGAAGTGAGGGGTTGGAAGAGGTGGGTCTCGGTTTAGAGGATCTCTTCTGCCAGCCCGCTGCTGGCCTCTGCCTCTACTGCCACGTCCTGTCGAGCGAGGGAGAGTAAGAGAGGGAAAGAAAGGGGTGAATCTCGGTTCCAAGGGTTCACTCTGCCAGCCCGCTGCTCGCCTCTGCCTCCGCCGCCACACACTGACGAGTGAGGAATTGGATGGAGAAGGGCGGGGAGGAGGCAGAAGCCAGTACAGGGAAGCGTCTGGACGTCTAAAGACTCTCAACTTGACCTTAGCTTGGCTACTGGCCCCCTGAATGATCTCCGCCACTTTCACGTCAGCTTCCAGCCACTGCCCTGACTCGCCACCTTTTCACTCTCCCCGCTCGTGCCTCACTACCCACTGCCATTCCTGTCCTCCCCCTCTTCTCACCTTGGCCTTGGCTTGATTTTTCGCCCTCTGAATCGCCGCTGCCACTTTCACGTCAGCTTCTAACCTCTGCTCCGACTCCCCAACAACGTCCTCCACCTCCTCCTCCGCCAATGCCTCCACGGCCTGAGGGGGAAGGTGGGGTGGGGTTGGGAAGGGGGGTAGGGGGGAGGGAGAGAACACACAACACGCTGATGTCAACTGTGGGGACCGACTCGCCCACCACGTCGTCCACCTCCTCTTCCTCCAATGCCTCCACGGCCTGGGTGGGGGAGGGGGGAAGGGGAGGGAGAAGGGGGGAAACGAGGAGAGCAGAATTCAGGGCGAGACGAGACACAGCATGTGCTGTTGTCAACCGTGGGGACCGACTCGCCCACCCACCACGTCCTCCGCCAATGCCTCCGCGGCCTGGGAGGAAAAGGGGGAGGGAGAGGAGGGGGGGGGGGGGGGAAGAGACCAACTCGCCTATCCGCCTATCTCGTCCTGACGTTTGAGTTGATTCAAAAGTCACCGAACGAATCACATATCTCGTCCCTCCCTCTCCACCGCCAACGGAGACGGTGTTGTCGCCTATCCGTTGGCATTGCCTCCACGACCTAGTGGCGAGGAGCACAGAGAATATGAGGTCACTTGGTTTCAGGAGTGTAGAGGAACTCACTGCGCTGTTAGGTTAGTGGGGGAGAAGATGCCCACGCGCCGAAGAAGACGAGGATGACGGCGATGGTGACCATTATCCACATGTTCCATGACGCCGAGAACAATCAAACTTACCGTTTTCAGAAGTCTAGAGCAACTCACAGCGGTATTAGTGGGGGAGAAGATGGCCCAGGCGCCGAAGAAGACGAGGATGACGGCGATGGTGACCATAATTCACACGTTCCATGACGCCGAGAGCGGTCGAATTACTCGAACAACGGGTCTCATATGTCTAAGGGAACTCACTGCGTTATTAGTGGGGGAGAAGATGGCCCACGCGCCGAAGAAGACCAGGATGACAGCGATCGTGACCATGATCCACACGTTCCATGACGCCGAAAACGTGCCCGATCTTGAGCCGTGCCGCATGGCTGGCTGCTTGACAGAATCTGGTTAGTGACGTCAAGTCGGAACCGGCCTCGAGACGGTTGAGAAACGACTGGGAAGAGTCTGATATGGAGGATGCTAGCGGATCGCTGCTACGACGATTGATCGTTGTAGGAGAAAGGGGATGATGGGTCGATGAAACGGCACTACGCGAATCTGAAACAAGGATGGGAGGAGGGTGTGTGCGGAGAATGAGAGACACAAGGAGGAGCACAAATTTGACGACAAGCGCGTCGAATAGAAGTAAAAATGTGCATTCATGAGGCAACATTGTCTCCTGTAAATGAAGCCTGTGCTAGTAATGAAACTCCAACGAGTTGGCGCTAGTTGGAGGTGCACAGAGCTTGGCAGCGCGTTCTAACAGCTGGACTCGTTGAATCGGCGTTGAACAGCTCGACTCGTTGATCGAAAAGTAATCAGCGCCTACTCCCGTTGCTGCTGGGTTCTTATCGAATTTAAGCTACGACTTTCGAGAAATGAATGCGTAAATTCTCATCAGGCCGAATCTACAGGTTCAGGGCCTCTCAATCCCGCTCCTACCACTTCAGCAAGAGTTCATTTACGTATCAGGTACAAGTAAACTTCGCGAATTCAAACCGTATTGGTGTTCAATCGAGAACTCGTAGTCTCTCGAGCTTGTCCCTACCTCATTTGCGAGACAGCCCCGCAGAACGACTACCGAATGGACTGCAACGGGCGTAAGCCCAGGCTTAGGCGTAGAAATATTTCGTTGACTTCATAAGAATGTCCCGCTGTGCTGCTGAATACTGACTGCTGCGCTGTGAAAAGCCAAAATCAGCTTACCAGAGAGCAGAGATAAGGAGGATTCTATCAGAACGAAGCGGAGTGTTGAGGGTGACAGATCGGACGGCCCTGACCGACCGCACTGTATTCTTCTGCAAATAGATGTGGAGACTGGTCCCAGGATCTTGGCGGCAGTTTCTTGGGACAGGTTTGTGATCTTCTGTGAGGATTGTGCTTATAGCAAAACGCGCGGGAAACAAATTCTCTTTGTTAGCAACCGCGTTACTGTGACTGCTAAGCCAGACTAGCCACTGTCATGCTAACATCAAACAGTTTTGCTGTCATTAACGGGACCTTTGCTGCTTCGATTCACAAGACAAGGTCTTTGGCAGATATTTTCCCTCTACTTTCTCATTGTGTGGGAGCATGGAAGTATAGCGAAACATATACACATCGAATGGAACTAGAGAACTTTTATTTCGTGCATTATTGGTATATTGGTTGGCATTTCATTTGCATGCTGAAGTTCTTGTTGCGTTCCTTTGCAATGTTTTCTCATCAAATCTATACATAACGTGGATCCATCCAGTACACCCCCGTGGCTCTCTGTTATTTTCGCCCCCCCGGCCTCGAGTTGACTTCGATCCCTGGATTTCTGTTTCTCGATTTCATCTCTTGCGTGAACTCCTGCGTGAACTCCTCAGAACCAGAGTGAACCGAGTTTAAGAATACTTTTGCCCTCCTGTAAAGCATCCAACCGTTTTTATCACACATTTCAACTCGCCCTGATCCGATAAACAGGTGTGGTGGTTGGATTCGGAAAATGTTGTTCTTGCTGCTGCTAGTTCTGCGTGGCACTCGAGGGGGAGGGAGAGTGTGTGTGTGACTAGTGGCGAGGCGACTATCAACCACACGCGCGTATCATACCCGAACAAGCATTACTAGTTGTGGTTGACAACGGTTACAGGTAGTTTTGCCACCTCATCGCGCAGCGATCACCGTACACCCGTCATTCCGCACCATCTCCGGCAGGCACTTATCCTTGTTGCATTAGAAATGAACCCTGGTCCATTCATGCTTCGACTCTTCACCAATTCGTAGTCTTGGCCCTCCCATAGTCTGCCTACACCGTCATTCCGCACCATCTCCGGCAGGCACTTATCCTGTTGCATTAGAAATGAACCCCTGGTCCATTCATGCTTCGACTCTTCACCAATTCAATTCGTAGTCTTGGCCCTCCCATAGTCTGCCTGTCCGTAGATAGCCCGTGCGAAGTTAGCCTGTTCGTAAATTGCCGATACGTAGTCAGCCCCTTCTTTGTAGCCAGTCCCTGCGATTTCAGATGCCTGTTTGCAACGGCCTGATGGATTCTCGAGGACTCAGTGGGCGACGCGGCGTGGGTGGGTCGCCACATGCCGCCAACGCGTCGCAGGCGACACTGCTCTGCGACCCAGCGGGTCGCCTGCGAGGTCCGCCTCGCCCTCCCGAAGCGGAGTTAGCAGCGCAATTCCCGGAGCCAGCTTAGTCACGACGTCCCACGTCAGCGTCCGGCGATCCGCGGAGAGGCGGAGGAGGAAGCGGAAGCTCGTCTCCCGTCCTCCGCCACGCCGCGCGCGGGCCCTCGTTTAAGTCGCCTCAGCAGCGCCGCGATTCGCGCCGCAATCCGCTCCTACAATTCGCCTCCAATGCCTGACAACGTCCGCCGCCATTCTCCTTTTCGCGTTACTGTTCACAGCCGACGCGATCATATCCACTATATTATCCTCCCCCAGATCTACCTCCCCCGGCTCGTCCCCCGACTCCATCGTCTCCGATCCCTTCGGCTCTGTCCACGTGGCAGTAGGCGACGGGTCAGGCTCGAGGCGACGAGCCGCGGAGTACGAAAAAGAGGCCTATCAGAACCTCGCCAGCTCTAGCGGCGGAAAAGGCGGGAACGGGGAAGGCAGTTCCAGCGCAGCAGCGGCGCGGGGAAGCGCGGAGAAGCAGGCGGGGAGCGCAGGGGGAGGAATTGCGGAGGCGGGAGGGCGCGCGGGGGTGCGGTGGCGCGCGGGAGGCTGCGCGTGCAGTGGTCGGGTCCGCCCATGGGGGAGGGTGCAGCAGCGCGGTGGCAGCCGCGACGGCGGTGGTAGCGGATGAGCGGAGAGACTTAACGCGCAGCCGTTTCAGCTGCACATTCTGGTGAGTGGTTGAGCGTGGTGGTAAGTGGTTGAGGCCGGTACATTGTGGTGGTAGCGGATGAGCGCAAGAGAATCAACGCCCAGCCGTTCCAGCTGCACATTCTGATGGGCGGAGGATCAAGGTTCAGATTGCTTTTGAGTCGCCTCAAAAGACATTCTGATTAGTGGTGGATCAAGGTTCAGTTGCAAGCTCCTGCCTTCACCCCTCCCTCCTTCCTCCATGTATCCCTCCATTTTTCCCTCGCTTTTCCCCTTCCCTTCTTTTCACCCTTTCCCATCTCTCCCCTCCCCCTACTATCGCACAGGTGAGAGCGAGCGAGTGTGACAGCAAGGGGTTGAAGGCGCTGCTGCAGTCACTGCAGGACGTGAAGTATGGAGAAGACGAGGTGCAACTCACCGTGGCCACCACGTGTAGCGGGTGCTGCTAGAGCTGCTCAGGTGAGGGAAGAACAAGTGCTCCTGGTACTGTCATTTGCTTTATAATCCTACAGTCACTTGCTATAGGCATCGCAAGGCGTGAAGTATGGGGAGGACTTGGTGCAACTCACAGTGGTCACCACCTGCTGTGCTGCTGCTCCCAGGAGCGCTCAGGTGAGGAAGAGGGATAGGGGTAAGAAGTTAAAAAGCATGGGGGGGGCGGGGGGTACATGGGAGGTACGGCGAGGAGGACGAGGTGCATATGAGGCATGTACCACACCGATGGGTGGGCGGCACGCTTATGTATACCTCGTCCTCGCTCCCATGCCATGACAAGGCATTTCTTCCCCCTCCCCCCCACCTCTACTCTACCCCTTCGTCCCCTCCCTTCCCCTCAGGAGTACCCCTGGTTCCACGGCCCAAGGCGCATAATTGAACTACCAACCCTCAGGCATATATTAAAACACTCTCGTCCTCCTCTCCCCCCCCTCTCCCCTCCCAGGAGCAAGGATTAAAAATACGGTTGTCGTATTATACGGGCCGTTTTTTACGGTCGTATTTTACGGCCAATTTCCAAAAAATCGGCCGTTTTTTTGGTTGAGATTTTTTTCCCAGACTTGGAACCGTCCACCTCTAAGGATGCGAACATCAGGAAAATTGCTAACTGTCAGGCCTAAAAGCCGCTCCCCCACAAAAACTCAGACTATTATAAGTGACCACGCTTGTGCGGCGATTTCGCCCGCCGATCTGCCGGTCGATTGGATCCCGCCAGGAACTGCCTTACTCCCTCCCCGTCAAAATTGTTGGAACTAAATGTCGCAACCAATTTGTCGCCAGTTACCACTTGTCACCGCTCTGAATCTACAAGACCCAACCCCCCTTAACACTTTCACAGATCTCAACATCGGCCTCAACCCACCCTAGATCTACAAGACCCAACTCCCTTACATGTTCGTAAGGATCTTCCATGCCCTTATGGATGGCCTCGGAATCTGTCAGAGCTTCCGTAGGGATGTTCCTGAGCTCCACCACCAAAACTCCCCTAATATTATGCGAACGCGACGGCATAACCAAGGTCTAGGAATACTTTCATAAATCTCGGTTTCAAAATTGCGGCCGTAAAAAACGACCGTATTTTTGAACGAACCTAAAAATGCAAGGTCTGACCGTATTTTACGTTTAATACGACCGTAAAATACGATACCTATATTTACGGTGACTTTTTCAAAAATTCGGTCGTATTTTTGAACCTTGCCCAGGAGTACCCCTGGTTCCACGGCCGAGGCGCATCATCGAGCTATCAGGCAACGGTGCCAAGCCCACCGACTCTCTGCACCCCTCTGGCTTGCTTTCAGACCCATCCTCCCTCCTCCCCCCTCTCTTCACCCCCTAGGAGTTCCCCTGGTTCCACGGACCAAGGCGCATAATAGAGCTATCAGGCAACAGCGCCAGGCCCACCGATCCGCTCCCCCTCTGGTTCCCTGCCTGCTGCTGCCAGCAAACCTCAGGCATATATTGCATCCTTCCCATCCTCAGCTTCCCCCTTCTCTTCCTTTCCCTCCCCAGGAGTTCCCCTGGTTCCACGGGCCGAGACGGATCATCGAGCTATCAGGCAACAGCGCCAAGCCCACCGACCCGCTGCCCCTCTGGTTCCCCCACTTCCCCTCGAGAGTTCCTTCTCCTGCTCGACCCCTCCTCCCGCATCTCCCCCGGCCTCTACCCTGTTCTTAAAGCCCTCGCTCTCGCCCCTGCCGCTGCTGGTAACCCTGCCGCTTTCACTGTTGAGGCGAGCGTGGGGGGGTTTTTATGGGGGCTATGAGGGGGAGGGTGGTGGGGCGGGGGCAGGGGAGAAGGGGGGTGGGGAGGGACGCAGCAGCAGCAGCAGCAGCAGCAGCAGCGGTGGTGGTGGTGGGCGCAGTAACCGGGGACAGTAACGCAGGTGACAGTAGCGAGGAGGAGAGCACAGGGCGCATGTGTCGGGGCTGTTGGAATCGCTCTGGACCCAGACTCACCGTTCCTGGCCGAAGATTCCCCCATTATGACCGGCTTTAAGCGCCCAGAAGAAGCCCTTATAGGGGGCACAGCAGCAGCAGGAGGAGGAGGAGGAGGAGGAGGAAGCGCACGAGGGGCAGCAGCAGGAGGGGCAGCAGGAGGGCAGTAGGGGCGGGGGAGCGGGAGGAGCAGGGGGAGAAGCAGCGGGAATGGGGGTGCTGTCGCTGGCGATGGCTCGCACGTGCCAGGTGGTGTTTCCTCAGCCGTGGCGGCAGTTCTGGGCGTGGCACGCGCTGTCGCAGGCCCAGCAGGTTAACTCCGCTCACCTCAAGTTCGACTGGGATGCCTACGACTTCAGTGCTCCGTGCCGGAAGGTGAGACAGTGGGTGTGGGCGTGCCAGGAAAGTGAATTGAAGGGAAGGGTGTGATTGGGCAGTTCTGGGCGCGGCATGCGCTGTCTCAGGCCCAGCAGGTCAACTCCGCCCACCTCAAGTTTGACTGGGACGCCTATGACTTCAGTGCTCCCTGCAGGAAGGTGAGAGGAGGTGAGGGCTCTGCGTGGGCAGTCCTGGGCGCGGCACGCGCCTCAGGCCCAGCAGGTCAACAGCGCTCACCTCAAGTTTGACTGAAATGCCTATGACTTCAGTGCTCCCTACCGGAAAGGTGAGACAGGGGTTTGGACGTGCCAGGAAAGTGATGTAAAGGGACGGGCGTGGGCAGTTCTGGGCGTGGCACGTGCTGTTTATTTTATAACCCTAACAAGGGTTTCCTTACACTGCTCCGTGCCCAATCTCCCGCACCCTTCCCCTTGCCGCACCAGACTGGCGAGTGAGCTTCCTCACATACGTGGAGGAGAATGACTGACCTCTATAACCTTCTGTTGCTCTGCTCCCGACCGACTCGACTTCTCCCCTCCCCCTGTTGCCACTCCACCCACCACTGGCGAGTGAGCTTTCTCACGTACGTGGAGGAAAACGACCTCTATAGCCTCCTGCTGCCACTTAGTTTCTTCTTGCCACTCCTTCCACTTCGTTGCTCCCGTTGCCTACCAAACACACGCACTCTCTCCCTCTTCTTCCGTCCCCATCCATCAGACTGGCGAGTGAGCTTTCTCACATACGTGGAGGAGAATGACCTTTACAACCTCCTGCTGCGCCAGCTCGACCCTCAGAGGTGTGTGTGTGTGAGGGAGCGTGTGTGTGTAAGAGAGCATGTGTGCGTGCGTGCCTGCGCACGTAATTGTTCTGTGTGTATGATGTGAGGAGAACGACCTCTATAACCTCCTGCTGCGCACACTCGACCCTCAAGAGGTGTGTTTTTTCAGCCATGTGGACTGAATGAGCTGCAGTCGGGAAGTCACTTTTAGCAAAGAAAGTCAGTACTAATCTGTATGTTGTACCCTGCTGTGCACACTCGACCTTCAAGAGGTGTGTGTTTTTTGTGTGTGAGTGTGTTACCTCTACAACACTCTTCTGCGCACACGCTCGGCCTTTAGGAGGTGAATGTGAGGGTGAGTGTAAGTGTGAGTATAAGTGTGTGTGGGTATCCTCCTTCTCACTCTCCTCTGCTTCCACGTTTCCACCCCTACAGGACCTGAACAGCCCCACACGTCTCTGCTACTCAATCGACTCCCACCCCCCATCGCCTACCCAACCCCTCCCCGTTCCTCATCACCCATCCTACCCGCATTTGTACCCTTTGCAAACCTTTCCACCCCTGCAGGACCTGAACAGCCCCACACGTCTCTGCTACTCACTCACACTCCCAGCACCGTCTCCCAACGCCCTTCTTGCCAACCTTTCCCCCTACAGGATCTGAACAGCCCCACACGTCTCTGCTACTCCATCGACTCCCAACCCCCATCGCCTACCCAACCGCCTCCCCCACCCTCCTCCCGCTCCCCTCCGCGCTCCGCCTCTCCTCCTCCCTCTCCCTCCACCTCACCACGTCCCCCCGCTCGCTCGCTCCACTTCCCCGGCTGGACCACTGTGGGAGGGAGGTGCCGCGGGGGAGGTGGCTTGGAGTGCAGGCGAGCTGAGGGGACTGCTGCAGCAGCGCATTGCCCGGCACTCCGCTGTGGCTGGAGTGATGGTGTCACCGGGGTATGATGACATGCTCAACAACTGGGTGTGCTACGTCAAGGTGTGTCTGGGTGTGCAAGATAAGTCCTTTGTTATGCCAGAATGCAGCGCATTTCCCGGCACTCTGCCATGGCTGGAGTGATTGTGTTGCCGGATCTGATGACATGCTCAACAACTGGGTGTGCTATGTAAAGGTGTGTGTGTGTGATCTGATGACATGCTCATCAAGCTTGGTACTGCTGCTGCTGCCGCCGCCGCCCAGCAGCAGCAGTACCAAGCTTGATGTAGCACAGACACCTTAAAAGGTATGTGTGCTTATAAGGTGTGTGTGCTTATAAAGGTGTGTGTGCTTATAAAGGTGTGTGTGCTGTGTGCTACATCAAGCTTGGTACTGCTGCTGCTGCTGCCGCCGCCGCCGCCCCTCTCTCTCAGACAGTCTGCACCCACTATCCCAATCCTCCCATCCCTATTTCACAGGAGCTTCAAATCCGCAACTTCTTTATAATCACACAGGACCCAGCACACGCGTTCTCTCTGAAGCGGCGGGGCTTTGCCGTGTATTGTGCCGGGTGCAGCAAGCCAGGGGCAAGGGGTGGTGGGGGGTGGGACAGGGCAGGAAGGGGCAGGAGCTGCTGCTGCTGCTGCTGCTGCTACTGATGGTGGTGGTGCTGCTGGTGGTGCTGGTGCTGGTTTAGACGCTGTAGGTGCGGGGGGTGCTTCAGGCACAAGCGCAGGTGCCGATTCAGCATCAACAGCAGCAGGAGGAGCAGATGGAATGGGCCCAGGCAATAAGACTGCTGTTGGGGATGATTCGGCAGCAGCAGTAGCAGCAGCAGCAGGGAGGCGGGGCAACAGCGGCAGCAGCAGCAGTAGACACCAGACGAGCAGCTCTAGACTACGGCAGTGTACCGTATAAAGAGTTCATTCTCGCGCGCACTAAAGCAGTAGGGGAGATCCTCAAAGCGGGTTACAATGTCTGCTAGCCGATGCAGACGCTATATGGCTATCAGATCCCTTCACCTCCTTAAAGCCCAGGGAATTGACGTTCTAGCCCAGCTAGAAGAGAAAGGGAACCCGTGCGGGGGTTCTTGCTCCTGGTGCACACCCGAAAGCTTATCGTTCTATGGGATCTGCTTACCGCTATGTTTGAGCAGCATATTGACTGGCTTAAAACGCATCCCTCTAAAAGGGATCCGGACGAGTATCGCGGTTCCTTCGCTCCCAGCAGCACAACCACGAGCAGAAGTTTTTAAACGATTTGCTTAGGCAAAAGAGATACGCGGTGCAGCTGCAGGGGTTGGATCCGCTGCTGTTTATCAACGGGAGGGACTATTGGGACCGGAGGAAGGCGCAAAAGGAAGGGGTGACGCCTGTTATGATCCATAATAACTACATCATCTCCAAGTGGAACAAGACGAGGAGGTTCCTGATTAAGGGCATGTGGCGAGTGGACCATCGAGGTGAGTCAGGGTTAGGGGAAGGTCGGGCTAGAAAAGATACTGAAGGAAGGAGTGACGCCGGTGATGATTCATAATAATTACATCATCTCTACATGGAACAAGACGAGGAGGTTCCTGATCAAGGGCATGTGGCGAGTGGACCATCGAGGTGAGAGGGGGGGGGAGGGAAGGCAAGGGCTAGGGAAGGTCACACAATCAGGAAAAGTAACACCTGGGGCGGTAGAATCTAAAAGAGGTAAGCGCTAGGAAGGCTGTAAGCAAGTGCAGTGGAAGGCGCAGAAGGATGGTTGACGCCGGTAATGATTCACAAGAACTGTATTATCTCTAGATGGAACAAGACGAAAGATTCTTGTTTAAGGGCATGAGGCGGGTTAATCATAGAGGTGAGGGTCGGAAACTGAGTTGTGAGGCACCTCAAAGTTCACCCATAACACGCAAGTTGGTTTATTCTAATATATTTCGTGGTGATTCAACCATAGAAATGAGGCCTGGGAGGGCGAGGTTGGGGCAAGCGATAGCTCTCCCTGCAAGCGCGGCCTAACCTTATCCTTTCTGCATTTCTCTTCCTTCTCCTCCTCTTCCCACTACCTCCCACCCCTCTTCCAAGCTCTTCCCTCCCAGGCCAAGCGTGTCCTTTCTGTGCCTGGCTCTCTCCTCTTCCAGACCTCCCAAGGACCCAGGCCAAGCTGTGTCCATCCTTCTCTCTCCTGCACGAGACCCAAGGACTCCTGGTCACCCATCCTTCCTTCTGCTCTAACCATCTTTTAAGTGATAAATTTGACCTTTCTCCTCTCCATGCACCCTCCATTCTCATCCCCCTCAGGCCAAGCGTGCAAATGCCTTGCCCTCTCCTGCACGAGACCCAAGGGCCCCTGGTCGCTCACCAACAACCCCACCCTGACTCTTCTAATCGTTCAAACCACGCTCTTTCCCTTCCGTCCCCCACATTCCCTCCTCCAGGCCAAGCGTGCAAGTGCCTGGCTCTCTCCTGCACACGACCCAAGGACCCCTGGTCGCTCACCAACAACCCCACCCTCCCTGCTGCGCTGAGGGCCACAGCTGGGATCAAGCCGCAATCGCTGCCCAAGCGCAGGCGGGGAGGAGGAGGCACCAAGCAGAAGAGCCAAGTGGGGCCGGTTGCTGCCGCAAACTCTTCTTTCCCTGCTGCTGCTGCTGGTGCTGGTGCTGGTGCTGCTGCTGCTGCTGGTGCTGCTGGTGCTGGTGGTGCTGGTGGTGCTGGTGGTGCTGGTGCTGTCGTTGGTGCTGCGGGTGGTGGGGGTGGTGCTGCTGGTGCTGCAGGGAGGGCTGCAAAGCTAGTGGGAAGCTTGCTGCGAAGCGTGGTTGGGAGCGGGAGGAAGGACGCTGGGGAGAAAGGAGTTGATCAGAAGAGAGAAGCAGCACAAGGAGGGGGGTTGAAGGAGGGTAGAGCGATACAGGGAACAGCAAAACCAGTGGGAAAAGTAGTGCAAATGGGGAAGCAGATGGAAGTGCAGCAGCAGAAGCAGAAATTGGTAGGGAGAGGAAGAGGGACAGGACGAGGAGGTACGACAGGTAGAGGTGCTAAGGGCAGTGATGCGGCTGCAGCCGCTGCTGCTGATGCCGCCGCTGATGCCGCAGCTGCTGCTGCTCTCTCTGCTGCTGGCAAGGTGGCACAAGGAAGCGAATCAAAGCCAAAGGCTGCACAGGAAAGTGAATCAAAGCCAAAGGTTGCAGTGGGAAGGGAATCAAAGCCAAAGGCTACAATCGGAAAAGGTCAGGAGGAGTCGGGATCGAGCCGGGGAAAGGGAAAGAGGGCAGCAGCGGCAGAGGCAAGAGCAGCGGGCGGGAGAAAAACAGCAGTGGTTGGTGGGAGGGGAGTAGAGAAGGTTGCAAAGGGGATAGGTGATGCTGTGAGGCCAGGCCAGGTAGGGGGGAGCGAGAATAAGATTATTCAGAAGGGAAAGCAGAGGCTGCAACAAGTGGCGAAGAGAGGTGGGAAAGGTGCTCAACGGGTGAAACATTAGCAGATACGTACAAGTTTCATTGGTGCTTGTATCTTATAATATGTTTGTAAAACTGAAGGGGCTTTGTAGTAAATAATTCATTAAAAGCACAATAGAACCAACTCTACTACCGGTACATGATGTTTCATTAAAAGCTCACATGCGGTCTCCTTTGTTCCCAATCAGTGTACATACTAGAAGTCCAATTTCAAACCAATCTGTGTTTCACATACACCTGCCACAGCCTACAAGCCGATCCTCTTCCAGATTGTGGCCGTACAATTCCATTCCAAAACTGTCCCCTCCCTTCACTTCACTTCGAAAAGCGCTGAATACTGGTAGTATGACCTTTCTCCCGCTCCATTTCACTGTCACGCACCCTAGTAAGGAGTTTGGCCAACAAAGTTGCCCGGGGGCAAGTAGCCGCACACCCAAATACCCGAACCATCAGGGCACTGAGCAGAGGCGCATCCCACATGAGTGGTATCCCGCCAAACCACCTGCGTGTAGTGCCCACACATCTTACCCTCCGCACACCCATCGGGAATCGGGCTAGGTGTCCAGTCCGCCTTCTCTTCCACCCATGACTGCACCGCTCCACGGTCCTCCTGGGGGGTCAGCCCTGCAGGTGATTTCCAGTAGAGGTTCTGCCCGAACCCCTCTGCTCCTCCGTGCTCCAGAGGGCACCCTTTGGACGCCAGCTGGTTCGCCCAGTCCTGTGCTGCTGCTGCCGCTTTGTCATCCCAAGCGAGGTCCGGCACACCCACTTCCTGCCGTGCCTTGTTGGTCCGGCACACCCTCTAGAATCCCGGTGATGTCGATGCTTCTGCCGCTACCACCGTTTCCAGAACTGCCGTTTCCGCCGTCGCCGTTTCCGCCGCTACCGCCGTTTCCGCTGTCGCCGTTTCCACCATCGCCGTTTCCACCCTTGTCGTTTCCACCATTACCACCATCAGGGCAGCCCTCCCCATTGACTCCAACGCTGTCAACAGCGACGAAATCACTAATGTCACCACCACGATAGTCACCACTGTTGACACCACCATGATAGTCGCCACCACCATTATAGTCACCACCGTTGTCACCACCATTGTCACCACTGTTGTCGCCCCCATTATAATCACCACCATTGCTGCCTCCACTATAGTCACCACCACTATAGTCACCACCGCTGTAGTCACCATTCTGTGCAAATCCGGCCATCCCCACAATTTCATGATCATTCACGCCCTGCTTATTTCTGTTGCTGCCACCATTGCTCATGTGCAGCACAACGTCCGAGGGTCCAGCCTTGCGAAATTCCCCGCGCATGTCCCCGTTAAAGTGTGACTGTGACGCCTGGGAAGTCGCCATCATCCCTGGGCCGTTATTCATTCCAGCGCCACTGCTGCGCCGCCGCTTGTGCGCTGACGTGCCACTGCCGCGCCGGCGGCGCTCGTGACTGGAAAGGTGATGGATCGCCACGTCATCGGGGCTGGCTGCGCGGAATGCGCTGTTGACAACTGCTCCTCCACTCCCGTCGTGGCGGGAAACACCGCCTAGGCGCTGAGGTTCGGCGGTCGCCACGTGGCGACTGGCAGCAGCGCGCCGATTCCACCTCGGAGTCGCGTGGGAACCACTGATTAAGGAACCAGCACCATCAGCACCACCAGATCTGGCCGAATCAGACGAGAGGGGCTCCGAGACCCTCTGCGCCGCCACCAGCCGCGCTGCCTTGGCGTGAATTCCGCGAGGCGCGCCGTTGGGTCTGTTCGTACCAGATGATGCCGCGTTCCACAATACAACGTCGTCGTCGCCTCGCCACGGATGAGTCGCCGCTGCACAGGAGCCGATGAGGAGAAAGAGAAAAAGAGAGGCCGCCAAGGGCTGTGGTTTCACCAGGGTCCCCATTGGGTCGCGAGGGATTCGATACGGATCAGTGTGACGAGTAAAACGCTGCTGACGGATGGTGGTAAGAACTTGAGTAGACTTGTTTACGAGAATAGAAGCTGGTAAGTACGAGAGCGCTGGAGGTTGCTGGTTTGTGTTTTCGAGCATTTCTGGCTGCTCATTTTGAACCTCAATTTCTGCCCGAGATGCGACTCGGGAAAGGCGTGGCCTTGAGGTGATAGCGACGGGTTACCCTCTCGCGTGGTGTGCAAGGTAAGGAAGGGACGGAGAGTTCGTGAAGCCGGATGAATGCCAGAGTTCGCTTCGAGGCTGGAATAACGAAGAAGCCAGGGGTTTCGGACCAGCCATAATGTTACGAGACATTTTTGTGTTAGTAACTAATTTACAAATGCCTATAATTGATTTGAAATATATAAGGAGCTACCCTAGCTACAAAGGTAGGTCAAGTTTGAACACAGATTGGGGTGCACACAAAAGAACAAAGGTACAAGAAGCAGCATAAAAGGGCCAAGTCATAACTTCTGAGTGTTTGGTTATACGAGATGTATGGTATAGCGTGTAAACCCTGTACGGAGTCGAGAGACTGCTCCTAGCATTCCTTCCAAAACCCCTTGAAACGAAGCGGTCCACACAGGCCACGCGCTTGTGGCATCGATACCAGTAGAACAACCTTGCTCTGCTCTGCTACCAACTCGGCCAAAGAAAACCAGAGCACCAAAAGAGCACCTGCAATTAAGTGTAGCTCGCTTCGCTAGCAACCAAGATGAATCCTGCATTCCTGCTGTGCTATGCAACCCAGTCTTCCCATTCTTCCCTCTTTACTCCCATTCCCATGACCCATCTGCGTGCCATCATCAGGGCAGGCGGCCTCACTCTTGAATCATTCTAACACATGCACCCCCCCAGCGCATCCCTGCTGCTCGCCTGCATGCACTCTTTACTCCCATCCCCATGACCTCACTTCCATCTGCTTGTCATCATCAGGGCAAGCCTCACTTGTAAAATGCATCTAAACACATGCTCCACCACATCTCTGCACTTCCACTGTGTGCATGTCATGCAGCCCCTTAGCTGATCGTCCTGCTCCCACGACCGCACATACCCCTCCACCTGCACCTGCCCATCGTCCTCCAACCCACCACTCACTCTGAACTGCCTCCAGCTCGATCTTCTCTGTTTTCCCCCTCTCCTCCTCCACATGCTCCTCCCCGGTCCGCATGTCATGCAGACCCAGCTCCTCATCCTGCTCCCACGACCGCACATACTCCTCCACCTGCACCTGCCCATTCACCTCCTCGCCCAAAAATCCAGCCCCTACCACTTATACTCTTGAATCGCCTCCAGCTCACTCTTCTCCTCTTTCCCTCCCCCCTGCCCATGCTCCTCCCCAGTCGCATGTCATGCAGCCCCAGCTCCTCATCCTGCTCCCACGACCGCACATACTCCTCCACCTGCACCTGCCCATTAACATCCTTGCCCCACATTCCAGCCCCTACAGGTCACTCTTGAATCGCCTCCAGCTCAGCTTTCCCTTCCTTACCCTCCTCCTGCACATGCTGCTCCCCTGTCTTCATGTCATGCAGTCCAAGCTCCTCATCCTGCTCCCACGATCGCACATACTCCTCCACCTTTAACTGCCCATCGTCCTCCAGTCGCTCGCCCAAAAACGACACAAATGAGTTCGCCAACGCATCGTCCAAAACCAAATGCCACTCCGTCAACTCCTCCCACTCCCCAGCCCCCTCCGCCTCGTCCGCCCTCCCTACCTCCCCGGATTCTCCCTTCTCTTTCTCCAAGCCTCTGTCTTTCTTAGCAGCACCAGCACCAGCGTCGGTCGCTCTGTTCCGTTTCACCCGCACGGGTTCACCAGCAGCAATGGCGCGAAGCTGCTTATCCAGCTCCTGCCACTTGCTCCTCTGCCACTCCGGCGCACTGTCCCCGATCTCAAACGGTCGGATCCGTTTCAAGCTGTCCGCGATTTCCGTTACAAGCCCCTCCACTGTAGTCACCCGTCCGCCTAGCGTCCCCGCGCCTAGTTCTAACTCAATTTCGGGAATATACACCGCCGCGGATTCCGCCTTGATTATATCTCGGGATAGATCTTTCTGGTTGCGGACCGCTAGGGTGATATTGCGTCCCTTAGGCGCCACGCCGCCGGCGGCTTTAAGCTCGGAGTTCTTATATCCACACGCGTCGCATGACGTGGCCATGAGAATGACGTCCTTGAAATACGGAATCCGCGTCGCGAACATGCGCGTCACACACACCTCGTCCACATGCGCTGCTCCCCCCTCCGCTCCCCCTTCCGCTCCCCCCTCCGCTTTCCCCTCCGTGTCCACCTTTTCCCCATCCTCCTTCCCGCGTCCCCAGTCGCGCCGCTCGCCGCGCCGCTCGCTCCGCCGCTCGCTGCGCCGCTAGCGCCGCACGCGCTGCAGGTGGCGGGGAACACCATCACCTCCTCGGGCGCAGAGTATCCGCACAGCAGCGCGTTACTCGCCAGGTCCGCGTTATTCCCGCCGGCAATCGCGCGATACGCCAGCTCAGCGCCCACCGACCCGTGCGGAAGCTTCGTCGGATCCCCCGCTGCGCCTGTCCCCGCGCCGTCTCCCGCTTCCCCGCCTTCAACCGCGCCCGCAGGAGCCGCGAGGAACCCTAGCTTCTCGTTCTGCTCCGGCGTGCGCTCGTAATGCTCGACCTTCAAAATCGGATCGGGTTCCGGAGCGCGCGGGTTCTCGACGTAACTGTTACCGGACGGATCGTCCAACACGAGCGTGAACGCACGTGAGCCGTCGATGCAGGATTTCAGCTTCGCGAGGAATTCGTCGATCGCGGCGGCGACGGCGGCGTCCGCCGCGCGCCGCTCCGTCTGCAGCGCGCCGAGCCCGTCGTGCGCGCGGGTCAAGACGCCTTCCACGGTGGTGAGCGTGCCGCGCTGCGACTCGGGCGGGATCTCGAAGTCGATCTCTGGAATGCGGATCGTCGCCGAATCGGATTTCACCACCTGGCGGTTCATCAGCGCCACGTGGGAGTCCACGTCACGATCCGCGTCGGACGACTCCGTCGTTCCCTCGGCTGCTGCTCCTTCCGCCGCGACCGGTACGGAAAGGGAGAACCGTACGCCGGTGGGTTGTAACGACCCGGCGAATTGTACCTCGTTGTTGGACTCGTTACAATGCGGGCACTCGAACGCCATGATGACGAGCTCCCGAAAATGCGGGACACGTGTCAGCAGGAGCCGCGTCGTGCCCTGCTCATGGCATCGCATGCACAGGCTCTCGATCTCGTCCACTGCAGGAGGCCCCGCCGCAGCGGACGCGGCGGCGGCGTTCGCGGAGGCGGCGGAGTCGGCGCTACCTGCGACGCCGTTAATCTCCGTGGCGACTCGAGCAGAGAGATCCTCCACTGCCTGGCCAATGTCTGGAATCGTTGGTGCTGATGTGGCCATTGCTGTGGTTGAAGATATGGGTATTTTTTTTTTTTTTTAAGGCCTGTACGACTCGGTCGTACCCCCGGGGTAAGGATTTCAGTTGAAGATATGGGTAGGAGGCTAAAATATGGGTAGTGGAGAAATTTGTGCACGAGAAAATTAGTATGCGCAGCAGTAGTGTGGCCGATGATGGCTGTTATAAGTTGTGCGAAGAATTCTACAACAAGTCCCCGATCAGGTGATCGCACGGACCTTATAGGCCTCTCTCGCCTGACGAAGTTTCAGAGGTTCAAATTACCGCCTAGCCTCCAGAACCCTCGAGAAGAGAGGTTCTAGGTTCTAGATTCTCTGGAATCTAAAACACAGGTATTCGGGTTCTATCTAGGGGCCTCGAATAATCGGCTTCGCAATAAGCTCAAGAGCCGAATTTAAAGTGTACACTTCAACGTAATTGCGTTTACACTTTACAGATGTACTGTACAATCCATCATTCATGTTGACAGCGTGATCTTTTAGAGCGATTTGCTTTCGGAACCATGAATGTCGACCCCAGTTCGGAAATCTTTTCCTGCGAAACTCGGATTTTGGCCTTGACGCAAAAACTCGTGGACCATCGTGTCAGACCGATTCGACTTTTGGATAGTGGCTGAGACCTTGAAAAATGCGTCCTCGTGTGCAGAGTTTCACATTCACTTGTGGGTGTTGGCTGGTATTGGGATTTCCGAGCGGCAAGCGAGGTGTCACAGGCCTTCGTTCCAAGCAGAAATAGGCGGCTACTTGGACCATGCCCTGTTTTCTGGCGCGGAAATAGATCACTATCGATATAGTCACAATTTATCTCCAGACACCACCCTCCAGCACATCCGTAACCCGTTACATCCCACTCACAAACTCCGCGTCTCACTTCGCAGCCGACATTCTCCTCGTCTCGCGCGATCTCCCTCATCCGCCGCGTTTCAATATGCTATTTTGACGCGCCTCGGCAGCTGTTCCAGTGCGAAACTCGGCCAGCACCGTGAAGCCGACGCGGCTTCAGTGGCAGGAAGTCTTACCCAGACGAAACGAGTTAGTACAGATTCCAACACCCATTACAGATTCCAACACCACCAATCCAATGCCGTCACCGCTTCTCCTGCGCCGCCTCTCCGCCCTTCGCCACCGTTCCTCTCCCCACTCCCGCCTCCTACCAGCTTTAATCTCTCAGTCACCCTCGTCCTCCTCATCCTCCTCCTCCTCCCCTCGTGCTTCTCACTTCTCCTCCCCCTCCCCTCCTCGAACCACCTCTCCCGAACCTTTCTCTTCTCGAATATCCTCGCCTGTGTCTGCTTCTCATTGGTCCTCCGTCTTTCCCCTACCCAAGCGGCCACTTGACACGTCAGCAGCCACCCCATTGGTCGGTTCTCTTATTCCAACCTCCAGCCAATCATCACTGGGCCAATCAGTGTCGTGTCAAAATGCCACTGGTACTTCCCCGCCGTTCATTGGACCTGCTGAGAACCAATCACTGTCCAACCAAAACATTTTCACCCTATCACCATCGAGCCAACCTCTGTCAATCCAAGCACAGCAACGGTTACGCTTCAGCGGTCACCACTTATACGAATCCCACTTAGTAAGCAGCTATCCTCCACACAGCTGCCATTCAAGCAGCTTCCACCCACACAGCCAGCTTCTAAGCGCGCGAGGATTCGCAAGTGACACGCTGCTGCCGCTCCAAATCGAAGCATCTGATAACAGATTGTCCAGTACCGAATCAGCCTATAACGGATCAGAAGCAGATGGAATCCACAGTGACACCACTCTGAACACCTGGGACCGTGACACAGAACCGCAGCAGCGAGAGTCAGGCTTTGAAAGGACTCAAGACTGGGAGCAGTGGAGGGAAGAAGCAGCACAAGCAGGAGGCTCAGGTTCTGATGCTGATGCTCTCACGAACGCATCAGCGGCAACAGGAGGAACAGGAGGAGGGGGAGACGCGGCGGGAGCAGTGGGAGCAGCAGCTGGAGCAGCGGGGTGGTTGGGTGGCTGGGCGTGGCTGGGTGTGCCTGTAGACGCTGTGACTCAAATGGTGTCCTCGATACAAGCCACCACAGGAGCCCCCTGGTGAGACTCGCATTGCTTGACACTGTTCGCTTCTGAGTTAGAAGTTTCAAAACTCAACTGATTCCCTGACAATGCTCGTTCTTTTTTATGCATGAACTGGCCGGCATTTCTTCTGTGATGCCATAATTTTTAAACGTTGCGAATTGTCTGTTATGTGCTTGTATGCTTTCTTTTTCTTTGCTTGTGCACGCATGCGCCACAATCCCTCTCTGTCATGCCAGGTGGCTCACGCTGATTGGCTCCACCCTCGCTCTCCGCCTGGCGCTCTTCCCCCTCACGTGGCATCAGATGAGCATCAGCTCACAGCTCGCCGAACTAGGGCCTAAACGTACGCCACACGTGGCATCAGGGTCTTTTGTTTTCTCTTTTCGAACTGCATAGAGACTCACTCAGTACTTCCCCGCCCCTCACACATTCCGCCGCGCACTCTTCCCCCTCACGTGGCATCAGATGAGCATCAGCCATGGCACAGCTCGCTGCACTAGGGCCCAAATGTATGCGGCATCAGTGCTTTGCTTATTCATGCTTAAATGAGGAGGAGGCTTGACATGACAACAAGCATGGGCGCTGAGGCAGAGGCGCGGGAGGAGGACTAGGGCGATCACATACTGGAATCTCCTACTCACGCACTCCTATCCTCCTCCCCCTCTCCCCATCCCCACCACCCTTCACTCCCCCTTCCCTGACCCAGTGCCCCCGCCCTTCCCTCTCCCTGGCAGCGGCATGACATGGCAACAGGCATGGGCGCTGAGGCAGAGGAGGAGGAAGCAGCTGAACGCGCCCTCCGCACTCTGGCTGCTCGCTGCTCCTACTGTGCAGGTAGGGCGGAAGATATGGGGCTGTGCTTTCTATGCTTCCTGTGCTTGCTGTGGGAGAAGTGGAACAAATGTTGCTTTGAGTCAGTTGCTTTGCATCCACCCTGTATGCAGTTTGAATCTGCTTTTTGAAAATTCTAGAAAAAAACACAGATTCTGCACCCGCCCTGTATGTATTGCACTAGAACTGACTCAATTCTCATTTGCGATCACTGTCAATTTCCTGCCATAGTCATGCCACCTTATACCACTCTTTTGAGTCGACTCAAAAGTCAACATGCCACCTTATACCACTCTTCTTCACCTGGATCTTCACATTCTCTTCCCTTCTCCTTTAGGAAACTCTTCACCCCTTCCCTCCCTCCCACTGCTTCTACAAGCCATGCCATGCCACCACGTTCCAACAGACCCCGCTTTTCTTCACCTGGATGTTCACCATTTGCAACGCTTCAAACTCCCTCTCACCCCTCCCTCCCACCCGTGCCACTGTCACCACCACCACATGCCACCAGATCCCGCTTTCCTTCACCTGGATTTTCACGTTTGCAACGCTTCAATCTCCCTCTCACCCCTCCCTCCCACCCATGCCACTGTCACCACCACCGCATTCCACCAGATCCCACTCTTCTTCACCTGGATCTTCACCATGCGTCACATGGCCCTCTCAGCGCACCCGGGATTCGACGTGGTGAGCGAGCGGCAGTGTTTTGTCAGTCAAGATGTGTTTTGTCACGGCAGTCAAGAGACTGCAGCCGTGTTTCCCATGTGTTGGTTGATTTGATCGTTCCATGCTTGTGCTCCAGTACTAGCTCCGATGTGCTTCGTGGTGACTTTTCAGTCGACTCAAATGTCACCTTGTGTGCTTCACAGTACATTCAAACCTCTTTCATTTCACCCCCTCACCCCTTGTGCACCTGTCAGGGTGGCTGTCTGTGGTTTGAGGACCTCACAGCCTTCCCTCACGGCGTGCTGGGTTGGGTGCTTCCGCTCTCCATTGCTGCTTCTTTCTACTCCTCAGTGCAGGTGCTCTCCCTTCCACCACCCTTGCCACCCTCACCAACCTCCTCCCACTCCTTCACCTCCCTCTGCTGGTTGGGTGCTTCCCCTCTCCATCGCTGCTTCTTTCTACTCCTCAGTGCAGGTGCCCTCTCTTCCACCTCCCTTGACCCTCACCACCCTCCCCCACTCCTTCGCCTCCCTATGCTGGGCTGGGCTGACCACCTCCCTTCCTCCCCCTAGTTTTAACGTATTTCTCTTCCTCTGCTCCATTTCCCTGGGCAAGGGCGTGTAGGTGATGATGCCGCTGCACAAGATGGGTGTGCACACTGTGTCGGACAAGGCCATGCTGGTGAGGGGTGCTGAGCGGTGCTGAGGGGTGCTGTTGAGTCCGGAGGGATGCTGAGGGGTGCTGATAGGTATTGGTGATGGTAAATTCTTCTGTTCAAATATTGTGGTGAATGCTCTAGTGTGTGTTTCTTCTGTGTGTGATTTCCACCATTTGTCTCCTACCACTTCTCGCTGTCCAACCCTCTTTCCACTCCCTCCACCTCACTTCCCTCACTCCCACAAAGTCTTTTGAAGTCTCCCCTCCTCCCTTTTCATTTCCCCATCTCATTCCCCTCACTCTCCCTCCCTCCCTCCCCCTCTCCCACATTCACCCCCCTTTGCCTGCCCACACCAGCTCTACCGAACCTTCCTCGAATTCCTCACTCTCCCAACTCTCTATGCTGCACTCAGCGTTCCCCAGGTGACTAAAGGGAATGCCTGTAGCAGGCAACTGTAGCAGGTGACTGCAGCAGGAGACTGCAGCAGGTGACTGTAGCAGGTGACTGTAGCAGGTGACTGCAGCAGGAGGCTGTAGCAGATGACTGTAGCAGATGACTGTAGCAGATGACTGTAGCAGATGACTGTAGCAGGGAACAGGATTGGGATGTTTATGTGAAGTAGCAAGGGCCAAGGTGATTGGTCTCGTCATGGTTTCTGTTTTGGCTGAGGTGGCTTTCAACACCTTCACGCGCCATCGTTACACCTGCTAAGTCTATTTTCACCACCTTTCACCCCGCTTTAAACCCATTTCACCCCAGGCAGTGCACGTGTACTGGCTCACCAACAACACCTTCACTCTCGCTCAGGTGCCCATCCCTTCCCTCCCGTCCCATCCCTTCCCATCCCATCTCATCCCTTCCCTCCCGTCCCATCCCTTCCCATCCCTTCCCATCCCGTCCCTCCCGTCCCATCCCGTCCCATCCCGTCCCATCCCGTCCCATCCCGTCCCATCCCGTCCCATCCCGTCCCATCCCTTCCCATCCCTTCCCATCCCTTCCCATCCCTTCCCATCCCATCCCATCCCTTCCCATCCCATCCCTTCCCATCCCTTCCCATCCCCCCATCCCTTCCCATCCCTTCCCATCCCTTCCCATCCCATCCCATCCCTTCCCATCCCTTCCCATCCCTTCCCTCCTCCCATCCCTTCCCATCCCCCTTTTCATTCCTTCGCATCCTTTCACTTCCCGTCCCCTTCCCATCCCTTCCCATCCCTTCCTTTTCATTCCTTCGCATCCTTTCACTTCCCATCCCATCCCATCCCTTCCCATCCCTTCCCATCCCTTCCTTTTCAATCCTTCGCATCCTTTCACTTCCCATCCCGTCCCCTTCCCATCCCTTCCCATCCCTTCCTTTTCATTCCTTCGCATCCTTTCACTTCCCACTTCCCATCCCATCCCTTCCCATCCCTTCCCATCCCTTCCTTTTCATTCCTTCGCATCCTTTCACTTCCCATCCCCTTCCCATCCCTTCCCATCCCTTCCTTTTCATTCCTTCGCATCCTTTCACTTCCCGTCCCCCCATCCCTTCCCATCCCTTCCTTTTCATTCCTTCGCATCCTTTCACTTCCCATCCCATCCCATCCCTTCCCATCCCTTCCCATCCCTTCCTTTTCATTCCTTCGCATCCTTTCACTTCCCATCCCATCCCATCCCTTCCCATCCCTTCCCATCCCTTCCTTTTCATTCCTTCGCATCCTTTCACTTTCCCGTCCCCATCCATCCCATCCCATCCCTTCCTTTTCATTCCTTCGCATCCTTTCACTTCCCATCCCATCCCATCCCTTCCCATCCCTTCCCATCCCTTCCTTTTCATTCCTTCGCATCCTTTCACTTCCCCCCTTCCCATCCCTTCCCATCCCTTCCTTTTCATTCCTTCGCATCCTTTCACTTCCCATCCCATCCCATCCCTTCCCATCCCTTCCCATCCCTTCCTTTTCATTCCTTCGCATCCTTTCACTTCCCATCCCCTTCCCATCCATTCCCATCCCTTCCTTTTCATTCCTTCGCATCCTTTCACTTCCCATCCCATCCCATCCCTTCCCATCCCTTCCCATCCCTTTCCATCCCTTCCTTTTCATTCCTTCGCATCCTTTCACTTCCCATCCCATCCCATCCCTTCCCATCCCTTCCCATCCCTTCCTTTTCATTCCTTCGCATCCTTTCACTTCCCATCCCCTTCCCATCCCTTCCCATCCCTTCCTTTTCATTCCTTCGCATCCTTTCACTTCCCATCCCCTTCCCATCCCTTCCCATCCCTTCCTTTTCATTCCTTCGCATCCATTCACTTCCTATCCCCTTCCCATCCCTTCCCATCCCTTCCTTTTCATTCCTTCGCATCCTTTCACTTCCCATCCCATCCCATCCCTTCCCATCCCTTCCCATCCCTTCCTTTTCATTCCTTCGCATCCTTTCACTTCCCATCCCTTCCCATCCCTTCCCATCCCTTCCTTTTCATTCCTTCGCATCCTTTCACTTCCCATCCCATCCCATCCCTTCCCATCCCTTCCCATCCCTTCCTTTTCATTCCTTCGCATCCTTTCACTTCCCATCCCCTTCCCATCCCTTCCCATCCCTTCCTTTTCATTCCTTCGCATCCTTTCACTTCCCATCCCCTTCCCATCCCTTCCCATCCCTTCCTTTTCATTCCTTCGCATCCTTTCACTTCCCATCCCATCCCATCCCTTCCCATCCCTTCCCATCCCTTCCTTTTCATTCCTTCGCATCCTTTCACTTCCCATCCCATCCCATCCCTTCCCATCCCTTCCCATCCCTTCCTTTTCATTCCTTCGCATCCTTTCACTTCCCATCCCCTTCCCATCCCTTCCCATCCCTTCCTTTTCATTCCTTCGCATCCTTTCACTTCCCATCCCATCCCATCCCTTCCCATCCCTTCCCATCCCTTCCCATCCCTTCCTTTTCATTCCTTCGCATCCTTTCACTTCCCATCCCCTTCCCATCCCTTCCCATCCCTTCCTTTTCATTCCTTCGCATCCTTTCACTTCCCGTCCCCTTCCCATCCCTTCCCATCCCTTCCTTTTCATTCCTTCGCATCCTTTCACTTCCCATCCCATCCCATCCCTTCCCATCCCTTCCCATCCCTTCCTTTTCATTCCTTCGCATCCTTTCACTTCCCATCCCCTTCCCATCCCTTCCCATCCCTTCCTTTTCATTCCTTCGCATCCTTTCACTTCCCGTCCCCTTCCCATCCCTTCCCATCCCTTCCTTTTCATTCCTTCGCATCCTTTCACTTCCCATCCCATCCCATCCCTTCCCATCCCTTCCCATCCCTTCCTTTTCATTCCTTCGCATCCTTTCACTTCCCATCCCCTTCCCATCCCTTCCCATCCCTTCCTTTTCATTCCTTCGCATCCTTTCACTTCCCATCCCCTTCCCATCCCTTCCCATCCCTTCCTTTTCATTCCTTCGCATCCTTTCACTTCCCATCCCATCCCATCCCTTCCCATCCCTTCCCATCCCTTCCTTTTCATTCCTTCGCATCCTTTCACTTCCCATCCCATCCCATCCCTTCCCATCCCTTCCCATCCCTTCCTTTTCATTCCTTCGCATCCTTTTACTTCCCATCCCCTTCCCATCCCTTCCCATCCCTTCCTTTTCATTCCTTCGCATCCTTTCACTTCCCATCCCCTTCCCATCCCTTCCCATCCCTTCCTTTTCATTCCTTCGCATCCTTTCACTTCCCATCCCATCCCATCCCTTCCCATCCCTTCCCATCCCTTCCTTTTCATTCCTTCGCATCCTTTCACTTCCCATCCCCTTCCCATCCCTTCCCATCCCTTCCCATCCCTCCATCCCATCCCTTCCCATCCCTTCCCATCCCTTCCCATCCCATCCCATCCCTTCCCATCCCTTCCCATCCCTTCCCATCTTCCATCCCATCCCATCCCTTCCCATCCCTTCCCATCCCTTCCTTTCATTCCTTCGCATCCTTTCACTTCCCATCCCCTTCCCATCCCTTCCCATCCCTTCCTTTTCATTCCTTCGCATCCTTTCACTTCCCGTCCCCCCTTCCCATCCCTTCCCATCCCTTCCTTTTCATTCCTTCGCATCCTTTCACTTCCCATCCCATCCCATCCCTTCCCATCCCTTCCCATCCCTTCCTTTCATTCCTTCGCATCCTTTCACTTCCCATCCCCTTCCCATCCCTTCCCATCCCTTCCTTTTCATTCCTTCGCATCCTTTCACTTCCCGTCCCCTTCCCATCCCTTCCCATCCCTTCCTTTTCATTCCTTCGCATCCTTTCACTTCCCATCCCATCCCATCCCTTCCCATCCCTTCCCATCCCTTCCTTTTCATTCCTTCGCATCCTTTCACTTCCCATCCCTTCCCATCCCTTCCCATCCCTTCCTTTTCATTCCTTCGCATCCTTTCACTTCCCATCCCCTTCCCATCCCTTCCCATCCCTTCCTTTTCATTCCTTCGCATCCTTTCACTTCCCATCCCCTTCCCATCCCTTCCCATCCCTTCCTTTTCATTCCTTCGCATCCTTTCACTTCCCATCCCCTTCCCATCCCTTCCCATCCCTTCCTTTTCATTCCTTCGCATCCTTTCACTTCCCATCCCCTTCCCATCCCTTCCCATCCCTTCCTTTTCATTCCTTCGCATCCCCTTCCCATCCCTTCCCATCCCTTCCTTTTCATTCCTTCGCATCCTTTCACTTCCCATCCCCTTCCCATCCCTTCCCATCCCTTCCTTTTCATTCCTTCGCATCCATTCACTTCCCATCCCCTTCCCATCCCTTCCCATCCCTTCCTTTTCATTCCTTCGCATCCTTTCACTTCCCATCCCCTTCCCATCCCTTCCCATCCCTTCCTTTTCATTCCTTCGCATCCTTTCACTTCCCATCCCCTTCCCATCCCTTCCCATCCCTTCCTTTTCATTCCTTCGCATCCTTTC